TGTTCTTTGAGACTGGCCAGATGTGGCGGGGTTAGGACGACAGGGCGTGTTTCCTAATAAGGTGTTCACGTCTGCGGGAAGCGGTGTGTAGCGGCTAGTTCTAAAGCCGCTCATTCGATTATGATACCATTTGGTAGGCGGGACTATTTGTCAAGTAGAGGAATGTGATGAACGTCAGTGTGGACTCATGTTCCAATCACACACAGCTACATCAACCCTTTACTGACTTGTGGTCTTTGAAATGATTTTTGAAATTGTCAGAACACTCTGACGGCTGCGTTGGTTTTCCAATTATCATTCGCACGCTGATAGGTCTGGTGATTCAGATGTCTAAGACGCATCCTTGATAAATCTGATGACAGAACTACACCACCACACCCTTTCCTCCCCTGAATCACGAACGGTTCTACCGCTAGAGACCTCCGAGGTGCTCAACAAGTGGTCCAATTCAGGAAGCTGACAAGTGTTCTCTGAACGTCACTCCGACTATCGGGTGTCCCGCGGCACGCCGCGCGGCCACGGACGCTAACCCCCGGCCTGCGCCCCGTATTTGGCCCGGTTATGTAGCCAGCAGGGCACAGAATCCGCGCTATGTGTAAACTGTCGCCGTGAATAACGGGGAGCATGTGTGCGATGTAGCCTAGTAACAGGCCTGTGTGTTGGGTCAATGTCTAGATTTTAAACCTGTTCACTGGGCTTTGCAACTGAGTGCAAGTCGGAAGGTCGCACATGTATAAATTTTTGAATCACTCTTCACTATAAAAAAATATAAGTAATAGATCTGACAAATCATTGTTTTTATGTAGCTATCACAAAAAAAGAGCATGAATTAACTGAATCATCGAATGAATGAATGAATAAAAGAACGAGTGAATGAATGAACGAATGCATGGTCTAGCTAACTGTTGTCTAGCTATAGCTTGACAAAGGGACGTGGAAACGCACATACTATGCAGATGTTGACCAGGAGGATAGTCATCTTCTATAAGAATCCATAGTCAAAGGCAAAGTGACCACATTAAATCAAGAAGGTTAAAATTTCATCCTCCTTTAGTCAATCAAAATTGTGCATTCCTTCGAATCCTTGCCTTACAGAATGATGACTCTGCCCTGTGAGACTGTATTGAGTGCCGTACTTCAGCAGTGTTACAGCAGACCCAGTGTGTATACATACACTCGCGTGACATTCTGGACAGCTGTGCCCTAACCTTGCTGCGTCCCCGCTTTTATAGCGCTGTCTCTGGGCGGTGACCTTGCCGGCTTGGTTATGACAGGCCGACCGGAGAATGCCCCCAGGCGGCTGGCGCCGTAGCTGCATAACAATGAACTGTTCAGGCGAGTGACAGGTGGCCGTAGTGGACGTCCTGCAAATTCCAACTATCTACCCCATCTCGCTCTTTCTATTTAAGTCTTGATGTAATATCAAACACCTAAAAACACAGGGTAACAGTAAAGGTAAGTCAGGAATTGCAGACGCCGATACGTATATACGATATCACAAGAAACGGAAGAGCAGTTTCCATAACTCCGGGCTACAGTCAAACCTGTACAACTGACCACAACTACACACGGACCACCTAACCAATGTGACTACTTTCTAATGATCCCTTCGATATTTTTTTCCTTTTATCACAAGCATGACCACCTGTCCACATAGACCAGAATTTTTCGGTCTACTACTGCCAGTGTTTTCTTTGTCAGTTTTGACAATACCTCAGAAAAAGGGAAGTATGCACGTGTACACGTACACTAGATAAGAGAATACCAGAAACCCCCACATTTAAGTACAGCCTGTGGCAAACATACTGGTAAGCAATGGTGACCTTTTCCGTGCATTGTCTCTAGCACGAAGTGTGCTTCCGTCAAGTGAGCAACTGTGAAAAACATGATAGTGATCGCACGAAACATCACAAATGAATCTTCAGTTGACAAAGGTTTCGCACGTGTACAAACAGATATATATATTGGGAGGTACAAAATGAAGTTTGAAAGAAAGTAGCGAATGGAATTTACCTGGAGGTCTTATTTCCTAAGCTAATTCCTACTTCAAATCACAAAAAAGTATTACTCTTTTAGCCGACAAAAGATAGTAAGAGTACAAATACATGCGTATAACAAAATGTTAGCATCCAGGAGGATGGTAAGATATTAACTACGAAGATATGGATGTATGATATAAACTATGAAGAGAAGGAACAAATCGCCATGGTGCAGGTGTGTCCCAGGTGGTCGGCTGGGTCGGACCGATGTTTGTTTGTGTTCCGCACATCTGATGGCCAAGGTTTGTTGTTGGCATTTGTGACGAAGGTCACACACCAATAAACCCACCAGACACCCAAGCCCACCTGTTACGACGCCATTACGACGTTTTTACGACGCTTCAACGACTGTCCCAAGAAAGTGTCGTAACTCTATCGTGCCACGGATGTGACTGACAGAACTTGTGCGGTGTACAGAACACATAAAGCGGTGTCGACAACTCGTTAAACAGTCAGGAACACTAGCACAGTAGCACTGCACCATCTTGAACTCATTGAGAGAAAGATCAAAACGCTGTTGTCAGCGTGCGTGTGTGGACTGCGAGAGTGCCGGAGTAAACACTCACAACACCAAGGCCGAGGCACAACGAACACCTGTTGATGTTGTAACGCCAGAGAGTCGGGGAAAGAGCGAGCGGTGCGCGTCACCAGTCTCAGACAATAGGGAGAAGGATCCTACAGATATACGGGGCAGTTTCCGAAAACAGAAAAACTGTAGATGTGTCACTAGTGTAATGGTATCGGTGTGAGACGACCTTAGGGAAGACAGCGGGTTCTTTGTTTAGGAACCAGCAGGGACTAGGGCAAGACAATTTGCCAAGAACGTCATGAAGGTTGCTCAAGGTCAATTCCGACATCGTTCATAAAATCGTAACCAATCTACACCGACAAGTCCGTGACCAGTGCTGTTTAATCAAGAGAAGCCTTAAAATCAACGCCAGATGTACACCCTGTTATACATGTACTTTCGTCTCGAGTAGATTTGAAGGGCAAGGCCGAATTCTCGCAGATGGTGCACTGACCTGTTGTCTGCACTTTGACTCAAGTTTAGCATGGAGACTGTATCGTGGGGAAATGGAGCGAACAGACGTGATTTAGACCTCTGAAACGTCTACCAAACGCTGCACAGAGTCTCCGATTTATAGAGTCTATAGACATGCGAAAGTTTCCAACAATACTGTATTATGTGGACCAAGGCATCAATTTTTTGTCGGATAAAATTGGACTACCAAGATACTGTATTACTTTTAAGCCCCACTTTCATTCAGATGTGCCTTGTAAAATGCGTACATATGATATGCATATGACAACTTCTCGGTTCAGTTAAATGTAAGTGTGCTACAAACCTATGGCTACCTGTTGACTTTGGACATCGTGAAACGGAAGAAACAAGAAAAACAGTCTCAGGAGAAAGAAGCGTTTGTTTGGATTCTTCTTGAGTAGCATCATGTCTACGACTCCATCTTGTCTCAACACTCCCATCTTTGTTTGCCAGACGCGCATGTGAGAAGTTTACCGTGTTAACGGCTGACTTTTCCCACCCAAACACACGGTCATGCTTAGAGAAGCAACAATTACCACCGGGGCGCCCTGACGGTGTTTTCCCAACTTGTACCCAACTCTCTCCGCACAATGGGTGGACTTCATCAGACCACTTCACGGGCCCTGACCACAGTTGACACAAATTGTCATCCCATACAACTTGAGTCAACAGTCTGTTAGTGACAGGCACTAACTATTAACACATAAAATCAGACCAATGTGTACTTTCTAAGCAAAAGGGTGAAATCAAAACATTGTCCTTACGCGTAGTGTCTATATATCAAGGCGCTAGCATGTTTCTACAAATGCTAATGTTAGTTTATCAAGTCGCCACACACAACACATCTTTGCTTGCGAAGGAGTTCAGAAACTAGCCAATATTTCTATGCGATAACCGGGCATTTGATTAAAGCCTTTTATGATTGGTTCTGTCGGTATTTTTCAAGATGAAGAAATGTAATTTAACAGAGCATGATAAATGTATCTGTGCTTATTGGACTCTTTGGAATTACAATGGACAGCCTTGTATTCATTCAGTAAGACATCAGTGACTGGAGAAACTTAGTATTGACTTGGATGGTGGGCAAATATTTGGTGTTAAACAGGGAACTTGGGGAACTGGTTACGGTACTAGTAGTCAAAATCATGTCTTCAACAATCTAGCCATGCAGCTATGCGGACGCATGGCGCCTCTTGCGTTCTTAATGGATACTGCAGTAAGCAGGTAAGTTACTTCACGTGCCTTCCTGGGCGATCACGTGAGGTCTAAGGATAAACCCAACTTTCCCCCATCCCGTATTTCAGTTTAACCGTAATTTGAATCTTTCAGGCTGTAGGGATGAAAATAAAAGCACACATTTCAATATCAATGACATACGTGTACAAACAGTTAATCCGGATGACAAAGGCTTAACAAGATAGCGACAGCTGTTTGTGTCTTAAAAATGTTTTCTCAGATTTTCAACTTCTCCGTGCGATTTAGAATTGGCATCTATCAACTTCTCTCATCCTTTGATACACTAATACATATCATACATGTAAGAATTATAAACGTAACTGTGATACATTCTGTCAGTTCATGGGCCAGACTTCGTGGCTTCCCACGTTGCCTAGCAACGGTTTCCACCTACAGGTAACAGCTGTAAGCCTCGTCCATGGCCCACGTCATTTACTGCTTTGCCACGTTAAGCCGTGGAACAGAATATCACACCAAAGGGGTGGTTTTAGTTATTATTTCTGTATTATCAATATACAGGTTTCTCTGAATGTACAGGAAAAGCATATCATGTATCTCATGTATTGAAATAATGACGTCTCCAAAATGTTTGTTTGATAGATTCAGCATTTGGAAATGCTCCATGTTTCCCACAACGTTCCATCTACCTACCGTTTCAATGGGAACAGCCCTGATGGAAAACCACATATAAGACGAAAGATAGAAACAAAGAAACAGGTTCCCTACATACAGCTACCATGTGGATCGCGGGGTCTGTGATAGTTTTTATCTGTTGGCTGGCCTTTCCCGAGTCAGGGGCTGTTGTGATGAGACTAGACAACACCACGTATGGCCAGGTATTAATATTAACCTTAGAGCAACGTTTCAACAACTTTTACATTTTGTGGCACTGTGGACTCTGCATTTTGTTAGTGCTAGGGGTATCTAGAATACATGAAAGACTGATTCTTATTCAGTTTATCAAGGGATCATAAATATCAATGGATTGTGGACACCACGAGTGTCATGGCGTTGTTGTTATTTTTCCATGGGCAGGTCACACGAGGAGATAAGTTCGTGCTGGTGCAGTTTTATGTGAAATGTAAGTTGAGATGTATATCATATCATATTATATAATATCATATCTTTTCATGTCATATCATGTCGTGTCATAGCACAGCATAGCACAATAACATACACGTTGAACCTATATGTAGAATTTTGACCCACATCAGCTAATAATCTTATTATCTCCCATACATTGTACCTGTTGCAAAGTCCCTCAGTATTACCAATAACGGCAAGTTGTGCTGAAGGGAGAGGGTGCTTTTGAACTCACGTGAATTCAACCACTTGACGGAACACTTCACCTGCCTCACACCAGGGAGCTCTGCCTGTCAGAAACTGGAGCCAAAATGGGAGGACGTGGAGAGGAGGTACCGGGAACGAGACGATGTCGTCATCGGCAAGGTGAACGCCCAAGAGGACCGGATTCTCGTGACCAGGTTCCGCACCACCACGTTCCCCACCATTCTCTACTATCCAAAAGGAGCTACCGAGCACCAACTGTGAGTTAGTTTTTATTTTTCTAGATCTATTGCTGACATGCATTTTTTTGTTATGAATGAAATATATCCAATGTGTTTTATCAATAACTATAATATGTCTCTTAATCAGTAACGTAAACGAAACATGCTTATAAAAGTAACAGTGGGGAAACGTATGATATGTTATTCCTCTTCTTTTGTTGCACATATCTTCGTTTTGCCTATTCTGTGTCTTTTTCCTGATAAGTCTCCTATTGCAGGTATGAGGGCCGCCACACTATCGCGGCGTTTGTAGAGTTGATAGAACAGCACGCGCCGACCAGCTGGGTTCGGAGGATCTTCACCAAGGAACTCAACTCTACCAACTTCGACCAAACCGTCATGGACAAAGACAAATTTGTCATGCTACAGTTCTACAACACAAGTAAGGAGCACGGTGATGAAATAGGAAGAAGTGTACACACAAGAAATCTTCCTGATATTGTCTCAAACATCTACGACACCATTCACATAGTTCACACGGAACCAGTTTCATTAGTCTCCAGTGCGCTTTAGAGGCGTCTGGAAAGTGTAGAAATTGGCCAAATAGACAGATATTAGTCCAGGGGAGTTAGTCCACAAACTAAGTACCGTTTGCCTCTCAATAGTTTCCAGCCGCCTCTAAAGCCTGGCAGAGGCTACAGTTTTCTTTGATTTGTTTTCAGTTAGATTTGACCATACTTACCTACTACACTTTTGCTTGGAACTTGTTTTACCAGCCATGAATCTTTTTGCGCCCTCTAGCGGACTGTTACAAATGTAAAAAATTGCAGCCTGACTACGAGATGGTGGCAGAAACCTTCCACAACGAGAGAACCGTGAGTCTTTACGTCATACAGTCATTAGATACTGACAATATATAACAAGACACATCTATGTATGATTTTAAAAAAAAGAGTACAATAAAAAGGTGGCGTAATGCATAGTGCCAGCTAGAGAGAAATTTATTCAAGTTTGACATTAATTCCCGATTGGATTATGCCTTCTACAGATTGTCGTGGCCAGAGTAGACACCGAAATGCACCCAGAAATAGGGAAAAGGTGAGACCAATTTTATATCGTAGAAATATCTTGCCTGATAGTTTTTTTTAAGATATACAGTGTAAGGATCTTTAATTCGCTTGTTGTGTTGTAGGTTCGATATAACGCAGCATCCAAGAATCATGTGGTTCACAAGAGACAACAAAAGAGGGATCCCGGTGAGATTTTTATTTTTATTTTCCTGGAGTTATTTGACGTTTGATAGCTAGATTTTAAATCTCTCTAGAAAGAACGTTAGACTTGGCCACATATAACATCGATCGATTCTATTAAACTGTAGAATGTAGATCCATGTGTACTGTGCTTTACCTTTCTGTACTGTAATCTTACTGAAGCGTACCCATTGAAAGATAAGCTCCCCCTATCCTGCAGTACCAGTCGGCCATGAAGCCTGCCCAGCTGGTAGACTTCATCAACCATCAGTGTCACACGGCTAGGGAGTTAGGTGGCGGACTCACTAGCCAGGTATGAACCACCGGGTAGTTAGGGATATACTTTTCAGTTTTTATAGAAGACCTCGGACGGAGCTATCAATAGAATTTCCCGAACAAACAATGCGACACCTTAGTACTCTCGTACGAAGGCCGATAGCGACACTGGCGACTGCCGTGCCTATTGTCTCAGCCATGGTGCTGAAACGCCATCACTTACTTTCTTCGCCTTCTGATGTGCTGTTAAATAATACTCATGGCTCCAAATGATTTGTTATTGGTTATACAATAACTATAGATTAAAGAGTTCAAAAACGGAATAACAGCGATACAGCCATGGTACTGAAACGCCATCACTTAATTTCTTCGCCTTCTGTTTTGTTTCTCCCCAACAGGCGGGAAGGATGGTGGAAATGGATGCGGTAGTTTCAAACTTCATCGCCAGTATCGTAAGTAGACAGCTCACAGACAATAGTTATGGTTGTCTTTCGTAATGCTACAAGCTTACCAGTGATGCTCTATAAGTATAAAACTAAAACTCATTGTAGAGACAGGATGGCCGTAGCCAAGTATCAAAGATGTTAACATTAACGTTACTAGTTGACAGCTCCCTGGTCTGTTCTGTGACATGAACTATCAAAGAAAAAAAGGTGTGACATTAAGCCAATGTATTATATTTGTCAGTTTGTATTGTTTTGCCCAACTATAGGCCGATGTACAGAAAGAAGCAGAAAAGGTGAAGGAAAAGATGGCAGGCAGACAACATCCGCATTCAAAGTACGCCCTTTCCTCTACGTATACCATACGTTAATTTCCGGTTTTAAAAACATTCTGTAATGCGCTTGAAAAATAAAAGAGTTGACAACAATGAATGAAAGAGTAACAAATTGTTTTGATAGTCTGGAGATGTTCATGACGATTTCATGTCTACTTGCTATATTTTGCAGCTATAGCAGTTTTTACATGGACATATTGGACAGGATCGGTAGTCATGGTTACGAACTGGTCACCATGGAGATAACCAACTTTCAAAACAGTCTAGGTAATTATAAGGTTTGGTAGCTATGTAACGTTAGACCACTGAATTTGGTTCATGTGCCAAAATTAAGTATGTATGTTAGATTTTTTGCATCTTTTCTATTGATAATGTTTATTTTGATATACTAAGTAGTTTCTGGTGAAAATTACTTATTTTAAATCCGCTCGTTGTTTTCAGCAACATCTCCTAAGTCACTGTCGGAGGAAAAAAGGGAGGATCTTGTCAAGCGCGTCAACATCCTCCGTGTTTTCCAAAAGGCATACAGAACTCAGTTTCCAAAATTGCAAGACTCCAATTCCGAGGAAAACATGGGTGAACCCGAGGTTGCCAAAAAGCGTGCCAAAGACCCTCCAAATGCCTTTCAGAGGAAGAGTCGAGGAAGGGGTAAGAAGGAGTACACCAGTAAAATGCGGAGTATTAAACATGAGCTGTAGTCAATCAGCCAAAATCATCAAGCAAACCAAAACAGACATTCTGAATTTGTCCAAATGTGTCAATGTTAAAGTAAAATGGTCTAAAACTGAATGTCCGTAAAACAACAAAATGGTTTATTTGTTCATTTCCTAAATATGTGCAACCTGCGAACGAAGTTATTTATGCTAAACTACTCATTCGTTATCAGACTTTAGTATATGTATATCAGTTTTTATTCTTCTGACATTGGTGCTATCGTATGGACAAATGTAGGTTATATACATAAGCATGGGCCTGATCTAGTGTCAAATGTGCCACACTGTGTTATCATTACGTAGCTTTGCACAGAATTCTTCAATTCTTCAGAAGTATTTGTCTGTTAGTAATTCTTATCGACATTATCAACCTATCAATTGAATTATCAGTGAGTGACAGAAAACACAAACTATCAATGGCAACAAACGTGGAATTAGAGTATAAAATAATGGCAACAAAATAGCAGCAATTGGCAAACTCCTAGCAACATGCCACGTTAGAGACAGACCATGCAGGGTGCATCTGTTCCTTTCAGTGTATGTTTGTGATCATATTACTATTAACGTAATTACACTACTGACAAAGATGCAGAATGCAATGTAATAATTGATCATGCATATAAAGTTGGTGAAAAATGTGAGAAAATCCTGCACAGTTTACCTCCAACAATAGGTATACAGTTACTCTTACAATGACCTGTTCATGATGATATTTACAATGAATTTTTTGTTGTTGATAATACTCATGGCTCCAAAGTGGTTGTTAGTAGTAGACAATAACTATATTATCAAAGAATTTAAAAAAATGTAATAGCAGCAACACAGGTATAAATGAAAGATCTAGTCAAGTTTACTTTTATTTTGGATATTTCCACATACAGCTATATTTTCTCTAGTTCAACAATCATGAGCTAGCAAGTGTCATATACTTCAGTTGACATACTCTCCCCTTCTCACTGATATCTTGTTTTCTTCTCTTTCCTGCTTTTTGTCCATATTCTGTCTTGACTCCGGTGTCCCGTTCCACGAGCCTATGTGATTCCTTTCTTTACCGCCAGGCGTCTCTTGAAATGTCTCGACTGAAATAACGATGGAAAGTCGTAAGTACTACAGCTAACTACCGCGAACTTACCACGAAACATGATTATCCCATTCCTGCACGTGAGTTATAACTTTTATGACTTAAGTTTTATATAACTTTTATAACTTATAAGCTGTAGAAGTTTTTCAGAAGTTTGATGAGACTGACTGACCTGTACTGAGGGTAGGTGTCTCGGTATCGGCTGCTGCTCGGATAAGAACAAAAAAAGACAATTAGCTGATGAAAAAAAAATAGTCACACCAAATATATCAGAAAACACCAATTTTCTGTTAAAACGGATAGAAATGTAAGGTATTGGAGCTGACAACATCATGAGGGAATGTTGACAAGTACTTACTATATGTTAGCAGGGATGGGCTTCTGTCCGTACTGGTCTAGTGTGGGCTCCTGGCGCAAGGCGTACTGTGGGAGGGACAAGTGAAACGGTTACAACCGGTAAATTGAATACAAAAACACAACATCGATAATTCAGGGCATCACTTATCGCAAAATAACGATAGGGTGTATTTAGTTAGACGTGGGCTACTGACCTTCCAAGAGGAGGTGATGCTAGGCCGTATGTGCCTCACTGCGTACCCTGTGAAGTGGAAATCTGTACGGGAGGGGGGAAATGGGAAATCAGTACTTTTGGTGACGCAACAGGAGCGGTGGCATTTCCTTTATGACTTTCATACAACATAAAAAGACCAGGGCGGTTCACTAAGAGGTAGATGGGAACGAAAGGAAATGCATACTAACCTTTAGCGTCATGTCCTCTGATCTCAGTTGTCCGTCCCAGCCATTTAGCCCAATCACGCTTCACTTCACTGCTAGAGGGACAAGATGAGGCCCAGAATTAAATCACTACAATCATGTGTTTTGACAAGGATGTAATAGTACATGTACTATTTGTACATCTCCAAGCAGATGTACAAAGGAAAATTGTAAGGTTTTGGAGAGCAGAAAATAAAGCACGGATGTTTACTTACTCAAGAATGCTTGGATCCACCTTGAATCTCTGCGTCTTCTTACCGGTGTTAGTTATTCTCTGTAACATAGAACAGGTAATTGTTAACGTTCATGACATTTACAAACTGTGTGTTGTCTTTCATACATGTACATCGATACAGCAGCCTAAAGCGCCACCTTGCAAAGAACAAATTATTGCAGCCAAACAAACATCTTTACAAAGTTCATCTGTATTCAGTGCGCGCTGTAGAACCGTTTAGCCCGAAGCGGTGTTTAAGGCTCAGTGTAGAGTTTCTAAAAGCATGTTTGGGGTAATCAGAATTTTAAACAAAGCGTTCTTACGGACACCTGAAACCGACGACGTTGTGACTTTGGAATAAGCTTAGCGTTCCAACACAACGCAAGCAAACTTGTTGGGCGGTTGCAAGACAAGCCGTCTTTGCAGGGTTTTAGTTTCTCTGTTGCCATGTGTTTTCCAACATACACCTATCATTTTCAAACGCTATGTCTTAAGTGCTGCTCCCACTATACCATATAAGCCATTTCCACCTGTTGTCCCCTGAACAAGTGCACCATTGCTTCTGTGCACCGTTCCGTTTGGATGCACTTGACTGAGAGAACATACTGACCGCTTTACGCACATGTGTCTAAGCCTCCAGAAAAGTAGACAGTTCGCCCTGTCTTATAAAAATATCAGACGTCAAACCCACATTTGTGACCGGAACGGTTGTGCATAGGAGGGTGGCATGATTTTATGCTAGAAGTATTCTTTATAATAACGCTATATGGGCGCGGTTTTACGGTGTACCGTATCCTACATGGAGAGTGGCTACGATTACAACACTGAGACCTGTTTGGGTGATGGGAGGGTAGAATGCTGCCATTGTCCGAAGGAAACCTGCTATCTACGCCTGAACGACAATGACTGTGTATGACAAGTGGTAGAGTGGTTGTAACAAGAGGCTAGGCTCAAATACAAGTCCTGTACTACACAATTTTGATACGGCCCTAACTTGAGGTTTTCAAGCAATGGCTCTTGTAGGAGAAAGTTTGCAGCAAGTTGTGGTGCGATTCGTGTCGCAATATTTCAGCTCACAGTGCTTGCGACCGGTTCAAGCATGTAAACTGGGGGTAAATGTGCACTACACAGTGTCACATACCTGAACAAAACAGGCGTTTCCCCGAGCCCCAAAACTCTACGTTGACGGTCTATTTGGTCATGGCGTCCTTATTGGCTAAAGTCTACGGTTTCACAACAGGCAATTGCCTATACAAGCAGAGAGTTTCCTATAGCGTTTACCCAGGGTAAACTTAGTAACGTAAGTCTGATGACCCAATTAACAGAAATCCCTCAGTAAGATCGTTTGTCAGAAGATCTCCAACCCGTTGCACTGGATCTGTATTAGGTGTCTCTTATCTTTCCGATCGCGTCAGAGACATTTTTCCTTAACAACCGTACAAACTGGTGCTGTATTGTTTCCCGACGCAGGTGTTGCTATTTTACATCGCCCAGGTAAACAGAACAGGTGAGATAGGTGTGCTGATCACCTAATAGCCGTCAGAAATCGATAAAAGAAGCCATAAACGCGCGTCACGACCCCATTACTGAAGAATCCCCTTACTTATAGCCAGACCTAGATTGTTTAATTGAGCTGGATATTGTTTGTGAAAGGGGCGTGGAGTGATAATTGGGACAATCACAAAGGAAATCTCAGTGTCGCCTCTTGTCCATCTAGAATAACCTGTTATTTTATGCACCTGTTGTATTATGTCATTTTTTTCCTGTCTTCACAGCCACACTAGCTGTTACTGTTTGCATCCAGCAGGACTTTTCGGCATAAACCACAATACTACCTTTGGCATTTGACTGTTCTAATGTTTCTTGTACATAACCATGGTAGAACCTACAACAACAGAACGTCATACCAAATGCTATCAAAGTTTTAGGTGTAGAACTTTCCTCAGTCGATAAAATTGTTGCTATTTTGAATGAAACAAATGGACAAGAGTTACATATATTACGTAAAAATGCTAAAGGCATTTCGCTCATTTCGACTAGCAGTTTTGACAAGGTCTACTGAGCAATATGTCAGGGACAATGATGTCTTGGGTGGAAGGGTGAAAAAATAGTCAAATTTTTCAGTCAGTAATTTCTCACGTGCATACTTGTTCAACGAAATCTCTCTCACGAACCCCATTATGAATTCTCAAACTCTCCCCACGACATTTGCCGTTAAAAAGCTGACGACAGACGTAACCCACACGGGCCCCTGCCCCCGGGTCAAAATTAAAATAAATGGCTGTCGACATGTCAGTTACCATAGATAACACCATGGTTACCACAATCTGTACCTCTAAGGGAGGCACACAAGACTTTTTGTTTCTGAAGAGTGCTTGGGCTTTATTCATGAGTGTACCAAGTATACAATAGTCTCGTCTAGAAACTAGAGTATGTTACTAAGGGGGTTAATCCATATAGAAAAGAGGAAATATCCTTCGATTGTACTATGAGAGCTTTGTTGACGAAACATATAACTCCCGGTCTTGGCATGAAACCAAGGTTCTTAAAGATTTGTTATTTGAAGTTTCACTTACTAATATTAATGTAATAAATGCTACAATAACGAATTCACGATTGGTGATATACACATCAGCAGGTAGCATTCCATTTTATGGAAAGATAGTATTGAGGTTGAATGATTATTCTCTTGGAGATGTTAATTGCAAAATTACTTAAGAAAGACACTGTAATTATTGTGTACTTACCAAACCAGACATGGTTTTGTTGGGCGGGTGTTGCAGTGTTGTCGTGGCGTTACTGAAATCAACTGCGGACAAACAGAACAACATGTATCTAATGAAGATTGTACTTTTTAGACAAAAGAATGATATTCCTAAGTACACATTTGCAAGTGTTTGCAAAAGGTTTGGTTTCTCTCCAGCCATAGTACTATATGGCACAACGCCAGTGTTTTGGGACCTTTTCCTGTTAGGTATCTTAGTATCTCTTCATTACTCGCTATCTTGGCGCTGGAAAAAATAATTTTTACACTAATTTTCCACACTAAATCTTGGCCTGAAATGTTAAGTTGGATGTACGTGGTGCAATTTCGAGTGGGTAGGTAAATACATGACCATTTGATCCCGTCAAAACATCTTTCCAAACAATATTACTGAACTTCGAACATGGACATAACATGTTGACTTCTACACTAAAACATGGGCATATAATGTTGGTACTTTAAGTTTAACTTTTTCGTTGCTTTAAAGCCTATACTTCGTTTCTAGCCCATGTTTCCTTTGCCTACCTGGTCCGATGTCTGTGGTTGTTCGGCAGTGCTCGTCCGGCAGCCTGTGCCCGGCTGTGTCCATGTCCATCCGGCGGATGGTGGGCAGTTTGGGGTGGTAGATTCCCTCCTTCACCGAGGACAACATCACCCTCTGCAGGGAAGGGTAGCGGAAGAACTGGTCGGCCTGGGGCCGAGGGCCCGGCGGCGCTGAACGGTAGCGAACATCGGCGACAGCAGCCATGGTATACCGAGGAAGTTAGGTCTGTCGCTACGCTGGCAAAATATCTGGAGTAGGCGTGTGACTTGTTCCTACCACTGAACGAGAATCTTTACCGTGAAGCGATGGCAGTTCCTTCACGAAAAAAAGTATCCTCTGTCGACTGCCTGAATCGCAAACCACGGCTTATCCCGAACGCTGATCGCTGAAAGTGGGCCTCAAATAAATGTTTGCAACCAAACAAAAGCCCGGTGAAAAATTAGATCGCGCCTCACAATGCCGGCCGGCGCAACACCACCCATTGAGACCCCAGACGCCGTGTCCATGGCAACAGCGACATGTGATCGCCCGGCCTTTGATAGGTCGTCAATGAGTCGACCACTGCCTTTATTCTTCAGGCGGTCTGACTTTCGACCCTTGGAGAAAGAACTTGTAAACTATTGAAAAACACAGAGCTCAGTCCATGATGTGTGAAGAAATGAGTCCGGTTAACTTTCCAAAATTGAATGATGTTACGCAGTGGTGGTGGATATTACCTTGACACAACAAACATCATTTGTTCGTAGACGTACACAAAAGTTTGTATTTAAAAGTATCAAAAGAAGAAGTATAGTTTACGCAATCTCCAAGCAGATGTGGGGATGGACGTAACATTTTCTGACGGACTAGATTTTCTTACAGTCCTCTGTACCCCAATACAGAGGAGACCCCTCAGAGGACAATCAGAAGGCCACAATTGTCCACCCGACATCTGCTTGGAGATTTTAGTTCAGGTCGTAAACCGTTAGGCCATTGACGGCCGTAGCTAATTCCAGCATCTCATGTCGAGAGGAATTTTGATACAATTTTTCATTTTAGACTGATTGGGCAAATAAATGTCTTTCCATTCAGCTATAAGTATAACTCCAGTTCATTCACTCAGAGACAGACTTGGACGGTTGATTCGTAAGTAGAATTTGACCCCAATAGAACAAATTGTTCAGAAGAATTGGTTAGCCTGGTTGCAATCCTCAGTAGTTTACCACCGGATCCCTTGTCGCATGCTCCGACAAGGCTAAAAAGTGTCAAAATAAAGTTTCCATCCAAACGCACATCTGCTTGGAGATTGCCAATAAAGGGTGTGTGTGACGGTTCAATTCACTTCTCGTTCTCATTGATTCCTATTGGCTAACAAGCAGACCGCGCGAGTATTGTTTGCCCTATAACGAGACACGTCTCACCCATTAACAGGTGTGTCGCACCGTGTCAGGTACAGGTGGGAGGCAGACACCGGCAACAGGAAATACAGCAACGTTAAGGTGAGCATTTTTTTTAACTGGAACCTTATGTATAAAAGCTCTGGCCGCTAGTGTGTACTTCTCATTATAAACTGATCGGATATGATCAGATGGTCCTAAGTTAGGATGTCATGTCTCTGTACATGTACTACAGCAATATGATGATTGAAACCGCGTTACAGTGCTACCTTTATGTGATGATGTTGTCCGAAATAGAGGAACTAGCTGTACCATTGAGGACGCCAAAATCACAGAGTTTATGCCCAAATACTAGCACTTCATTGTGCTGCTTTGTCCGCCCCTTTTGAATTTGTCACCATTGAATACACCGTAGTTGGCTCCCCTGCCAACGCACACATCATGATGTCGCATGGCCGGTTGATGGTATGTTGGTATGTTTATATATCAGTAGTCATGACGAATCATCAGACATGTCTGCGAGGGACTATGTCAGTGACAAATTATGAAAAACGTTATGTCTGGATATATATTTCATATATATTTCATAGCCCTATTAAGGTAGTTTCCGGCGATGACCCATTAGTTTTATTTATTTGTCCGGTTTAGTTTATTCCCCTCCCCGTTCGCAAGAATGGTATGTTCCACTCCATTCATCTCCATCACTTCCGGGTCAGGTGTGGTGTCAGGCCGGTGTATCGCCTGGCCGGGCGGGGCGTGACAAGGTGTGTAGAGATCTCCACAGGTAGACACACAACCATGTAACGCTAGACAGTAGTAATACTCCCCACGTGACTTCACCTCTCAATGTCTCCGACGACTGTACACCAGTGCCACGACATCTTTTCTGGACTCTCTTGGAGGTTGGTAACGTTATCCTTGGTTCGAAATTCTCCGTAGTACTACGTCGATAACTCCTGAAAGAGACACGGGCATGGTTACGTGGACGTTTCTGACAAAGAAGGCTGTCTTGGTTGACAGCTTTGACCAGTAGAACAACTATCGACAGCATTATGTAATGTCCAATGTTGCTATACTTCCCTTATCTGCGGCGATGCAACGGACGATTGCAATTTTTTGAAGCTTTGGGGAGCGTTCGAACTGATATTATGGGTAGAGCTTGTGATCAAACCTGTCTGTTTTGGTCCAATTATCTTAGCTACACAGGAGAGCTATCGTGCGCCCTTGCGTGACGAGTCATGCTCCAAGTAGTCTACAGAATATACCTCTCATTTACATGAATGTCTTGTAAGTTGTATTGTAATGTTTCCTGTAACGATGTTACCACCAGGAGTAGACTGACTATAAATAAAGCCCCAGTATTTATTCGTCAGCAACGCCCTGTACTTGGCACTAAGGTTATATATCCATATATAACCATATAACCTTCTTGGGTGTACGTGAGGTTAGCAGGGTCTGAATCATTAGGCCAAGTCTACGTTCACCACTGATATGGTAAACTTGCGTCCAGGACAGACGGTTTCTGGACCAATTAAGAAATTAAGTGGGAAATTAAGTGCTATTAAGTTGTCTTGTCAAGATAATTAGTTGTGTGGAGTCTTCCTACTTGTACCTATACCCTCCCCTCGCATGTATAATATTACAGGTGGTTAAAATATTAATGAGTACAAACTGAATTTTTTTCAAGGAAACTACAAATCCCCTATTTAATGGGGGCCTCCAAGGGGGGGTCCCGACAACGCTCTACGCTAAATTTTGAGAGCCGGCTACGTATTACGCTGAATTCCGGATGCCTCTCTACGCTCTACGCTAAATTCGAAAGATTCCGAACGCACTATGCAGAACTCAATCACCTAGCAACTGCATGTTTGCGTGAAAACCTTTTGATTTATCACATGTAGAGGTGACATAACTTGAATTAAAAGTAGTAACCGGCGGTCACTTCCTTATACATTGAAAGTATGGAATACAAAACGGGGTATTCAGTATTACCGCAAGTACCAACTTGACCGCGAGTCGATCGCCCGAAGATCGGAGGGCGATCTGTGAATGGAGGTAACATGGCCGTAGCCAGGATTATGAAGGGGTGGACAAACGAGCGCCGTATGCGCGAGGTTCCTAGGGGGGTCCTGGGGCATGCTCCCCCGGGAAATTTTGAAAAATGAACCTTCTGAAATGGCATTTCCTGCGTTTTTAGAGGGTTTCAAAGAAAAAATCAGAGATAACTTTTTCAATGACAAAGTGAGCCGTTTTCCTACGACGGATTCCAGCCTTGCTGGTTACACGAATCAGTCCGTCTTTTAAAGAAAAGTCTTGGACCTTTAGATAAAAAGTGGACCAAAAAGTGGACCTTTGAGCCTTGTGGGCTTGTCGTCCGAAGGTAGAAAAGGCCGCAAACAATACAGCGTAATTTGTCAAAACGACTCAGCTGCCGATTGCTGACGGTCCCGCGTTACCCATCACCCGCACAATGACGGGGATGACATTGCTCTTTTCGGGAGTGTCCTCCATTACCCTGGCCATTGATCAGCAATGATGTTCCCGCTAAGAAACGTCTTGAGGGCCCCTATTGGGCCTTACAAGTCATGTGGTTCTAAGGCCTTCTACCCTCTTCATCTGTGGCCATCTGTGGCGTTTGGCCAATGGTCCTCCTGTACGTCACCGATGGTAAGGTCAATCTCGTACCCAGCGCAGTGTGGGATCATTCCCATGTGTTGCCTTGTTCTTGTGTATGGCTCTGGGAACAAGTCTAGTGGATTGTTCGATTGTATAGAAGGGGGTAGAGCAAGAAAGACCTCGAGCGCCACGACAACCCGGAACTTGCGAGGGCTCAGGCCTCGAGTTCCCGTTTGCGGCTTGGATTACGCTCTACGCACAATTAATCGATTACGCTTTACGGTTAATTTCCGATAGCTACAACGCATTACGTAGAATTAAAACAGCGAATTACGCTCTACGCCAAATGCGCCAATTACGCTCTACGTTGAATTAGAGGGTCCGTCTACGCTCTACGTAGAATTAAAACGGCCGATTACGCTCTACGGAAAAGGGCTTGGGGGCCCCCTTTAATGGGAATTGTGGGAATTCTATGTTTGCATGGCATACTACTTACCCTTTCCAGAAAGGAATGCTAATCATGTTTATTTAGGGAATAGCGTAGGGCTGTAGGCACACTGTTGTCATTGGAAACTAGCCTGGTAGTACTCTTCTATTTACTGACTTCAGCCAGCTCCTGTAAATACTTCTTGGTTTTGGGGGAAGGATGAAGTATTATTAAAGATATAAGATTCCTGTTATATGTATAAGAATATTCATTTTGATGTCAAACTGCCCATTCAGTCAACTGAATATTTCTTTTCTTTTGGTGTTTTTATAGTCCTAATGTCCCCTACCCATCTTATTCCACTAGTACTGGTAATGAAAATAAACATGCAAGAAAAAACGAGAATATGTTATTGTGCAACAGTTCTGTATGTATCGTCACTATGACACAGAGGTAAGGATATGTACACAATGCCATTAAGTTGACAGACACCTAAAATATTCATGGCTATCCCTATCATTATAATAACTATATTTAAATGTGTGACATGTATCTTTAATTTATTTCCTCCCACAAACATCCCTGTGGGTGGCCAGCAGGAACTGTATCTAGTTAAAAAGTATATTTGGTCTCTTATTGGCAAAAGTTGTTCAACATTCTCAGTCAGTATGTCTAATCAGTAGCCATGTGAGATTTTTCCTGGCTGGTGCTATCACTAGTATCACTATCAATGTAGAAGACAGGGGCAGCATTGAAGTACTCTTTCTGGGGATTGAGTTCAAAGTTGTCCCACCAGCTTAGACTAGCATTATTGAAGACCTTTGTTGTTCAGCAATAATCTGGAGTTCAACAGGCCAAGCTAAACAAGTCATGGCATTCACAACAGGATTAGACTATGGGCCTTCATGGATGCATCTGCCTGCTTTTCTGGCAATGCCTCTGGAGTGGAACTTTTTGCCTTGCCCTATTTTATCACACCACTCACTAATTTTATCTTTAGTGCCTTTCCACTTCCTTGTTTCCACTGGACAACATTAACTGTATCTAGTCATTTGGTGTAGTAAAGTCAGCTGCCGCCATGCTGCGTGCCTGCGAAGCTGGTATGCTACGCCAAGGGGCAGTTTTATCAGCTACATAGCTACAGATTTGTTACTGACTAAGTTGACCAACCCTGAAGAAATAATTAGGAATCAAACACAGATGAGCTACTTTGCCAGTGTTAAGATATCATATGACTTTTTTCCTAGTAAATCACCTGTCATGTCTTGTGTTTCAGAAATGTGTGAAAACAAGTCAGATGGAAGGCTCCGACTGGTGCATGATGGGAAGCACTATGATGTCACTGATTTTGCACAGCGCCACCCGGGAGGGAAGTTGGTACTGCAGAGATATCAAGGTCAAGACATCACAGCAGTCATGAAGGTAATGATGAAAGTTTTAATACTGAAAAGTTGCAAATGCTATATATATCATGTTCATTATTAATTCTGTATTGGCCCCTGTTACTAGAGTGATAAGAAGAAAAAAACTGTTGTTGTCATATTTAAATTATGCATAGTGTATAACTTCACCATAAACCTGAGATGCAAAATTAAGTCAAGTCTGTTTTTCACAGGGCCCTCTCCATAGACATTCCCCAGCAGCCTATTCCATGCTGTCGCAGTACTGTGTAGAAGAGGAAGGAGGAGCTGCTGATACTAACGGCAATGTCAAGGTTCATCACAGAGAGGTATGCATTCTTCATTAGATTCAAGGATTTGATGCTAGCACACAAAATGCACAGATAAAATATTTGTAGATACAGATTTTAGTACCAACCACTGGATAGAACCCCATTATGCAATAATACATGTACTTTGATAGTGTATACAATAAACATTTGATATAATCAAAAGTAGTAATGGTCTTTTTATATAGATTGGTTTGTATAGAATTACCATATTGCTTTACCTAGTGATACTACAGTAGATTGGCTTTTCTTTATCCACAATGAATGGATATAAATAAGCAGCCGACAAGCATTTGTTATGATCTCAAATAATAAAAAACGTTTCTATTGTCTCTCGGATTTGGATTCTTTTGTTTGTGTGCAAAACACATAAAGGAAGCCAGTGACTGATTTATGTTTTGAATTATTAAAAAGCTGTTGTTGCTGTGCCACTGATGATGACGTACATGTTAACTGGGCTTGGTTATTAAAGTGTTTTGGAGGGAGATCATGTTATCTCCTGTGGGATCAACCAGTTACTGGTATGTACTTTAACAGCAACAAGCTCATATATCTTGCTAAGAATGAAATATTTTCTTAAAAGCAATGGTAATAGCAATATACACACATGTACTATAAACACTGTTCTCCTGTATTTGTTCAGAATGGGAGGCACAGAGCAGATCTACAACATGGCAGCTCCAAAGTAACCAATGGCAGAATACCTTCTCTTGGCTGCAGTAACAGACAAATGGAGATAGAGGTAATCATGAAAGAATGAATATGGTTGGTTGAATGGAGTGACATGCTTGAATGGATTAGAATGGGTGTGAAGGGTATTATATGGGGTCTCTAGTCGTATGAATAGAAAGAATTATTGTATTTTCAAGTTTTAGATTGTTGTAATGTCATTTTATATTACGATCATCTTTGACAATGTTGTTGGCACAATAATGATAATCATATCATTGTGGAAATTCTATCAACAAAGCGGTTAGAAAATGTATCCTCTTGACATTACAAACAGAAAATTACTAGTAACATTACACAGATATTTAACTGCATGGTTTCCTTTGTACCACAGAGTCTTATTGACTGGAACAAACCACTGCTGGGGCAGGTAGGGCAGCTTGGTGACCTTTACGACGAGTGGGTTCACTATCCCGTGGAGAAACCGTACCGACTCTTCCACTCCGAGGTGTGCGAGTTCTTTTCTCGATGCCCGTGGTTCCTGGTGCCAACGTTGTGGTTGCCCCTAGCGATGTACTTTGCCTTCACGAGCGTCGTGGAGCTACATCAGGGCCAGGTGCAGGTCTTCACACAAACATGCAGTGGTCAGTCTCGTCAGTTTTACCCAGTTTGTTTGCAAACGAGACAACTCAAAATGTTTTGGATGAATTTTCACGATTTTACTTTGTGAACAGGTTTGGCCAAAAGGAACAGGTGAATAAATTTTTGGGAAATATCTTGTCCCAGAGTTTATAAGGTCCAGGAATTTTCTGAAGGTTTTATTCTTTGTTAAATTTTGATTGAAAGATTCTACAATTTTCAGTCTATTCTGACTGAAATCATTAAATAAGCGCTCCATCTCATATTAATCAATCTTTAGTCGAAATTGTTGTTCTTAACATGACCAAATTCAATTCTTATGTTTAATGTTTAAAATTGAAAAAAAAGCATACTCTAATGTTTGATTTTCTTGTTTTGTTTAGCCTTGAAGTTTACAGCCCCAGTGCCCCTGTTCCCGGTGGTGTTTGCTGTTGGTGTGATGTTGTGGACATTCTGGGAGTACTGTTTACACCGCTTCCTGTTCCATTCCAAAGCCGTGACCAGTTCACCTGGCCTGATCATCGCACACTTCTTACTACATGGACAACACCATAAGGTGGGCAACAGCTGTATAAAGTGTTGTAATTTCAACTTGGAAAGAGATTATTTTTTATTACTACATGACAAATATTTCTTAATCATGACGCATTCAAAGTACAGAGCTGGAAATACCACTTTGCATAATATTATGCAGTTTAGTACAGGTAAAATTGTAGCTCTGTATTTCTGATATCTACATGCACCTAACCTGCAGTGGACTTAAGTCCATGTACTGGATTTATATCAGGTGTATGTGGATTTTATTTGCTGCATTAACTGTTATGAACATTTTTTAGTATTATTCATACTTTCTAAATCTGAGCAGTACGAGTCAAATTTCTCTGCAGGTAATTTTAAATTACCGACCCAGGGCAGGTATCCAGAAAAAAAATACTTCAACCCGACGTTGGTCCTACTGAACAATAATCAAACATGTTTGTTTTTTTCATGTTCTTTTTTAGGTGCCATTTGACCCTGGACGTCTGGTGTTCCCTCCCGTGCCGTGTTCCGTGTTCGTGACGCTGTTTTACCTCCTGTACTCGCTGCTGCTGCCCCGTGCCTTGGTGCACGCGCTAGTGTCCGGGAAGCTGTGTGGTTATGTGTGTTACGACCTGACACACTACTACCTGCACCACGGTTCACCCAAGGAGAACTCCTATTTCCACAGACTGAAGTCATACCATGCCAAACATCACTTCTTACATCAGGAGACAGGTCAGTTGGCAGGGCTGATAGCATATTTCCATCCAGAATAATGTTTTATTCATTTGATGAACCATGCTTTCTAATAACAGTTGACAGGGGCTGATAGTTTCATTCAGAATATCTACAACATTTAACTTTAAGGCATTTTCAGATTTTGTGATATCAGTTGTTCTCTTAATGTTTGTTTTATTGATTTGACGAACCATGATTTCTGATAATGCAGTAATGAATAATTTTTTTTCTAATTTCTTTTGATAGGTTTTGGTATTTCTAGCAAGTTCTGGGATCGTCCATTTGGAACCCTCATTCCTGGCTCTTGAGGAGAGATTTGTGTGAGTGTCCAGTAAAGGCTGCTCCATTGAAGAGTTCAGGGGGAAGTCAGAACCTTTTTTGGGGCCCTAGCCACACCATCCCTTGATGTATGAAATGATTTAACCCTAAAAGACTGTCTTCTGACCATGGTACATTTTTGTACTGGATAAAGCATGATTCTGGACACAACACTTTCGTCCAAACAACTCCGAACCACAGTACATCAAGGTGATCTAAGGATATTGTGTTCAAACATACTAGGGATGTTATGTTTTGGATAGTTTTTGGATTAATACCTGTTCAACTACAGGTTCCCTTAGTCACTGAGGAAAAGTAGTGGATATTGCTTGAAAGATGCATTTGTAAAACATCCGATAATCATTAGATTCTTGAAGAGTTATGGTGCTCTGAAATTTTTGAAACTGAAAAACTAGACAACAAAAAGGACTGTGTCACAGAAAGTGTTTTAAGCCCACCTGAATTCTCAATGGGGAAGAGCCTTCTGGACAAGTAGAGTGTGCTGCATATCATACTTAGTTAATCTACTGTAAAAATTGTTATATAATTGAACAAGCTGCAGTAATAAGTGCCCTTAATTCACAAAAAAGAATGTACATATCATTAATATCTATTTTACAGTATAGATAAATTATTCAATTCTCACAATATATATCTATATCAAAACTAGCCAATAGCATTGTGAGCTGATTTCTTGTTATTTGTCATAGTTATGTGCAGTCATGTATCTTTAATGGTAGACATACATGTTGAGATTTTGTGAGATTTACCTATGGTGGATGCATGCCTCTCTTTTAGGGGCATTAAATTCCCTAGTGCAGTGGATTACATATCTAAGAGATCCTACATATATGTTCTAGTACACAGGATCTTTTGTTGTTTGCTTCTGTGGTGCATGCAACTGACAATCATATCAAATGTTGAAAGATGGCATTACGTTGTTTGTGATATATTTTCAAAATACCATTGCTTTTTGCTTGGTCATTACAATTTATTAGTGTATGTGTTTTATGTTTGTATGTCACTTTTTCATAGTAACTATTATATACATTCCTTTACTTATTGCTTCATATCAAGGTTTAATACTAGTATTTCTATTTTTGCAATCCCAAAGATCTAGATAAGCTCTATAGACTTGAATGTATTTTTGTATAGTGTATAAGACCACACTATTTTCCTATGGAGTAAGGATGTAGAAACACTAAAGATTGTGTATTCATACCCCCTTCTGTAAAATCCAGTTACTGGTACCTTGTTAAGACAGAAGAACAGATAAAACCTGGACTGTTGGGTATTTACGTATGAGACAACAGAACTAGTATTGATGGCTAACCTGAATAGTAAAGTTATTTTAATATTTACAACCAGTTGTTTTACATGAGCCGACGTTTTGGTGATCGTCTGTGATCTTCATCAGGGATAATATGACTAGTTTGCTGTGCAGTGGCGCTAGGAGTTAGTTACTGCACTGTTACAGTAACATCTAGCTTCAGTGCACAGCACAGTGAACCATGAAACACCTAGCTCCAGTCGTATCAGTAAACCAGGCAGTCATTGAAATGTTGGCTGGCTCATGTAGAACAAATGGTTGTGAATAAAAGAACTTTACTATTCAATTATTCACCAACCTGATGAAATTACTAACAGATGGCTAACCTGCTGTATCATTGGTTATACCTATTTTCTACCAGATCTCCAGGGAACAAGGTTTTCTAGTAAGATTACCTAAACTTTCTACAACTTTTATTGCTTGACCAGGACTGGTACAGACTAATTGATACTTGTGCCTTATTGTATGGAAGTGCTGCCATATCACAGCATTGCTATAAATCATTTAGAGGTATCTGAAATCTAACATCTAGCAATCTGAAGTCTATACTTTTACTGCTATCACTACATAATGGTTGTCGACTCAATTTGAAATATTGGAGAATGGTAGCTATGTTGTATCCTTTTTTGTGTGAAAAAAGTAGATAATAAGTAGTACATCACATACATATAGTGGATATTAGTTATAAATGAAAATGTACTATGCTGATTCATTCCTTACGTACCATAATTATGAGAAAAACTTGCTTCTTGTTGTGTAGTTGTAGGTAGTATATTGTTGAAGGTGTCAAAGAGCTGAAGTACAAACATTGGAGCTGATGTTTCCCAGTTTGTCCTTATACATGAATATTTTCACACAGTACGCTTGTTTCTACATCAGTGGTGAATTTGGTGAATAAAACAACGACTAAGTTGCTTGTCTCTTGCAAGGAACAAAATTGTTTGTGATTATTTTATGACCAAAAGACACCAAAGAATGATTCAACTCTATCATAGTGGCTGTTATTTTTGAGGGTACAAGTTAGTTGATGGCTCATAACTCATTGTAAAGGTTACAGCATGGTAAGATGATGTCAAGACTCAATGAAGCTTAGACATCCAGGTAATAAGATGCACACAAAAAAAAGTTGCTCGAGGAACTGGATATGTTTTTGAAAATGGTCAGACTTGCCTTGACTTTGTCGAACTTTCATTTCCTATTGGACTTCTCATTATTTGCATATCAATAGTTTGTTCATCTTGAGATCTTCCCAGTGTCACTGAGGAAAGGTAGTGGATGCTACCTGAAGCTAACCGTTTCCAAAATCATACCCAGTGGCTTGAGGAACTGTTTTATAGGTGACTATCATGACTGGTTCTTTTCCCCCCTGATAGTGATAAAGGACCCAGTAGCTAGTCTAAGAGGAATGTAGCCATCCTTGTTGGCAGAGACAACAACAAATCCCTCTTTACAACACATCTCCACTGTTCTAAGGCCAAACACTTCCTGAACTACCCCAAGCTTCAACATGCCTCTATCTAGTAAAAACATCTTCACAACCTTCTCATCAGACAATTCTAAATCCTCATATGCTATATGTACAACTTCAGCATTTTCTAGACTAGGATATTCAGGATACTGTTGGGCATCCCTTGTGTGTATTCTGGAGTAGGCGATAAGGTTTTCTTTTACTTTTGTTATCTTCTCTACTTGTTGTTTCATCTCCCTTTCTAATGACTCCACAGTATGTAATGTGCTTGGAAGAAGTTTTAAATCTGTAACAGTTTCATGCTGTGTAGTTATCACTTCTTCGTTCCCCTTTGAAAAGTGCTGCATTGATTTTAACCTAGTAGCTACATTGTGAGATGGCAAGTCTCCTGAGCATTCTGAGGTGCAACTTTCATAGCAGGTGTTTCTTTTTGCACCTCGCAGTGGTTCCTCATTTTCAACTGTTTGGTCACTTTGTTGTGAAGGTTTGGTCACATCTTGCAGCAGGTGCCTGGGGTTTTGTGAGGCACTTGTCTGTGCTTTTGACTGGTGAAGTTCATGGCCAGGTCTTAACAGTGAAGGAAGAACCCCACCATTTGGCAGCCTCAGCTGAGACAATTCTACCTTCTCCTCTTTTTGGGATGTCTCCTGAAGATCCTCAAGCTCAAAACATCTGGACGAGTAGGAAAGTTATCAAGAATAGAGATGATAAAACTTAATTCCTTTTTGTTGAAACCCAAAAACACAAAATACAATGGAGAGAATAGCAGAAGACCACCTGATGAAAACTGCAAGACAGTCTTTAATTTGAAGGTGTGGGTTATTTGCATAACGTGAGGTCAAAGATGGGTGGATTGCTCATTCCTTGACAAAGACTGGAGTTGTACAGTTGGAAATTTGGGTAAGTCCAATTTCTAGTGTTGGAAATTACAGTTTAAACTTGTTTCATAATAGTATTTAGTTTTTTTTGGCAAATGAGAATAATTAAGGTGGAAGATTTTCCAAAGAAAATTTTAGAGATAGTGAGCCTTCTTGTGTAGCTTACCTAAGTCTGAGTTGGTACATCTCTTGTGTAGATGTGGGGAGAAGAGCAGCAAAGTCCTGTTCCATGGGCTTCCCTACCATAGCAACAACACACCCCTGGTCTGGCATGTGAATCCCTGTGTAGTATGTCCAAAACACAATATTTAACAGACTGCCAACCAAAATACCATTACTGATATCTATGAATGGAAACAAAAGTATAATTCATTATTAGGAATCCTACGGGAACCATCTATATATAGGAAACAGAAGTATCATCACCTTTGGCCTTCTCTCCATCAGTAAGAATGATCTCCTGCAGTTTCTTCAATCTTGTACCTTCCTGCAGAGAGAAAACCTGGAGTGTGTCTGCTGTGTTACTGCCAACAGTGATGTGTCCACACCTGGGATTGGCTGGACATACAAACAAAAGACAAATGCTGTTAGCCAATCAAAAAGAGTGATGAATGTAACATACAACTGTTGATCCATCAGGAAGTCATTTCAAATTACCTTAGATGTGTAGTGACAACAGATTATACTTTAACACTTGTTGAAAATGCTCTATATATGATAATACTATTAATAGCTGAAAAAAGCTCACAAACCTGCTATGAGATCTGGCGTGATGATCCTACTCAGCCCCACCCTACTCAGCTCCCTGACATCTGTGCTGTCCACTCTGAACAGCATCAACTCAGCTGTCTCCTTGACGGCAGGCTTAGGAAACAGTCTGAACAGCATGGGTGGGGCTGGTGTACGTCGCCTTGTGGCACACAGGGCTGTCAGGTCAACTGGGCCTGAGAAGTCACAAGCAAACAGGTTGTTATTGAAACTGTACACATCTGATGGCTACTACTAGTATACATGTGTGATTGAACGCTCTGCAAAATGTATCACTATTAAAGCCTTGGCAATACAGCCAACTACCTACAAAGTCATGCATTGCACTGATAGATAATCTTGGAGTACTTCAAATGTAGTAAAAAGAACTTGAATACCTTACCTGTTGATAGTGCTGACAACTCATCAACAGAATCGGTTTTGTCCTCTGTATCGGAGTTATGGATAGGTTCAAATATCCCATCTGAAGTGTCAAACATGTCACCTTGGCAACAGAGGGTTTCTAGGGGCAGGTCTGTTGTCATGGCAACCAGGTTACTGCCTACTAAGGTCATTGACCTTATGTTCACAGATGATTCCATGGTGATGACTGTGGCATCAGCAATGTTAGGTTTGGTACCTTTGCCCCATTTGTTGAAAACCTGACAGAGAAAAATGTGAATGTTACAACAGGAGAATTAAGATACAAATGTATCATTATAGTGATAGTATCTTATCCTAACTTCAAATCAGTCATTCAAAGAAGTTAAATCTATTACTCAGTAAAAAGGCTCACCATGAAATCTACACTTGTTTTCTTCTTTACTGCAACAATAAGACATGGATTGTCGCCTGTCACCCATACACCTGTGCAGACATGCCCCCTGTTGGACATGTCAAGAACTACAGGCCTGCTGCTGCTGTGTTGGTCTAGAGTTGTAACTATCTTGTCTCGTGCCAGAATACAGAGTATTGGTTCAGAAGGGTGCCACAACAAGCCCTGTGGCAATGGAGAAATGTCTGGGAAGATAAATGAACATTTGAAGTCAAAACCTTGATAATTGTCCATTGGATATAAAAAATTATGAGAGGTACAATGATGAAAAAAATGATGCAAGGATGTGACAGTCAATTTTAGCTAGAGAAAGTCCTTACCTAGATGGGTGACTTGTTCAGAAGTTAAATTTGTCGTTTCTGTACCCTTGACCAGCCACACGCTGACCCCTTGTCCAGTGCTCACGGCCAGATGCCTACTCAAAATGATGGGCAAAAGTTTGGGCTTCACACAACAATTTGAGCTACTCGGCTCACAAACTGAGTTACAAACACGCCATAAAACAGTTACTCAAGCAACTGGATATGATTTTGGAAACAGTCAGACATTTCAGGCAGCATTCACTACCTTTCGTCTAACTTTCACCAACAAGTGACAAACAAAAAAACAGTCAGCTATCCAACCAATGCATTCTGATGAAAACATAACCTCTTTATCATTAGGTGTGTTAGCTTTAGGATGCTACATACCGGGGTACATGTAGTTCTAAAGTAATAATATGCCTCACCTGCAGCCAGTACTGACCTCAGCACTCCAAGCCACAGTCTTGACCTTGTCATGCTTCCTCAAGGTCACAGGATCACCACAGGTCACATGACTGCCCACGTGGGACAGTGGGGTCAGCAGTAGGGCCTGTCCATCTCCCCAGACCAGCCCCAGGTCAGGGTGGACAGTATACTGGAGAGTGTTGATGTTGTTTCTCTGGAGCCTCCCGTAACCAAGCTCCATGGTGTGGTATTCTCACTAAGAAGAAATTCAATAAAAAAGTGTTAATAACAAGTAAAATCACTTCTGACTTAGTAGTATCTAAAAAGATCATAAATTAATGATGAAAAATAAAGTAGGGTTTGGTCAGTCCAAAGTACACGACACAATTTCCATTAACAATATAACAGACACCATTGACCTTATGTGTTTGAAGAAGAAAAAACAATATGTTTTTCCCAGTGATTCACAAGAGCCAAATAATTTCGGGTAGCTATTAATTCCTGGGAAGTCATAATATGTTTTGCTGGGTGGGTGGGTGGGGGGCGACTCTTACACACTGCTATAATTTTTGCAGATTAACTAAAGCTACAGAGCTTTAGGGTGGGCAGTTAATTTGCAAGCAGGGTAACGTTCACTACTTGAAGCTATAGAGTAGGTTTTAAACGCATCGCAACCTACCTTTTCTCCTGTATGATCCTGTATCCACTAGTACGTTACTTGTTGGCAACAGCTGTGGTTGAAAAAAAAAGCGCGCGAACAAAATCTCACCTACGACCTCCTACGACCTATGACCTAAAAATTTCAACCGCATCAAAACATGTCCAAAAAGACTCCAATAGGTTCTATGACTTACGTTTCAGCTCGATTGTAAGGTAGCAATTAAAAACGTACGAAATATAAAATGTGTATTTTAGAGTCATGTCTTACCTTTGATTACCCATAGCCTATATTATATACGTGGTAGAATGACAGTCAGCATCCTTTGCACTCCGATGCCGTCACAAATTGTTCGTCTGCTGTTTTGTCGCTGCTTTGTCTGCTAATTTGAGGTGAATTAGTGGTAAGTTGAGACGTTTAATTAGGTGATCAAAACCCTTTTACTAACTTAGCCCATAAAACGATTTGCAGGTGATCGTTAATGGACCTTAATGTACCCAAGTATCATAGAAAGCGGTCGTATTTACCCAAAATCGAAATATGGCTTAGTTTGTAGGGGGAGGGGTATAATTTTTTCGGAACGTCAAAAAGAGAACAAACGACTAGTACATGTGTCCCGAAAACCAACAACTGCCAAAACAAACTTTGGAATGATGGAGTCATAACATTGTAAATTGGTTTCACGCTACAGATTTAGAATATACGTGCTTTGAAAGTTGCATATATGTTCACTAACACTTGATGATTGATAATTTACACCGAACAACCAGTTTTTACACCATTAGTTTAACTGGTGGGCCAGGCAGAGACGAGACGAGTGTGATCAGTATCAGGTGATGGCAGGAGAACTGAGGGGCGTGCCTGTAGGACGGGCACCGCGTATTGTGTACCTCAGCCGGATAGAGAGTTTCAGTGCGTCACACAGGCTACACAGGTGGGAACAACAGGTCTTTTAAATTACTTTGCTGTCTTAGTATGTTATCAATCTGATTACATGTATCTCTTCCAAGGAAGTTACATTATCATCCTTAACTTTCTGAAAGGCCTTTTTTTATTTTGTTGATTTCTTTCATGTTGTTAAATTTAATATCCATTGCTTAATTGCCATGTTTCCAGCCATTAATCACTTTGTTGTATGTCTGTGTTATTGTAGTAACCAGCTAAGTGACGAAGAAAACCTGCGGATATTTGGGAAGTGCAATAATCCCAATGGACACGGGCACAACTACAAAGGTGTCTGTTATTTTGTTGTCATCAGTCAAAGTCGACAAACAGTGTGACACAAGGAGCAAAACATCGAATGTCTGCAAATTAAGGATATACATTGCAACATCTATTTAGAAAAGACTTCTGGCAATTTTATTCATATGGTACATTTGAAGTTTTTTGCTTTTTCTAAATATGGCATATATACCTCTATGCTAAGTTACCTGTGTATCTTGGCTGTATTAATGAGTAAACCCAATTATTTATCTTGCAGTGGAAGTGACATTAAGAAAGGAGGTAAGTTCATTCATGGTTTCTCAATGGCTCAAGTGATACTTGCTGGATCTTGAGGCAGCATGCAATATTCCAACAACGATTAAGAACTGGAGTGTCTTAAAAACAAGCATAATCAAGCATTGAAAGAAATGTCATCTTTGTAGCTGACCGACATGTGTATACTAGTAGTTTATTGTGCTTCAGTTCCTGATCCTGAGTAGTAGTAATGATCAGAGTTCTCGGGTGTCGTCTTCAATCTCCTCTTAGGTTGATCCTGTGACTGGAATGGCCATGAACTTAGTTGACCTCAAGAGTGTCATGCAGGTATGCAACTCATTTCCCTAGTTACTTACAACAAAATGATTTCCACTGCTGCCATCTTTGTGACATAAACTAAAGACATTATGTTATACTGTAGTTTAACAAATGAACAATTCTGTGACTCCTTTCAGAGAGCAATAATGGAGCCTCTTGACCACAAGAACTTGGATAAGGATGTGCCATATTTCCAGAGCATTGTCAGGTAAATATATATCCTTTCATTCCATTTTCACAATATCATCTCTACAATGTACTTTGCTTAGATTGTGTAGTGTGCAATTCCTTTGTGCATACAGTAATCACCATTTCTCTATAGTCAAATCAAATTAAACACAGATACATGTGTAGTTGTAACATTCTAAATGTATATATTCAATGTAACATTCTTTCATTGATAGCTATCAGTGGCCATCATAGATAGATTTTAACAATGTTTAATGTGTTTTGCAGCACAACAGAGAATGTTGCCATCTATATATGGGACAACATGATGAACTTTTTACCAGACGGGACATTGTACGAGGTCAAAATCCATGAGACAGACAAGAACATTGTGTGCTACAGGGGGGAATAGAAAAGTACAAAAATTATGGAGCAGGGGATTACAAAATGTATTCAATAAGATAAACAGCTTAAACAGATATACTTTGCAAACAGTACCATTAGAAAATACACATATTAGGACAAGTGTCCAGGGTTCTGTGTTGCTATGGCCATATGAGCTTGATATCTTGTATGTCAGATTAAGATAGTTCAAGCAGTCAGGTAAAAGATGAAGTGTTAAGGTTAGGAGTACTAGTACTTTCCAATGGAGAACTGAATCAAAAGATTTTGATATTGTGTCTATGTATCTGACAAGACTGCTGCTTAAGTTGCTTGAATATGTATTTTAATGTACATGAAGTAGTGATGTACTACTTTGCGATTTTTGTTTTCAAACTTCCAACAGAAAAAGCCATTATTTCTAGCTTGAATGTAAAATTTTAGTAAGGAAGTTTTAGTTTTAACTATTTACTTCTGATCAGTTCAAATCGTTCCATGGATTGGATCACATAAAAATTTGATGTAAATCGTTGGTGGCAGGAAAAAATGCCACTTGCTGCAGGTAGAGATATACCAATTCTGGTAGTGAATGTCCACACTCAGGAAGTAAAGGGTTGTTAGTGTAAATGATAATGTTATCACATGCTATTGATGTGTATACAGTACATGTATGTTGACTAGGGTGGCCTGGCTCAAGCCTGCTATCTATTCCTATTATAGCTGACAAGTCTCTTTCATTCCTGTCCTAAAATATCTGAGAGACTTGGTGACAATAACTGGGATGGATTCTAGGCTGGCTGTTTTGTCACACATATGCTTACATCTCTTTACAGTTTGATATTGTATGTTGGTGTAAGTTGTGTCTGTGTGAATAAAATCAATCAAGAAGAAAAGTGGTTGATATGCAGTCAGTTTTATTACCTATGATAAAATATTTAGAAATCATAACCATGAGCCTTTAAAATAAGCCACAAATATTACAAAGAACCAATTGATACAGTTCATCAGATATTGTGTGCAGTAAACTGAGTAAAATTTGTAATGGTTTCCTTGCTTTTCTGAATGATGTCTCTCTTGGACTGTTCATGAATATCAAATTCAAAATATCACTTCACCCATATGAACTACCAAAATATCTTTGCTTGGTGGAAAACTGCTATCCTGCAGTTTTGCACTCCCAATATTATCTTGATTTGTCAATATGACACAATGACCTTACAGTACCATACCTGCAGAAGTACTAAGTACAAAAAGTTTTGTTGGAAGACTGGATTTCATCAATACACTTCAATCACATTATCATTTCATTTTGTAGGCCTTACTCTGAGATGCAGATGTATACATTTGCTTTTTAAAGGTCATCATCAAGCAATCATCATATGGTAGGCAACCTCTCAAAATTGTTTGACTGTTCCCAATATGCGTTTCAGTGGAAGATTATATTTGTTTTCAAGACATTGTCACCAGGTAATGAGGTATTGTATGAGGTCTCAGATGGTGAGTTCACTTTTTAATTTATCAAGATTTCTGGGACTACAAACTGTTTTCTTCAGCTTGAATTTACAACAAAGGTTGACAAGCCAAGAAAGGAGATACATTTTCCAGTAAAAATAGTGGTGACAGTTTTCTATTTTTAATTTAGTATTTATGATCATTTGAGACAGTTTTCTATTTCCATATATGATCATTTATGACAGTTTTCTAGCTGGTATTTTTATTTATGATTATTTATCAGTAATCTTCATCTTCTTTGCCATACCAGCCATACTGTTTACAACAACCCGGAATTTTTTCAGCACAAGCTGGGCATCTTCTGCATTGATGTGATGATGGGTGACACATCGAATCCCACGTTTGAAATCCGTAGGGTACATTGGGACACGGACGTTCACGTCTAGGCTGTCACTGGGGTCGTAGGTGTTTAACATCTCACAGAACTGGCCGGGGGTCACGGCGTGTGACACAAGCTCAAACACAATGATGTTACTCTGCACAGCATTCAGGTCGATCTGTAACACTGATGGGTCCATGCTGTGGATTCCTGGGAGGCAAATATAAATGTTTTTGTAAGGGAATGTCCATCATACAATGTACATGTTCTACCCCAGTGCCGACTATGTTTATGGTTCAATCAAGCAGGTTTGATATCTTTAAACCTCCTTGGTTCAATTAAATAATGACTCAAGTAGACAGTATGTCCCAAATTTAACTGCAAACGGATCATTATGTAGAAATAAGTCTCCAGAAATATGTTGTAATGCATTGTGATGCTATTGTGTGAAACATAGCACAATAACCTTAGAAAATGAGCCAATTATTTTTTTTACTTTAGATTTGCATTAGATTTCTGGTATCTAGGATTACCATCCATACTCAATGTGGTGTAACCTTACCCTCTGCAATGGTCCTGGCATTGTCGTGATCCTGGTGCAGTCTGGCAGCGCCATCTGTGATGGCCAGGAGACCAGCTGCAGCGAGAACACCTGCCTGCCGCATGCCACCACCCAGCACCTTCCGCAGCCGCACGCACCTGCCAAAAATTTCATTCTCCTGTACCTTCTAACAACTCCGTGTAACAGGTTTTCAGATATATAAGTTCAAGAACTTATCAATCTGATTTTGTTATGTGTTGAGTCTGTAACAGTACAGGATAGTGCAAGCAAATAATCACACAAATGGAACAAGTTGGACATAGTAGTAATGATGCATATTGTAATACACCCTACATATGACAGCCAACCCAACAGCCATACCTTGCTATGAAGTCTTTCTTGCCACCTATGACAGAGCCAACTGGAGCACCCAGGCCCTGAAATACAGTATGTTGTATTAGCTAACATACATAAGGTCTAATGATTATGATTATAACATACCAGTACTGAGTGATGGCTTAGTTTCAAGTGAAACAATGAGATTTTCTGGTTGTGTCACCTGGTTATGATCAAGGAGAATTTTTTAAATATCCTAGATATAACTTAATAGGCCTAAATTTGGTTTAGTTACTAATTACAACAAGTTAAGTCTTGTGGAAAGATAGGTACCTTAGACAGGCACATGCTGACAGAGTCGCAGTACTGCAGGATTTCACTAGGTGGCACATTCAGTGCTGTGGCAGCATTCATCAGTCGAGCCCCATCCATATGGACCAGAAGTTTGTGTCTGTCAGCAAGACTTCGCAGCTGCAATGGAGACAAAAACTTCAGATGGAGACAAAACAAAAACTTCCAACTGTCCAGAAACTCTACAAGTATGATTCTTTACCTATATTATATAGTACATATGTCATATGAACCTGCTAAATTTTTTTTAGGAATGAGTCAATGGTTTATTGAATGAATGATCTTGATTCAAAAATGAACTTAAAGATCATTCACTCAATAAACCATCGACTTATTCATTAACTCATCTGTCAGTCAAACTTTTACTGACTTACTAACTCATATTCACAAACCCTCAATCACACAAACACTTGTAGGTAGAAAATCTTTACCAGTATTACATGTAAGATCACCTAGTAATCGAATGATTCCTTCCTTCCCTACCTCTTGTAGAAAGCTGAGAGGTAGCACCCTCCCACCACAGATGTTCTGTGTGTTCTCCACACAGATGAGGCGGGTGATGGGCAGGTGGGGGTCACTGGTCCTGATCTTGGACTCCACCTCGCCAAGGTCAAACGTACCGTCTGGTTTGTTCCTGACTGTCCTGGGGTGGATGCCTCCCAACTGTTGAAGAAGATAGAAAAGAAACAAAGCATTATACATTTTCGTAGATACAGACAGCCTAAACAGACTACAGTAACTGTTCTGTTTATTGCTACACAAATTTTTTTTTACATATATATAACATGGTGAGCAGACCCTCTAGCTGTCCTGCTACAAAATGTAACCCAACACCACAGGGTGTCTGCTACAGCACCAGTTACCATGGTGACAGATATCTGGTGCAGGTTATCGACTGTTATTTGTTTGGAGAAGAAGATGTATGAGGATCAGTATATAGAGTCCATTAAAAGGCTTTGTCTTTACCTGTGCAGATCCACCCTGTTCATAAATAAAGATGTGAGCACAGTCTCCTAGCAGCATCTCAGACCCACGCTCCCAGCAGTGGGCCATGACTGAGGAGCAACACAACAAGGCCATGAGAAAGTGTCTGATCTCATGTAATACTTTGCAATTTTATATTTTTGTACCAAGTTTATATGGTGCAATGTAAAAACTATGGAAATATGTCAAAGTTCTGACAGTGCAGTATGAACTTTGGAAGGATTCATACATGTAATGCTAGATAAACAAGTTCTTTATCTCTCTTTGTCTTGGGGCTAATTATCAGTAGACTACTTTACCAGTTTGTTGTATATATGGAATGAAACTCACTAGAGCAGAAGTTTCCCATGGTTCCAGTGGGAACAAACAGGGCTGCCTCCATTCCAAACAGTTTAGCAACCTTTTCCTGCAGAGCTGGTTGGGGATAAAATGAAACATGTTTAACTACTTGCTGGAATAATAACTGTCATAATTCTTCAACTTATCAAGATAACTATTGCAATCCCCATTGTCTCTTTTACAAGTTTATTCAGTTACTGGTGGTTCGCAAATCAGACACTTGTGAAACATCTGTGAGTTTCAAATGTAGCCTCACCATTTACAGTAGGGTCCTCCCCATATACATCATCTCCTACCTCAGCCTCAGCCATTGCCTGGCGCATGGCTGGTGTAGGCTTGGTGATGGTGTCGCTGCGCATGTCAATAACACGGACACCGCCATCTTCCTGATTGTTCGACCCACCTCCTTGGTACATGGACATAGTTCTCTTTGGGTAGAGCTGCACTGGTGCTATTCTTCTGGTACACAAAGGTAGAGGGACTGCTCTGTCTACAAGTGAAATTAAATGTACTTTCCTGGTAAAAAGTGTCTTGTACAAAGTAGAAGTCAGTATCCTGCTGCAGGATATTCCAGTCCAAACAAACATGTCCTTTGGTGTCAGCACTACTGTAGCCTTGCCACTACTGTAAGATCTACACATGCACAAGACAGATAGTTCCTGAAAGAGAGTACAGAGGTGATCATGTCATTGGATGTTTGTAAAATCATCTGATTCTGAGTAGAGTATCTAGGCATAATTGGGAGTTAGGCAGTTTCTGAGGAGGATGTCCAGGAATATGGGGTGTGTTGTGAGAGTTACAAGTTACAAGGTTCTATCAGCAAAACTGTTAACGTTACTTCTATAACTGTTACGTAGATTATTGGAGTGTTGACAAAAAGGCTCCACCCCTGAGGCGTCACCAAGAAAAAACCCTCAACGTCCGTTTCAATCTCGATATTAAAGGCGTTGGATGTTTCATGTAGTGTGATTGCCTTGTTCAAAGCATTTACATAGTACAATCATTGTCGCACTTGTTGTATGTAGGTCTTGTAGGTTAGAATTTTAAAGGTCACAATTTACCCTATCTAGAATGATCATAATAGCGTATCTATATGGTTATACAAAACAAATCAATGATACTGACCAGTATCTTGCTGCTAAAAGAAGGGACATGAGCTTGTTACCCGCATGAAAACCGACAAGAATCTTGCGTTTTTGCAGATAAACGTCCCAGCACGTTGTGGGCCGCAGCACTTCTACTTGGACCGGGTTATTGACCTATAGGTGAACCCGAGAACGCATCCAAACACCAAAATATTTCTACTTAGATGATATGCTCTTAATTCAAACAGACACAAAATACTATAATACATTAAATATGAATTATTATTCTAGAGGTATTACTCTCATAAAGTTTGTATCTTATCTGCTTAGATAATACCAATAAACACACGTAGGTTTTTAGCTACGTGTAGATGCTTTCTATTGGCTCCAAAGTTCGTCTGCTGAAGACTACCTACACGGAGAAGACAGTTTAGATGTTGTTTTGTAGGTGTTTAGAATATTGCTATGCTCTTCTTCTTCGCTATTTTACATGTTAGCTGATTTAGTCTTTGTAAATGTGTTTGTCTACTTCAAATCTATAGATCTGTGCTGTATAGTGAGCCGCAATATGGAAGGGGAGTGGTGGGGAGGGGGGCGTGGCAAATATTTGGCATGGGTAAACTTTGTAACTTGTTGTGATCATTTTGTCACTCAAGTATATCAGAATATATCTTTTATAGATCAGTGTTATATACCGGTGGATTAGAATGTTATGCAATGTAATTTTGGAATTGGCACTTGCAAAGTTGAATATCAGGAAAAAATTCTTCAGTGTCAGAGTGATCCAGGAATGGAACAAGTTACCACCGGAGACGGTGAATCAGACGTCAGTAAACAGATTCAAGAGTAGCATCGACGAATACATACGGAAGAAGATGACCATAGGAGCTACTAAGGGCTACCCGCCTTCTGGCTCCTGGTCTCTGCAATTCAGGTAAATTCAGGTAAATTTATACCATGTAAGCCCCACGAGCGCAAACACTCCAAAAAGTTTTGTAATGTTCAGGTTTTGTTTTGCCCAGTTTAGTGTTTACTTGACAACGTGACAACTCGACCATGACTGGATCAGCCACTATCAGGAGGTTAGCTGCCATCGCCTTCCTCATCACAGTCCTCTCCACAAAATCAACACACAGCAAACACACCAACGTGGTTCTTGTCGGCGCAACAGGGGACCTGGCTAAGAAATATCTCTGGCAAGGCTTCTTTGACTTGTACCAGGCAGAACATGCCAAGGGGAACACCTTTTCCTTCTACGGAGGGGGAAGGAACAATGTAGAGGCAGGTGGTCCTATTCTACAAGAGATTGTAACAGAGAGTAGGAAATGTTCCACCGAGATTGATAGTTGTATACAGCAGAGAGAAAACTTCGTCGAAATGGTGAAATACCACAGACTGAAGTCAGAAGATGACTATGGAGAATTATGTAGAACCATTGAGGTAAACCTCAAACAGTCAGAGCTGGAAGAAAGTGGCAGAATCTTCTACCTCTCTGTACCTCCGTTTGCTTATCCGAGTATTTCGGCCAACATCCACAAGTTCTGCAGGCCTAAGGAAGCTGGTGCTTGGCTACGAGTCGTGGTGGAGAAGCCATTCGGACATGACCTGCAGTCAGCTGAAGAACTGGTGGAGAGTTTGTCGGAGTTCTTCTCGGAGGAAGAGTTGTACCGGGTGGATCACTACCTGGGGAAGCAGGCGGTGGAGGAGATCTTACCGTTCCGGCGCGGGAACTGGGACCTGGAGGCCATGTGGAACACAGAGCATGTAGAGAGGGTGGAGATAGTCATGAAAGAGACCATTGATGTGAAAGGTGAGAGTATAAAAAATCTGGAGAGAAAAGACTAATTAATAAGGTAACATACTACTAGTATACATACAGAGCTGTGCTGAAAGGTAACTACAAAGTCTTTGCTAAAGATTTCTTTTCAAGTTTAAAAACTTCAATAGCAAGCAAGGTTTGATTTCTATACAAAATACCATTATTAGATGTCCTATCAACTGTTAAATCTGATTTTAATATCACATTTTAAAAATTTCTTTCCAGGTCGATTGAGCTTCTTTGACAGCTATGGCATCATCAGGGATGTCCTCCAGAACCACCTGACTGAAATTCTGACCTTGGTTGCCATGGATGCCCCACAGAGAGGTAACCTCAGTGATTTCCAGCTGAAGAAGCTGGACCTCTACAGCCACATCCAACCTTTAACCTCAGAGGGCTCTCTGATTGGTCAGTATGAAGAATACAACGACCAATGGCAAGACGAGTTGCAAAAGGAAGACAAGGACATCAGCCAAACAGCAACTTTTGCTGCAGTTGTCTTTACCATAAACAATGACAGGTGGAAGGATGTACCATTTGTTGTTACAGCTGGTAAAAAGTTAGATGAGAGAGTTGGATATGTAAAAGTTGTGTTCAGGAAGCTTCTAGATGATGAAAACTGTATAAAAAGGGCTTGTCCTCATAATCAGGTCATTTTCCACATTGGACATGGTAAACTCAAGGTTCCTGCTGTGCTAGTTTCAAAGGGCCTTCCCAAACCAGTAGTGCCAATGGGGTGGGTTGAGTATGAACCTCCTGCAGATATGGAGATTTTTGATCTTCCTGCCAGTGCCTATCATGTCTACACCCCAGAGGTTGTCAGGGATGCATACAGTTCTATTATCGAGTCTGTGTACCATGGTCAGAGTGACCGTTTTGTCAGTTCTCCACACTTGCTAGAATCTTGGAGAATCTGGACTCCTCTTCTTAAAGAGCTGGAAGGAAAGGAGCCAAAGAAGTACCCCGGTGGAAAGGAAGACTCGACACTGCAGTACGTGTTAGTTGACGACAAATTATATTTTCTATCAGATCTGTTAGTTGATCAAAACGATGCATTTGCATTCTCAGCATCCTCTACACCAGGTTCATTAAACCTGGCTACTCTGCCATCTGTGTTTAGAGGTCAGAGGTTAGTCTCAGGCGACAGTGACAAAGTCATTACTCAACTGGCCAATGATATCAAAGAAATAGCCTTACAAACTCTCCAAAGAAAAGACCACTTTCACATTGCGTTCTCCGGTGGCAAGAGTCCCTTAAAGCTGCTGAACTATCTTGTCCTGGAGTCTGAGAGGATGGGGTTTCCATGGAAACAGACCCTTATTTGGTTTGTGGATGAGCGCTGCGTCCCCCACAGTGACGAAAGGTCAAACTTCTACTTCGTGGAAAAGAACCTTCTCCGCTACCTCAACATCCCTTTGTATAATATCAATCCCATGCCAGTGGGTGGGGCTTATGAAGAGTGTGATGTAAACGGGGCTGACCGATATCACAGTAAAATCTCCAACATCCTGGACGGTGCCTTTGACTATGTGTTACTCGGGGTGGGGTCTGACGGACACACGGCCTCCCTCTTCCCAGGATCCCCTGCACTGCAGGAGCGGGAAAAGTATGTCACACTCGCCGACGCGACAGGAGATGCGGAGGTCAAACAGAGGATGACCTTGACCTTTACATCCATCAACAAGTCCCGGAACGTTGGTGTTCTCATACTTGGGACGGGGAAACATGGTGTTGTTCAAAAGCTCCAGGATGGGGGAGTTGATGTGGAAAGTCTACCCATAACTGGAGTTAAGCCAGAGCAGGGCAGCATGACTTGGTACATTGATCACCAAGCTCTGTTTGGGCAGGAGTAGATTACGTTTGAGTTTCAATCTGTCCTGGATGACTTAACTGCGTGTTCAAGTACATACCATAATCTTGGTAATGCTTCTATTATGTTTTGGAACTGAAATCCAAATCATTCAAAAGTATAATGACAACTATGCAACATGGCTTACACTAAGTGTAAGTTTGTGGTCTATGAAGTATGATATTTACCTTGTGATTGTTTTTTTTCTTCAAGGAATGGAATAATGACACAGCACAATACAAACCAGAAATGATTTCACAATCATGGATCACAGGCTCAAACTGTCATGTCTAGTCTAGCTTTTATAAGTAAAACATCAATTGCTATGCTGCTATCTCTCTGTATATAAGGCAAACAGGTACTAGCTTTTCCAAAATTCTCATCCAGCCTTGAGTGATTGTTACACATGGGATGGTAGTATGATTTACCAGTATTGACTGCTAGCAGAACAAATATATTGCACTAGCCATTATGTAGATAAAGTGAAGCAAGGTACCATACATGCAAGTCTTGTATGGGTTAAACTTGTCTTTAATAAAAAATTACTCAAGCTAAATCAAATAGAATATTGACAAATGGCATGCCCCTTTTGATCGACTATAGTGGGTAGTAGTCTTAGGATTAGCTGCTGTATTTCACCTGACTAATTGCTCAGTTGTAATAAAAAGATGAATTATAATGCTGTGAATAACTGAGTTTTATTTTGTATGCAGCTCTGTTTCTTGTATCTGATCATGACATAACGACAACACACATCATATGCGTAATAACCTGTTTTTGTTTATTTTTTCTGTGGAAAGTACAAACATGTTGATCTGTTCCGATAGTCATCCATATAACTCTTATGCATTACTATGTGCAAGGTGTACACAGGGTTGTTTGAAGTGCTTTCAAAACCATTTCATTACTTTCTGATATACATCTGTAAAACAATATCACCCATCTGTGGTATGTCACCGTAAGACAACTAATATCAAATACAAACTTCAGGTAATGTATGTCATTTTTTGCACATATACAAATGTGACAACTGGCCCATGCCATATATGATATTGACTCTGAATACATGTACTTCCTAAATCCAATCTACTTATGTGAATGTAACAAAAGAAGAACGCATACTAAAACTTGCAATCACAATTCAATTTCATCATCACACCTTTGACTGATGAATTTGTGGTCAGCATAAAAGGAAGTCTACCTTATCCAAGAGTTACTTTTCCGTAAATGTTAATACTATCAGTGTTGTAATTGTAATCTGCTTGGTCGACTACCTTTAGCAATGTAGACTGCATTCCTAGTCACTGTCAAAGATTGGAGATGCTGAGGTTTCAGTATAAGCATGGGACCACTAACATTTGATTCCAAACAGAATTATCTAAAACAGATTTACTCCAAACAGCAAAACATCACTGGGATTTAAGAGACATCCAATGCTGCTAGTACATTTTAGCAGTATTTCTTATCAGATGAATTGCTTATGGTACACTTTAGCATACAGATCATCTACATTGTAGGTCTAGAAAAATAGTACTTCTGCCATAAAAGCTACAAGAACTTGCTTGTTTATTCTTCACATTAATGTACTTGTTGATTACATCATATAGAAAAGTGGCCAATGTGATTAATTCATGATTTGCTGTACATTTAGTATGAGGGAGTGCCAGTACTGTGCCTTTCTTTGGCTGTACCTTGCCAATGAAAAATTTGCAGACAGAAAAGAATGTACAACTTCTAGGTCACTCGATAGGGAATCATGTCAAGGAAAGACAACCAGGAAGGATTGAATAGGAGTCCGTAAAAATACTGGAGCGATACCTTTTTTTAGAACATGCCTGTAAATGATTTCTGTGTTGAATTTCTTACAATTGCAAATTATCCCAAACTGTGCGATGCAAAATTTCCACAGGCCTAATGGATGCAAGGCATCCTCTAGCCATTTAATGTCACTCCAACAGTGTGGAAGAAACCTTTTCTTTACCACTTCCAAAAGTCTCTCAAGGACACCTTCTACTGTTCCGAAAAAAAAAAAAACATCTACACACTCTTTCTAAATAGTTCAACTAAAAAAAAAAGAATTGGAATGGTTTATCCTAACCTCTGTAGAAGAGAGAAAAAGATTCAGAGTCAGACACCAAGAGTATAATTCTACTGACTTCTGAACACCTATGGTGATGCACCATGAACTGATACACCAGAACTATGAGTGGCAGGTACTGATGTAATAGTGTCAGCCACACTTGGCAAGTTGCGCAGGAGGGTTTAAGTATTACTAACAATTAACACTGAACATGCTGGGATAGAAACATAGGTTTACAGTGTCTCTGTTGTAGCTGGCTTCACAGGCAATCATTATAACCCTCTTCATCTCAACTACCTCATATAACCAATATAGAACCTACGTACATGTGCTTTTAAGTAGTTCTGGTACCTAGGATGGAAAGGGTTTGCGATCTCTCTCTGTAATGCACACTGCTCATTTCAGTAATTTACATTTTGTCTTAAGAACACACAAGTTTAATATCTTGGTTCTCAGATTTCTTCACAAAAAAAAAAGAAGAGACAGGGCAAAACAAAAAACATGCCTCAAATGTTACAACATTGAGCCATGAAGTCAACATAGCTGGCTGGTTTATAATTAAAACAATGAACTTTTAATCAAATCACTGCATTGCTATATGGAAAAATTATAGCAACTACAAAGACAAGGACTTTCTTCAAGAGATTCAACCAACTGAGAACCGACTGATTAAACTAGTTTGACCTAATGTACTGGTCCTAATCTCCACCTGCCTAGAACCAGATCAGGGCAGACCATTATACTACAAAGGGGTGCACACATCCTGACAAATCTGACAGCCCACATTCTTCATTTCCCAGCATCCCCCTTGCCTGCGTCCCCTGCTATGACCTTGTTGAAGAACTCAGGGTCTTCGTCTTCATCCAGGTTATCAAACAGGCTGGGCATGTCGTCAATGTTGGCGGGAGCATATTCAATCAGTTCCTTTCCTGGGAGTAAACGCAAGGCAATTTTAGAACATGCTACTTTAACTTCAATGAGCAGAAGACATGCCCCATGGACATGTTTGAATGTGGCAACTTGTTCTTAATGTAGTGTGTACTCTGTAGCCTTTACTATGCACTTTCTGTACTTACATCACTTAAACCACTTTTCTCCCAAATCTATATGACAAGTCCATTAGTACTTACCATACATCGATAGTGGTGTCCGGTTTCAAGCATAAGCATGTCTGCAGCTATAGTGGTGGTGTAACAACTTGAAAGAAGACTAAAATGGCAGGGAGATAGTGCTTAAGAAAGATTTATAAGAAATATTTACTTGTATTTATGTCATGCTGTTTCATAAATAGTTATAACTTGGGCCCCAACTTGTAGTAGATCTTCCCTAAATACTATCTCTCTGCCTTTTCAGTCTTCCTTCAAGTAACTAGGTTACATGTTTTTATAAGTTAGCTAAAGGTAAAATGTGTAAGAATTGGACACACAAAGTACCTTTACCTGCAGCCTCCGAGGATTCCAGACTGGCCAGGTCCTGCTCGTTACGGGTGTGGACCTCTGACAGGGAGTCTAACAGGGCCTGTTGTCCGCAAAACAGGGAAACATTACATGTTATCAACATAGAATAATGGCATATTCTACAATATTAGTGTGTAACAAGTAAAGCTTTATGGGCAATTAGAATTTAGAAACTTAGTCCAGTCATTCCGTTGCACGATTACTAGTAACACTGAATGGACTGTCCTTAGCAGAAATTGTCAACAAAATTCCATTTGAGCCCCTAGAACAATGTGTACATCAATGTACAGCCAATCAATGTCACACAGGGCCAGGCCAAGTGCATGCTGGGTACAAATCATCTTCCCAGCTCTGGTCCATCAAAATTTGAAGTGGGGCGGGGCTCTGGCCTGGGTAATATTCACCTGTCCATGGCTTGATTCTGGCAGGACAAATCCTGCTCTGTTAGCTTCTAGGGTGTGTGGTCTCCAGTCCTGCAGATGCACATGGGAGGCCAAAATAGTTCTGTACATCAATTTTGAATCTCAACCTAACACAAAAAAGTTTGGAAACTTGATTTTGGTTGGTCAAGTTTGGCTGACATAAATGGCAGGTTTAGCAGTGGAGGGTATAGATGATGATTGAATGTCAAGAGGAGGTGTTTTTATTTCTAATTTTGATTCAGAATTAGGACTGCTATGAAGAGGAGTGCAAGGCTCTAGCCAGTTCATTTTCTGTCAAGACAAAATTGACAAAGTCTTTGGTAAGAATACAAAAACACCCAAAGGAAAAACAGCAACCACTCTCAACCCCATGATTTACCTCTCAAAATGTGGGAAACTGCATTTTTAAAGGCTTGAACATCCAAACTTTGTCTACAGACCCACTCCGATCATGAACCTGGGCTGACGGAAAATAATTTTGAGCTGGCTAGAGCCCTGAAGGAGCCTTTTTGATCTGTCCTCCCTGTAATTCCTTCTCTTTTCGTAATTCCTACCCCCAAAAGACGGGGAACAACAGACGCTAAACTGGATAGTGAGTGAGTGAGTAAGTGAATACAAAGTTCACAAATGTATGAAGATGTTTGATACTGACCGTTGAGTCGGACATGAGAATGCTTGGTTCGTTGGGGAGGAGGTTGAAGACATCGGTGAGCTGCGAGGCGTCCAGGCTGAAGTTTCCACTCTGCAGCAGGGACTGGATGGAGTCCAGGCTGGACTGGATGGTGTCCACGTGAAAGTCCACGTCCTGCCTGGTACAACTTGGCTGCACACATCTGGATTTTCCACCAGCATATAACATTCACATTCAGTCAGTGAATGCAATACTATGTCATAGGTACCGTATCTGTTTTATTTTGAATTTGATTAGGACGAAGAGAAAAATTCATATTTACCTGAATATGGCAGGTGTGTACATTCTGTGGCATTTAACACTTAAAATAGAGCAGGGAGAAGTTAAAAACAAACTGACCTGCCCAGCTGCTTAGGAGGCGAGCTGTGCACTGCAATGGACATGTCTTGTGGTTCCTCTTGTACAGTTAAGGTGCCCTCAGCAAGCCCCTACAAAGGTAACACATGGATGATATGCTTGAATACATTGTGTACATAAACAGTTTTAACAGGGTCACTAACCATAGGACAATGCACACTTCTAGTTTTAAAGACTGTTTTTGAAGACTGGCTTCCTCCTTCCCTAGGCCTGTCTACTTATGTTTACTACAACACACCTGCATGAATGTTAACTATAACACACATGCATGACTGTTTACTACAACACACCTGCATGAATGTTAACTATAACACACATGCATGACTGTTTACTATAACACACCTGCATGAATGTTTACTATAACACACCTGCATGAAAGCTGTTGGTGAGAAAGCTTCGTCCATCAGCCCTTCACTGGGCACTCCTGCCATGTCTGCACCAAGGCTGGACGTCACCGATGTCGGGGTGAATGGCAGGGACGTGGGGGCCGGCAGAGAAGAAGCGGTCTGCACGGAGCTAGCCGACGTCCCCGGGGCCTCGGAGTAGGGGGGAGGGGGTGGTGTCACAGCTGGTCCACTGCTGCTACCCTGGGGAACAACACCCGGTCCCCACAACACAGGTTAGACAACAAGAACTGTATTCCTAATGACCTTCCACAAATCTGCTGGTTTGACACATCTGCCTCTGTATGGCATCTGTTTAACCGTAACCGTCTTACCTTCTTTCAGAAAGCTTTGCACTCAAGATGGTCTTCTTGGGAAAAAAAAGTTATGTTTCCGGTTTCAGTCCTGAAATAAATAGGGTCAGTGGGTAACGAGTCTTCGTTTGGAAACCTGGAAACAAAACATTTTTTTCCCTAGGCCTAGGCATAAGTACACTATAAAATGTTACGAGATGTTAGTACATGGTTTGCTTGGCCTGAATACCATGCAAAAACAACGTAACGGGTATAGCAAAAGGTTAAAAAAGGTTGGATGATACCATGGACCCCGGGTCGTGAGGAGGGGGGCTTCAACCTCACCACAAAAGATGCGGTCCAACTGAGCTAGCCAGATATCATTGAACGTGGACATGTCATGGTCCTGAAATATAACACCAAAGCACTAAGTATCAATGTGCAATAGCAATACATTATGTTAGTTTTTTTAAGACCTGTTGACTTAACTGACTATCTGAAAACACACAATGATGAATCATACCAAGGATTCTGTTCTACAGCTACTGTAGCAACATGTAACATAAAACATAGCAAACAGCTGACTAACCTTCCTTGCTGGATGACTAACCTTCACAAAGGTATAACAGCCACTTCATCACAAAATGCTTAAACGGGAAAGAAGCACATACAGCAACAAACACTTCATTTACATGTACATCAATTGTGCTAATGAAAAGGCATGAGCTTACCCCTGGTGGAGAGGTTGGTAAGGTAACAGTCGGCATGCCCTGCCCACTGAAGGAGGCCAAGTCTGTGATGTCTGATATGATTGGTCCAGAAGAGGAGGGGGAGACCTGTTGCGGCTCCTGCGGTTGGTTCTTTTTGTATCCAATCATGGGAGAGGAAAAGGGAGTAAAAGGAAATGAGCTCTCCAAATCTACGAGTAGTTGTACAAATTGAAACATAAATGGCATCACCCATGCAGCATTGCCAAAAAGTACAAATCAGCAGCCAAAGAACTTCAACGTTTAAACTTTCTGTTGTCAAGATATTCTCTTTAATCTGATAATTCTAGGGTACATGAAGGATGTACATCTAAAGTAATTTGTGACTGATACTAATGACCAAGAATCGGAAGTTCTTACCATAAATGGCTCTGCCTCTGAAGTGTTGTGCAGAGATAGCTGCCTGCTATATCTTGGCACCTTGCTTGTGCTGGGCATGGCATCACCATAGCTGTCTTCTATTGCCAAAGTCCTGCAAACAAAGTACATTATACAAAATTTGGACATTCAAACATCAAATTGTAAAAAAAAAACTAGTTTTTACTTTTTTATTGTTCTAAATGAATCTCAAAGAAATTAAAGTTGATAGAACCAGTATATGAGAAGGAACTCTAAGACTTTGTTATATCATATTTTGCCTTATCCTTCTGGTATAAATGAATACATCTTTCTCGCGACATACAGCCTTCCCCACTATAATGATCCTTCCTGTTCTGTTCACTTAAAAAGGTTGTGAATTTTATTTGCTGACCTCCTCTTGATGCCGATGCGCCTGCTGGGCTGGACCAGAGTGACCAGGAACTGAATCAGCTTGTTCACAATCTGCTGCTGCTTGTGGTGCTTCTGTCTCAGGCTGGCGACTTCTCTCCATAAGGCCTCGTTTTCCCTGGAGATGAAACCATCATAATCATTAGGCTGAGGAAAATTAATGTTGTGTTTCCCATTTCAGTACTGAAAAAATAGGGACTGTAGGTTGAGATTTTGCAAGAATAATCCAACAAATAAAGTTTAACAATGCATTGGGACTGTCTCAAGGAATAAACATAAGGTGAGAGGCTGCCTTTAAAACAAAATGAAAGTTGGACATGCTCTGGGTAATACATAGCAGTTTGATGTTTATAGTTTTTGGAGCTTAGTGCAAGATCACAATGCCAACATCTGTGCTTTCTTGCATTACCACAATGTAGTAACATGTATCTAAATTCTAATGGTTCTTTCAGCTGCAAAAAGTTAAAACTTTAAGAATGCCTCCTTTCCCTTCTACCACAAAATTACATCTCGAGCTAGATGGCTAGCTAGGTACCACTAGAAGAAGGAGGACAAAAAAAAAAGGATGTGTGATAACTCACTGTTTCATTGAATGCAGCCTGGTGTCAATGGTCTCCTGTTTACCTCTCATCACCTTCACATCATTCAACACACGAGACATGTCCTCATGTCTCAGCCTCAGGTCGTCCGACTTCACAACAGACACCTAGGACAAGACACTTTGTGAGAAGGTTTCTACAGACAAGATGTTCACATCTTGTGTTAGGGGAGGGAGAGGCATGAAGAAAAATTAAGGGTAGTGTAGAAAGTGTCCATTGTTGGTTTGTAAACATGATCAGATGGAACAGGGTGTTGTTTCAAATTACAACACAAAGAAAACAAAAATTAAAAAAACAAAAACAACACAAAGGAAAAGCATTAAGAAGAAGTTAATCACTTTGGTGGTGAAACAAATAACTGTATTGTACAAGAGACAAATCATGTCCTGATAAGCTATTTGATGGAATGGAAAAGCTACCACCATGTGTATCCCAAGCCTTTATTCAAAGACAAATCAAGCTCAAATTACTACTGGATAAATTACAGGATTACTTGTCACATGAAACGTCTGGAAGTAATCCCCGAAATTTATCCAGTAGTAGACTAGAGCTTGATTTGTCTTTGAATATTGTTTACCTGAATGCCTAACCTCCATCCCAAGCCTTTGCACCAAAAGTGGTTCACTCAGCCAACCAACACAGAAAAAAAACTAAAACTAGACTACCTATAGATACTACCTGTCAATGAAGGGCAGACACTACAACTATGAAGAAAAGTATAGCATTCACCGGTGGGCCAACCTTCCTCTTTATCTGTTCTAGGAGATTCGGTTTCCCACGAATGAAGTTCTGGTGGCTGAATTCCATGTCGTCACGGTCCGCCTTCAGTCCGCCAGACTCCACGTTCATTACCTTCCGGAATCCATCTATGGAATAAAAGATGTTTTGACACAGTGAAGTATATGTGGGGAAGGGGGTGTAGGGGAATGAAGTATTATATATGTTATGCTAGCCTATTCAATATTCCAGCTTGTTTGCCCTGACGCAGTGCCTACTTGGCAATTGTATTGGCACACTGGTAAAGTCAGCAGGAAAAAAAGTCTGACTCTGAGTTAAGTCTGGGCTATTAAATCTAAATATAGTTTAATGGGGGATTCCACACCCTAGTTTCATAACCCCACCTATGCACTTCCTCTTTTGTAAATTGATATCCCTCCAAAGAAATGTTCCATTTGACAGCTTTGTATTGTAAGAAAAGTGGGTCACATCATAATATTGAACAATGAGAATTGCTTAATCTTACATTACAAACAAGTCTACATGTCAAATTGTAACAGTTGGCACACATTCCATGTTGTTCACGCTACCGCAGTGTTGACTTGGAAAGGTTTCAGTCTGGTCACTCAAGGGCATCAGTCTACTTGGAAGGAGGCCATATTCCCAACTTAAACCATAAACACTGTCTGGGTTATGGAACAAAACAACTTGTTTTTCAAGCTCTTCAATCCCTTCTGGTCTTTGAAATACCAGACAACCCCCTAGACAGAGGGCTACTAAAAAAAACAGCTATAGCTATGCCAGTATAGGAAACAATCATCATGGCGAATGAAGGTATACTGTGCTTTCTGTAGCCCAGTATGCAAAATAGATTTGCAGAGAGGACAAAAGAGACACTCTATAGCTATGAATTAAGTATAATAGGTTTGAACACTAGGCTAGTTTCTTTTTTGTGTGTGTTGACATTGACAATGACAGCCACTCTGCAGAGCTTTTTTGTACATATGATAACAATGTATGTTTATGAACCCATGCTGCATTATGGTATTCCTGTACATAAATTTATATTGATAAAATGCATGTGTACAAGCGGCAGTATTATGTCCCATGCACATATCAACTACACAAACATGTTATGGACCAACACTGGTCATACACGTAAGCAGTAACACTGGAGCTGTGGCTCGATGCTACATGTAAAGCTTCTAGAAGGAAATCCTAATCTGTTCCAGATTACCAAGGGACTGGTGTGCTAATGGGCGGGTTAGCAGGTCAAGGGTAAATGACTTTGCAGGTGTCAAACACAGACAGCAAGAATTTCTAGAAAGCCTTTTGCACTACTTTAAACCTTAAAATGCTTAGTAATCTACCAATGTATGAGTATTTCATGCCATGCATTTAATATTTGGTCTTTGGAGTAACTTACACATGTTGAGTTGTCGAACAAAGCTGGCCATGTTGTTGTGTTTGAAGAACTTGGGCAGGACTTCTTTGGCGAATCTGGCCTGGTCATACACATGGAAACTTGCTCCATTCTGGAAAGGGAAACACATGGTTATAGATCATCAAGTCTAGTCTGTATTTACAAATGTATTATATTTACTAATAGAGATAATTACCAGTATGGGATAGTTCCACGCAAAACAAGCCCTGCAACATCCCTGAATAGTCGCTATGGTGCAGCAACATCCACAAAATCATTAAACTTACAAGCATATAAATAAAACTGTAACAAACAATTGTGTAACTGTTTGTGCAATCAGGAATAATAATAGGCTGCTACCTGTTTTAAACAATTCATAATTTATTCACAATTATACTTTGAAGGCTTCGAACACAAATTGATGTGTAAGATATTTGGTTTTAATTTCGCAGGAGGCCTAGGGAAGAGGGGACATAGTAATGCAAATCATGCCAGACGGAACACATGTATGTTCACAGTGCGATGAGTACATGTATGTAGGTACATGATGTAGTTCTTTGTGATAAGAGATCAGTACTGCGAAAACCATGAACATGAAATCAACGTGGATATTTCATGATTTTCAGTAAGCTACTAAGTACTGACAGAAGGTCACCTATTCTGCAATAGCAACTGAGTATTACAACACACCACATGCATAATCTATGGCGTCCTGATCAGCAAGGACAATGGGTATGGAAACCTATGTATGCCGGAGCGTTCACATAATTTCAAGTGTAGTTGATCTAGCAAATACTTCCACTTCAAAATCATAAATTTCGTCTAGCAAAAATCTTCAGCGCCACCATAAATTCTGGGGAAATTCTTTCTTTAACCTTGATCTAAACCTGTGTAGCCCCACATCACAAATTTAACAATTTCTTATCATGCAAGAGGAATCATTTTATCCAACAGCTGCAAAGTTTCCAGGCTGTACGTGCGTTCGTTAGTCGGTACGTGTACATGAGGTATCATCTCACCGTGCTCCAGAAAATCAGCTCGTTGGTGGAGGGGTCCTCTACAAGCGTCCAGAGCTTCGTCAGGAAGGCGGGAACGGCGCCGCCGGACGACTCGCCCCCTCGATAATCTCTCGAACTCATGACGACGAATAATCAGAGCAGTTTAGACGCCCTCGAGAGCTGGAAAATCGCCGCTGCAAGTTCACGTCCGATCTAGATGAGTCACGAGGCGGCCATGACAGGTGCGCACAAACAACGTAAATATTTGCGTCATGGGCATCTCGCAGGCTCTCGCGAGATTTGAGGGAAGTACTAGTAGCCTGTATATTCAAGCAGATGTGTGGTTTGGGTTTATATAATACTAGTAATTTTTCTTCCAGGTGTTTTTTCTCTGGATGGAGTTCTTAACGAACGATATTAAAACAATGGTGACTCCAACGATATCATAAAGACCCATCAGTGCCCACTATTATCATATGTAAAACAGCAGTAACAAACCTATCCCCCTCCTTGGTTCAACCATGGAGGTAGTTTTCTACCTCCATGGTTCAACCAATCAAGGACATTATGTATAATGTCTCTGAACCAATTTAGATTTTAGGCAATTTCTAGCCAACAAATGTGATAAAGACTGAAGTGTCATAGGAACTACCTAAATACATGAATATGACCAAAATAAACTTCAGGGATCAAAAGCACCACCAATCTCCATTAAATTTTACTACTAACGTTACAGATGTTACATGTGATCACCCTTCTCATGCCTAGCCTGGTGTCCAGCCTTGTTAGCTTTAGTCCGCTCCCCAAGATCCGCTCCCCGACAAAAATCGTTTGAATGGTAACAGCGCCCAGTCTTGTTGGCAGGGAGCGGATCTTGGGGAGCGGAGTAAAGCTAACAAGGCTGGACAACAGCCCTGTGCCCCATGACTTGACTTTCAGTAATGATCTCTCTAATTCTGGACAAGTAAACTCACACAACACAAGCATATTGCTGTTGATAGCTTGTTGCAACATATTGTAAGCAAAGTACCACATTGTAAAAAAAATACAGGATGAAAGTACACATACTATAAGTTTTCTCTTAGCTCTATCTATTCCTTTAATACTGACAGGTGCATGGAGGTAATCAGTCATATAAAGGTACCATCAAGAAAGGTAACTTTGTGACAACTTTGCAAATACATATTCTAAAGTCTATTTGGGATATACTTACCCCCGACAACTATTTCAAATCCACAGAATATGTGAAACTACATGTAACGTTACATATGATACTGTATAGCCAATTCCCATAAGCTTATAAATTGAAAACAATGCCTAATTAAAAGTTAGCAAAAAAAGATCTAGTAACAGTCAATCCAGTAACATACTAGTAGCTGCTAAGCATAGTTTATGCTTTTGCAATATCTCATACAAAGGAGCATTATTCCAGCCATTTGACTGAATCTTCTTTCTAATGATTGACAAAATTATGGTCATTACTTATATTACAGTATCTTGAAGACAAAAATTATCTAGTACAAAAAAAAAAATATCAGGATTAGGTGCTGTGACAGTGATCATGGGTTTGCTCAGATGTTGGAAAAGAGACTAGGGCTAGGAAAGGTACTGGTAGTCTATTCCCTATCACCCTTCAGTACAGTGACACAAGCATGGCTGAACAAACCCTTTGACATGGTTCCCACAAACTTAACTGACTTGGCTTCTGGATCAAAACAGTAGACAGTTTTTTTAGCAGTGTGGCAACTTCTGCCTCCACAGATGTAAAGCTTCCCTCCAAAGACAGTCATTCCAAATGACCTTGTATGAGTTAGACTTACAAAGAATTCTTTTGCCTCAACAACCTCACTCCAGGAACCCCCGTTATCACCAGGGGTAAAACAATACATTGTGTAGAAATATGATAGTGTGGGTCCAACCACATAGATGTTACCATTGAGAACTGAAGCAGGGATGTTACCACATGCTACAGGTATGTCACTCTGTGGATGCCACTCAGTGTCTCCTGGGCTGATACGGTATACTGTAGATACTTTGTTTTCATCATTGGATCCACCAATCACATATATGTTGCCATCCAATACTGCAACAGCATGCATTCTCCTTGGCTCTGGGAGTGAAACACCGTCACTCCATTTGTTCAGGTGTCGGTCGTAGACCTCTACAGATCTCAGTGCCGGGCTGACCGAGTTTTTGCCTCCGATTGCATACACTTTACCTTGCAGCACTGCCAGCTTGTGCCAGGCCCGAGTCACATTCATTGGAGCAAGTTTGGCCCAGTTGTCCAGTTCTACATTATACAGCCACACTTCCTTCCCGACCCTGGGCCTCTCACCTGCAGACACAATAATGTCACTTGTGCCCAGAACAGCTGCAGCAAAGCCATAGCTGGCGTCCTGCTTCATAGTTGTCAAAGGAACCCAACTTGAGCCAGATGGCTCAGCAGAACTGGTCATCATAATGGAGTTCGAAAATTCTGGACAGGTTGCCGGTCCGGTATTCTCAAGACCTTCAACTTCTACCTGTTTTAGATGCACTGCCCCTCCAATGACCACAACTGCCTCCCTCAGACCACTGACACGACGAGGACGGGTGCGTGGTGACTGGACCTCTCCTGGGAACAGCTGATATCTGCGAGTTTCTGACACGATATCTGGGCAAGACTTGCGTATGGCGTTGTTGGTCTCCACTTTCTCCATGAAGTACATCTTGTCCATGAAGGGAAACCTGACCAGTTCCATCAGCTCTTTCATCTCCTTCCTCCTCTTCCTGGTGTCATGGTTGATCCAGGCCATCACTGCTGTGTACACAGTTTCTTCTGAAGCGTTGAGGTTGTCAGATGAGATGAGGGTGACGAGCTGGTCCTTTCTCAGGTAAAGGAACTCGGGCGTTTTGCTGACGGCTGTAAACTCTTTCATGGCGTACGGCAGTGCCTTTTTCTCCAAGTCAGGGGACAGCATTCCACCCAGGTCTAACATGCTTAGACAGTTCTGAGCACACAGATGCTCAGATAGGAACGTCGTGCACGCATCAAAAACAGGTTGGATCTGAAAGAAGTTGGCCCCTTCCAGAAGTTTCACAGCGTTGTGTTCGGTGATGGTGACTTTTGAAGTGTAGGCATAGTCAACAAGAAGCTGGAGGGTACTGGTGCTGACTTCCTGAATGGTCACCTTGTCTTCCTTGCTCTCGCGAAGCCCGTTACAGAACAACGCACGAAAATATCCACTGCAAGCTGCGAGGACATTTCGGTGGCACGGAATCTCTTTTCCAGCAACACAAAGGATGACATCTACCAGCAGGCTGTTGGATCGCAGTCCCTCCAAGCCCTGCAAGAGGGTGCCTGAGTGTGGTTCATGGCAGAAGTTGAATGATGTCAGTGATGTCTGTCCTGCCGCCATCATGCAGGAATCCTGCAATACAAGTGAACAAACCGATAAGTTACACTTGACAAATAAGATCAGTAGATGGTCTCGGTTCAGTCCGAGGTTATACCAGGGGTCCCAATCAAAATTTTGATTTTATCTTGGCTGGTGTACTAGTAGGTGTATGGAAGCTTGGTGGAAGCAGTGTTGTACATGTATAATTTTAGCCTATTGTCCTTTTTTGTGTTTGCCCTACAGGCTTAACAATAACAAGTCATGAAACATTTAATAATTAATAAAATTTGGAACAGAATGGAATGCAGGAAATTCTTTCCCTGTTTTGCATAAGCTGAGGCTCCAAGGAAAATTATACGTAGGACCACAACATGACGGACAGCTATGAAATCCCTTCGTGAAAACACTTTGAAGTGTGGTGGGTTGATTGAAAAGTCAAGATTCCTCAAGACAAAGCCATTCCTCGATACAAAACGAGAACCAGATGTTTGCAGGGCACTTCTTCTCTACTGTATGTAGAAAACGTGCTGTTTTGTCTCATAAATTTCGGCCCGATTCAGCTTCAAATTTTCAACTCGAAGATAGCAAATGCAGGGTTCCCTTACCTGACAGTGAAGCCGTTTCTGATCTTTTGTTTTTGAGAATGGTGAGGCTCGTGGTCAGCACAGGATCAGCAGAAGGAAATATTTATGCACGTCAGCAGACACAAAACCGCGGGAAAAACTTCTATGAAGTCAAAGGTCATTCCTGGAATATTCCAAATCAAGTGACGGGGATATCGGGGATTGAGTAATAGATTTCCTACCATTGCTATGAGACCTAACAGATGGAATATACTTCAAAGGCAAGGGACGTGATAAACAAGCCTGTGAACGTATTATTCAAATCTGCTGGGATCAGGGGGAATGAATGGATGAATGAACAGCAAGAGACCCCTCAAACTGCAGTAAGTTATCAATGCGCTAGAGGACGTTATTTTACCTTTGACCCACATAAGCAGGCAGCATGGCTTCCAAGCGGAAAGTTGGCGAAGCTAAACTGGAGAAAGAGGAGGTTTGTGAGGATTCTGAATACGTTTGGACACCCATCCGTTCCAAGAATATAGATACATTAATCTCAAAACTCTCTGTGTAACAATTTCAGTTTTCAGGCCTCAGCAAATTTTTTAATTTCTCTGCTTAATTTTGGAGCAGTGCAGCACATGTTTCTTGTGTGGGGAGGGGGGCAAACCCCGGCAAATACTTAGTCTAGCATACACTAGCAGTTAAGTCTTACGTTTAAGATAATGTTGACAAAAATTTCTGCTGAGAGCAATCAACTCTTTTCACCAGTGTGCAATGATGTATGAAACATCTGTCAATCCTCTGAATATCTGTGATGTCAAAGCCCATAGGCTTGTACTGAGCACACACTATATAAATTTGCATATCCAAATTCTAAATGAATTACTGATACATGTAGAAATGGTTGTGAAAAAGTGACCACAGCATTCAGCCATTTAAGGGTTTACTTCAATATAGTTACTGAACAAACATCATTCTCAATCTGCAATATGTGTTAATCATGATTGAAGTTATGAACTAAAGACTGCTCCCCTTCTCATAGTTGGACCTGTTTGTGGATGCTCCTCCTGATGACGATGATGATGAAGATGAAGAAGATGGAGATACCTCTGACAGTGAAGAGTCTGTGTACTCTGGGTTAGAGGAGGAGCCGAGCTCGTCAGAAGAGGAGCAGGAGGAAGATGATGACTCGTCTGACGTGAGCATGTCATATATCAAAAGTCAACTGATATAGAAAGACTAGCCTGGGTGCCTCCCTTGTAACAGGGCTACCTGACCCAAGGTAGCAAGTGCAAGGAGCTCTGTTACAAATGAAACGGCACCCAGGCTAATAGAAGGCAGCTATGATCAAGAACAGTTTGCCAGTGTGCAATGATGTTTTTAACATCTGTCAATCCTCTGAATATCTGTGATGTCAAAGCCATAGGCTTGTACTGAGCACACAATTATTTCCATAAAAGTAGAAGACAGAAAAGACAACAAATTTAACATACGTAATGTTAAAATGTACAGTTTGAAGTAATATGAAATATTAGGATAATTCCATGTGTTTCAATGAAGCAAACCTCTGTCAAAGGGGCATAAAAAATGTTTCATATGTAGAATGGAGATGATGGTACAGAGGAAACTCCAGACATCCCTGGTCCTACCACTGATGACACTACAGGGTCTGCAGGTACTTCCTCCATGGAGCGCTTGGACAACAGGCCACAGCCTGATGAGTATGAGTTTGACTCCTCGGATGAAGAGGTAAAATCAGCTCACTAATACTATTACTAGAAAACAATTCTAAATTTTCGCATCAAACTGTTTGTTGTACATTGAAGAAGCACTAAATGGTTGATATAGCAGTTTAGTGCCAGTGTGCTATGATGTTTAAAATATCTGTCAATCCTCTGAATATCTGTGATGTCAATGCCATAGGCTTGTACTGAGCACACACTCTAAATGTAGAAAGAAGACTATTTCATAATGGTAAGCAGCAATAGAAATCATTCATAAGGGACCGATTTCAATTAACAAAAATTGCATTTTTTATTTAACTCAGATAGTTTAGACAGATTCCCTGACTGAAATTCATCTGATATCAATCATTGTTCGGGGTCAAAAAGAAGAAAGATGATGGTACAAATGTAATACTAGTACATGTTTATAACTGATATAATATGTTTTGTCACATAGTTATAAGAAAATATAATGACAAAGAAGTTTATTCTGTCCCTGTTAGGACATCCGTAACACAGTAGGTAACATTCCCATGGAGTGGTACAACGACTATCCTCACATCGGCTACAACCTGGACGGGAAGAAGATCATGAAACCAGCCAAGGGGGATGAACTGGACGAGTTCTTAAACAAGATGGACAACCCTGATTACTGGTCAGTAACTGTGAGACTGACCATGGAAAATATGGAGTAACTGTTTTGATCTAGAGTGTGTCCTATTGTATGTTCCAGCCTCTGACTCTGACTCTGAGTGTGATTTTCTTCTCCCTACTGGTGTGCTATGATGTATGAAACATCTGTCAATCCTCTGAATGTCTGTGATGTCAAAGCCCATAGGCTTGTACTGGGCACACAACTTTATCCTTTTGATTACATTTTTTAAGCCTACAATGCAAAAAAACTTTTTTTGTTTTCAGTTATTTTTGTACATATACATTGTATTTCTCTTGTTTGAAGTTAGTCATCTTAGGGGCCTTAACTATAGAAATCCCCATAGGGCAAAAACTGTGTTCTACTACCTCAATGACTTTGGGCTTAGTACTTTATGTGACTTGTATCTGACTCTGTTGTAGGAGAACAGTAAAAGATAAGACAACAGGAGAGGATGTTAAACTAACTGATGAGGAACTGGATATCATTCAGCAAATCCAGAAGGGCAAATACCCAGAAAAGGCCTATAATCCATATGAGGTGAGTGACCTGTAGGCACTAAGCTAAGGTGACTGCATTTATCATAGAGTCAGAGCCAGTAGAAAAAATGTCCAAGAGTTAGCCTAGTACTAGAGTACTAGCTGTTAAAGATACCTGTGTTGTAAGATTTTTCAGTGCTCTTTTACATCAAGATTTGTTTAAGAATCTTCTTATTATTGTCAAAACATGTCAGGCTGTTGGTTGTAAGTAGAAACTGTTACTGCACAAATTGGTTGCTAAGGCAGTTTTTTGCCAGTGTGCTATGATGTATGAAACATCTGTCAATCCTCTGAATATCTGTGATGTCAAAGCCATAGGCTTATACTGAGCACACAACTGCATCCACGTGTAAATTTGGTGTCTTCACTATTCCCTGGAAACTACGATACTAAATCAAATGTGCTGTATTAGCATATCTAGACACATGTGGTTACTGACTTGACTCTTTGTACTTACATTAGTCATGTAGCAAGCGTAGTCCAGTGGTTAGTAACCCTGCCTCTGGACCACGAGGTTGGGAGTTCAAATTTCGGATGTTGTCGCTCACCTGACATGCATGCTACTGTTAAGGGTCGTGATCCTTACTTAGGACAGGATAGGTGAATTTCCCAGGTACAATGAACTGGTAAATACTGTACATAGCGTCTGTCTTCTTCGTTACGACCAGTTGGAGATTAGCTCTTCAGTGAGCTAAAACTTGATCAAGATCACTTTAATTTTTTCCCCCATTCCAGCCATATATAGACTTCTTCACACATGAGAAGATGATCCACCCTGTAACCAACCGGCCTCGTGACAAACGCAGCTTCATCCCCTCCTTGGTAGAGAAGGAAAAGGTAAGATGATGTGGACTGGTCATCTGTCAGCCACTTCCTACAATCATTTACAAGTTGGAGCAACTTTGTATGTACTGGACACTGTAACTCATTGTAAGATATTTTAAAAAGATTAATGGCTCTTAGTGGCAAATGTACAGATCCTGACACATTGGAGGCATCAAATCATCAGTGTTTGGACACAGTATCAATGATTAGCTGAAAGGTCTGGAGGGCATCACTCCACTGTACAGGGAGTGAAGTCTTTCCCAAGGATACAACATCGGTCATGTCAGGGGATTGAACCCGGGACCTCTTGGTTCCAAGCCAAACACTCTGACCATCATTACACCACATGATGTCACTGTAATTGTAATTGTAAGATATTTAATGAGAAAAATGAAGGTTAGCACCACATTTGAGCCTGTGTTGTTTTTGTTGCGTATAGCAGCCCAGGTCAAGCAGTGGTGCTACATATACAGTACCGTTCGCGTTATAGTTAACCGGGTACCCCGTTACTAACGAGTTAGATTTTCGTCAGAAAATGGTTAGAAAATCGTCAGTATTTGGTTAGATTTTCGTCAGAAAATGGTTAGAAAATCGTCAGAAATTATTTCTAACGCGTTACCGTTTGCGTTAATGTGATAGGGTCGGATTTCATGTTTGTTTTGCGCGCCGACAAGACAATAGCAATTTGCCACCTCCTGGGGCGTCCGCTAATGTGTTGCGATGTTGCCCCTTGAAAAATAACAGCACCAGAGGCAAGTGGACATGTGATTCGAAAAATAACTTTGTGGTTTATCCGTGTGTCGACTGTGTGAAGCGAATTGTGCTATCTTTTAATGCTATTCTATAGTTATTTCTAGCGGAAAATATTACGTTGTGTAATACAATGTCAATGTATGTCAACAAAGTGTAGCAGTGGGCAGACGATGTCTTGTACATTTTGTACCAGCGGCGGCCTACCGCTCTCACAGGACGTCATGGGACGTGACGAAACAAGAAATATCTGCCGTAGAAGAAATATAAATCGGTAACTCATGCCTTAAATTCACGGCGGTTTTTGACACAAAAGAAAAATTATTATAATTTTTGTAAGGCGCGCGGCTTACTAGTAGTAGCGGCTTACTCACGGTAAAATGTACCGTCACTCCCGGCGCAAGGACTCGGTTCGCCAGCTGAGGACTTTCCACAACCATGATGATATCATAGTTAATAAAGGAATATATAATAGATCTATCATGTTGAAATGATAATTGTAATACATGGTTCTATTTAATAGCGGTAGTTTTGTTTCTTATTTTGACGGGGGAAACTGTCGAGGGGTATTATATAATAATATAAAATCGAGGGAACGCAAACTGAGATCGGCTCACTTCCGGGTGTATAACGCCAAAATTTCTCGACGATTGTATAAAAATGACCACTCATTTGTCGCCTACGGTAGCGTGTACATGGTAGTGCTATCATATCGTGCCAAAGTCAGCGTCAAACGTCAGAAAATCCCCGTAAAAATATAGTTGCAAAACACATTTCCCGCGCACTCACGGCCGGTCGCCATGGCCGCGGCCGCCCTGTGATGCAGGCAGCATGCTCATTATAATATGCAAGTAGCTACGCTCTGATTGGTTCACCTTAGATGACCTGCGCTCTGATTGGCTAGAACGAAGCCCGTTGCATGCTGGGGCGCCCTTCCACGCGCGAAGTGCGATCTCGAGATAGCCACATTTACGCTGGTTTCTACCTTATTTCTACGACTAATTAGCAACATCCTAGTAACGAAATGCGTACTCAAAAGATTTTTCGGGAAAAAAAATATATGTACATGTGGATTTGTGGTGCCTTTGGCGTAATTTTGTTGGTCACATACAACGTAATGTAACACGGAAGTGCACGGAGTCGGAGTCGCAGCACGGCTTTCCGTCCCACTCTAAACAAAACTCCAAGGACAAAACAAAACTCCCCAAAACTGGCCAATAATTAGCCATAAAAATGTTTGTGGGCACGTGTATTAAATATGCGCGCTAAATATGCTGCCTTTTTTTCGAGTGTAATAGGAATTTTCCGCGATGTTTTTGCACATCCCTAACGTTACCTCACGCCCGCCGCCTATTATGTACGGCGGACAAGGACCTTTATAACTTCAGATCATCTCTAAGGATTGCATATTCGGTGGTAAAAGAAGTAAACAAACAGAGAAAAACAGCAAAATAAAGTTGACAAACTATGGAAACGCTTGCCTGGGCAACAGTGACAAAAGAAAATGTCGATCTAATTGATGCGCCGGTGATCGTTAAAACGTTTTAAACGTTATAATATACTAGTAGTAAAATGCAGGCTAGATCAACGTTCCTTCCGCTGTTCCAGCGGTGTGTATCGGTAATTTCCCGCCCCGCATGAGGTAAATTAGTACTCCTCCCACGATTCCTGTGATGTTACCGCGCCTGCATATGAATGGAGAAGTCTGACGAAAAAGAAACGCGTTACTTTCGGAAAAGTAACGGAAAACTTACGGAAAACTTACGGACAACTTACGGAAAACTTACGGAAAAGAAACGCGTTAGTAACGGCCGTTAGGGTAACTATAACGCGAACGGTACTGTAGCTTTGCCCTTGACTTTTCCATGTCTGCTCATTCGTCATTGAGTATGTTTGGGATTGATCAAGGTACATGTACAAATAGCCAGCAATTCTTTAGTTAGAAGAAAGATGATGTACTTCACACAAATGTAGCCAAAAGCCTAGTAAAAAAATGTTGTGTTTTCGGTTTCCCGACCAACGTCAGCAAAAGCCCGCTGATGCAGGCATGTTATTTGATTGACTGCAGGCTAGTCTATAAAATTTTTGATCTGACATCTGAATTTCAAATCCTCCAAATTCTGAAACGACATTCAACGCATTTTTCAGAAGCCTTTTTTTCTTCAGTAAAGCGAGAGAAATATTTGTCCACAGTCTTGATGCATTGTTAAACTTTATCTGTTGGATCATTTTGTCTGAAATCTAAAAACAAGAAAAAAGCTTAAAGGAAGGAAATCCCTACGTACCAACCGTAGTTTTTTCAGGACTGAAACTGGAAACACAACATTAATCTTCCTAGGCCGAATCACATTTTTTACTACAGCATTAGGTATTGCTGCAATGCAGAGTGCCCACCTACCGGTAGCCTTATAATATTGGGAAAGGTGTGTTAATGCTCTTGAGCAGACTACACCCTCAGATATCTGTCTCCTGTCCAGGTGTCCAAGCTTGTCCATGCCATTAAGATGGGCTGGATCAAGCCCAGGAAGGCTCGTGATGATGAACCCAAGTATTATGACATTTGGGAGAATGACAATCAGGTGAGGATATCTCTGTTGTGACCAAGGTGCTTTAGTCTGATTAAACTGTAATTTCCAACACAAGAAATCAGACTTACATGTACCCAAATTTTCAACTGTACAACTTCAGTCTTTGTCAAGGAATATTGACTTTGTACATTGTTACATTATACAAGTGAGTGATGTGTATTGTTTGCTTACATCATTTGGCATTGACGGTATGTTGAGTTATTAGAACTTGTATTTCCATGTGTACAGTACTCTCCAGACAAGCGCTACCAGACTCACATCCCTGCACCCAAACTGAAGCTGCCAGGCCACGAGGAATCCTACAACCCTCCCCCAGAATACCTGCCTTCTGAAGAGGAAGTAAGAACTATGCAGAAGCTACCATTGTTTATATGAGTATCTGGCACTTGTCATCAAGAAGAGTGTGTGTGGTCTTCATAGAAAAGATTGTCAAATAATGTATGATACATAAAAACACTATCAGTGGACTAAGTTGTCTACTGTTGGAAAATTTGACTCATTATGTCCACATACAATGATACATTACTGAATCTATAAGAGAGTCTTTTGGCATGTAGAATACTAGTATGTTTCATACCAGTGCCAAATGTGAGGACTCAAAAAGCTTCAACTTTTTAACAGTGTTAAATACCACTATTTTAACAAACACTGCGATATCCCCAGATTCTAGCCTGGAACCAGGCAGACCCTGAGGACAGAAGACAGGCTTTCCTGTCCAGGAAGTATGATGCCCTGAGGAAGGTTCCGGCCTATGCTGGGTTTGTGAAGGAGAGGTTTGAGAGATGTCTGGACTTGTACTTGTGTCCCAGGCAGAGGAAAATGAGGGTGAGATTTCTTTTTTTTTTGGTGACATTGTGGTATTTTCTATATCATTTTAAAATATTTGTCACTGGCAGATATTCTACTAAAACCCTGAAATAAATGCTACGATGTACTCTTCCAGGCCAATGTGACAGCTGAGGACCTGATCCCCAAGCTGCCCAAACCTCGTGACCTTCAACCCTTCCCCACGACCTTGTCAGTGGTGTATGAAGGACACACGGACGTGGTGAGATGTATCAGTGTGGAGCCCACAGGACAGTGGCTGGTCTCAGGTCAGCAAGTATCCCTTCATGTCTCCTTTAAGAAAGCCTGTCAAGATACTGTATCAAACAACTTACTGTAAAAAGTTACCTCTTAACATTCAATTTGATACCTTGGACATCAATGGCCTCATAGCCAAACCTTTTTTCAGCTCCCAAGTTTTTATCCTCTCTGCAAGTATTTGCGGATAAAAGCTAGGGTGCTAAAATAGGTTTAGTAACCAGGCTAATGGCCTCAATCATGTTTTGCTGCAGGTTCAGATGATGAGATGTTGCGGTTCTGGGAGGTGGCCACCGGGCGGTGCAGGAAGGTACTGCAGCTGGGAGGGAGGGTACGCAGCGTGGCCTGGTGTCCCAACACTGCTGTCTGCTTGGTGGCCGCTGTTGTGTAAGTCATATTTATTGATACATGATTCCTACTATGTGATCTGTATCTTCAGTCATAGACAAAAGGTTCCAACTCCTATTGCAGGCAATTTCACTATTGGCATTGTAGAAATTCTTTCTACTGTAAATTGTCCTAGGACATACATGCACCCTAGGAAAGGAGCTCATCTTACACATGGCCCTCAGCCCCTATCTGTTATACAATACATTTTGATTTATGTTTGTGGTTCAACATATTACATTGGTAACAAGTGTGTTCTATGATTATCCCCAGTGATAGCACAGTGATAATTATCAACCCCAGCCTGGGTGATAAGCTGGTTTATCACTCCACTGATAACCTGCTGAACACATACGAGGCACCGGAGAGCCTGGAGACAAAACTCCCAGTGGAATGGTCTGCAGCAGAGGGCAGGGACTATGACATGGGGATCAGGCTCAGAATATCACATCCTAAAGTAAGTAGACTGTTCCGCTTATAATCCCATACATGTTTGTTTTGTTACATATACAGATGTAATCAGAAAAAAATAATGTAACAAAAGCTGTTATGACAGCTCTCTATACACATGTTCTGGGGGATAAACCAAGCTACATTTGTAGATGGTGTTTTGTGTTAAGATGTTGCTGTAATTTTCATCCCCCACAGATCATAAGACAGGTGACGTGGCATGGGAAGGGAGACTACTTTGCCGTTGTGATGCCAGACGGAGGGAGCATGTCTGTACTGATCCATCAGCTCACCAAGAGAAGATCACAGGTGGGTTAAATTTCAGCTGTCTTTCCCTGCAAAATCTTGTTAGTTGTGTATACAACCGTAGTAATATGTACATGTATGAAATCCATAATGATTGAAAAAGTAAAAGCCACTGTATACACTTGTTGATTTTTTTGTGAGGAACATACTACTAGTATTTTATGAATATGAATGGCTCCTGTTCTTTCTTTGTTTCAGAACCCCTTCCGGAAGTCCAAAGGCCTGGTGCAGTGTGTTCTGTTTCATCCCATAAGGCCGTTCCTGTTTGTGGCTGTAAGGATGCTTCATTCATACACGTAGTGAGATACAATGTAGTAGAAGGCTATTTTCCTCATGTAGCTTTAGATACATGTACCTAATGCAGTATAAAAAGAGGGATGCATGAAATCTTAAAAATGCTATGCCTTCGTGAGTAAAGCCTTACTTCTATGTTATCTTTTCAGCTGTTGCTTCCATATTTTGATAAAGATATGGATCAGCAGATGATATTAGCAGATTTTTTTCCCCAGACCCAGAGATATGTACGTGTGTACAACCTACTGAAGCAGGAGCTGACTAAGAAACTCATGGCCAACTGCAAATGGGTGTCCAGCATGGCTGTACATCCTGGAGGTGGGGTGCTTTCAAATTGTAGATATCGTTAAGGTTAGGTCAGTGAAGGTTACAGTAGACATCCAGATAATGAGATACACCTAAAAACAGTCACTCAAACAGTCAGACGTGTCTGGTAGCATCCACTCAAGTTTTGTGTTTGAATGACAGCCCTTATACATGTAGTTTGCCTTCTCTTCCACAGGTGATAACTTGATTATCGGCAGCTATGACAGCAGGCTCAGCTGGTTTGACATGGACCTGTCCACAAAACCCTATCAGACCCTCAGGTAAGGTTTGACATGGAGCTGTCCACAAAACCCTATCAGACCCTCAGGTAAGGTTTGACATGGACCTGTCCACAAAACCCTATTAGATACTCAGGTAAGGTTTGATATGGACCTTCCAAAAACCCTATTAGACCCTCATTTAACAAACATACCTCATAACTTATACACGTATGTCAATAGAAATACAAAATGTATGAATAGCAGAATGATACTCTTCAGACTTGAAAGTCTGGGAAGGTTCATGGGTGATAATGTGCCTGCATCTATTATATTCTATTATAGCCATAATACATGTAGAAAGGGAAGTCATAAAACATAATGATATTACAAATGTTAATGAGGATGTAAGATATTAATTCTACAAACTATTATTTCACATAAGGATGGTTATAATAGAAACTTACCATTGCACTGCTTCTAGGCACCACAAGAGGGCACTGCGTCAGGTTTGTTACCACAAGAAGTATCCACTGTTTGCCTCTGCCTCAGATGATGGCACAGTTGTCATCTCCCATGGTATGGTGTACAGGTAAGATCATCCTTCAGTTTAAATTATGTTTTGTATAGTTCCAACAATTTTTGGTTTTTAATTCCTGTAAGTTCCAAGACATGTTAGTGGCAAAATCAGAAGTAGGGTCTTTTCTTGGGGGGTATTATTATCTGTCAATTTACAACCTCAAAAAAGGGATGTTTGTAGGATATTATTTTACATCTAGGAGTAATGAGTCAAGCTAAGAGTTTGTCTTAAACTAAGGATTAACAAGGTTTTTTTTCAATGCCCCCCTCCCCCTTTTTCTGTTGCAGTGACCTGTTACAGAACCCCCTGATTGTTCCAGTGAAGATCCTGCGAGGTCACAAGGTGACCCAGAATCTGGGCGCTCTGGACTGTCAGTTCCACCCCACACAGCCCTGGATCTTCTCTAGTGGGGCAGACACTACTGTCAGACTGTATACATGAGGGGGCAATATCTAGATATTAACATGAAAGCTATCTGTGTTGGTACATTCCATAATGAAGTTAGTACTTTTGTTCAACACAATGTTGCTTACACATGTACATGGAATTTTCGATGGCACCAAAAATTCGAGGTGAGCAACAATCTTTTGTGTCGAATGGAGCACTAACTTCATTATGGAATATTCACTGGCAGATAATCTTTTAGATTGAACACATCATAATTTAATGTGACACAGACACAAGTAAACAAATGCCTCAGAACTTTGAAACACATCTTTGTTTCGTTGTGTTTTAAGTTTGCCTATGGCAATGTCCTATGTTACTAATGTATTATCTATGTAATATGTATACTTGCATAAAAGGCCTAAAAAGAAAGAAGACACATATGTAAAATGGTATCAGTGTGCACACATGATCATGAAATTATAATCTAACTTTTCAAACAATGAATCACTGTACTTGTTTGTAAGATCATAATTCTTCCTGACCCCTCCACATTTTGCACATCATACATTATCTTAATTTGCAATGTATCAATTGTCTGATTAGATTCATCCACAGATACATAAACACATTTACCATCTTCACAGCCTGACTGGTATCATTCCACATTAATTTGAATTTTCTGTACATATTAGATATTGTGGCATTTTGGTAGCTAGCAGGCACGCGGTTTTGGGTAGCACCAATGGTTGAACCCTATGTCAATACAGCTAGTAAAAAAAGTCTAAACCTAACCAATTCTACACAAACTCAAAGAACAAAAATATGTTATGCTAAACTACAAATTAAACTTAAGTGACTTCCTGAAGTAGTACTAGTATTTGTATGTGATGTATGCAAGTCCAAGAATCATTGCACAAGGCAAAAGATGTTGCCATTTGATTAAAAAAATGGACCTACTAGTGTGGTCCACGTTTAGTGCATTCGAAAAATGCCTCAACCTAATACATTTTGTTTGTCATTACATCATGTCATAGCAAATTTTTCTGCTCTTGTATTGTCTGTTTTACATGGAAGAAGACTTCCGAGTGCCTTACCCATGCCATGTATAATACACAAGCAGGGATGTATACTGACTTACTGTGTGGTATCCACACAATGGCTACTGCATAGAGTACATGTGGAATGTGCTTTGTATAGTGTATCCTTTTCTTATACATCTCATTTCTTTATCCTTTCATGTAGATTCTCCAAATTCCTTTTTTATAATATTTATAGAAATTGGTAGAAAACTGTCTATTACATTTCTACTACAGACTCCTTGATTCTGTATTGAAAGAAAACAGTTTGCATGTTTCTTGGATCCTTCAATCTCTGTTAGTTGACTGCTGCAGCCGAGGTCTGCTGGGTCTGTTCACAGTACTTTTCTATTGCCCGACGAATGATGGCGACACCAAAGTCCACGTCCTGTTTGGTCAGGCACATGGGAGGCTTTATCCTGAACACCTAAAAGACACATTTTCACAGAACATTTCAGTCAAAAGATAGCACAAGCATACTTTTCTTTCACAGATATGATATTAGAATTCAACACAGGCTGTGACTGATACATATATATTCCATTCAAGACAAGAGTTTCATCAGAGGTGTACATGTAACGTTACTTCATTTTCATGCACTGATGACTAACATTGATAATGATGTGATACTTACATTTCCATAGAAACCACCCTTGCCAATGAGGACACCCATGTCCTTAATGTCCTCCCAGATGGAGATGACATCAGGTCCAGGCAGTGGTTCCCTCGTACCCTGTAGGGTACCAAACTTTGTGAGGAAGATTGCTACATTATAGATTACATATACATATATATACTTTTTTTTTTTTAAATGTACTTCAGATTCACCTCATAACAAGGCTCGTGAGAGCCACTTACATGTTTTGGCTTACAGTGATGACTGCGTGGTCAGATATTTGTTCACCCTTGATTTAAACCGTTGGAGGTTGTAATTTGCAGTGAAACATTCACGGGGAAGCTTGTTCCACAGTGAAGTGGTTCTGGGGAAGAAACTGTCAGCATGAAATTTTCTCTTGACTGCGATAACTATTACATTTTTGTTCCTGGATAGTTTTCTTTGCCCATATCATCGATCAGTGTTCTAGCCAGCATGAAATTTTTTTCTGTCCTGTATCATTTCTCTGTACCTTATCCTTGACCAGCTCCAGTCCAATCATCAGCCCCTTGCCTCTGACATCTCCCACTATGGAGAACTCGTCCCTCAGTTTGGCCAGCTCCAGTAGGAAGTACGTCCCCACTTCTGCACTGTTCTGCTGGGTCCCATCCTCCTTCATAACCTGTGGGGAGGGGGGTGCTTGTTACAAACTGAGGCTTTTTTTTTAATTGAAGAATTTATTTTTGGGGATTTGAATACCCACTCGACTGATCATGTTGCAGCAGTATAGTACTACGTGTAGTAGCATGTGTAATACTGTAATTCAACATGGCGCAAGGGAATTACAGAGTAGATGCTAAGTTTATGTGACTGCATATAAAAAGGTTATATATTGTATAATAGGAGATTTTGAAACTCATTGTGCATTCCTTTTATTTGACAATCTTTCCTGCTAATAGTAATCCAGGAATAAGTCTTGTCTACCCTATTTCAATGATGTGAAGACTTAGGCTGTGAAAGCAACCAATTGTCTCACATCAAGCACAGCAGATCCCACTGCACAGGCCACTGGGTTCCCTCCAAAGGTGTTCAGGTGAAGAGCCTGGGTCATGGACTGGGCAATCTCTGGAAACATGCAGGAAAAAAAAAGAATTATTGGAAATTTGTTAGACCAATAACCATTCAATTTTTATAATTTAATTTACATAAAAAATATGACATTCATACATTTAGCCTTCAAAATTCTTTATACCTGGATCTTCTTTACAACCTGTAAGTTAAAGCAAAACAAAACAAAAAGACGAAACTGCATTCCAGCATTGATAAGTTTGAAAACCAAGGAGTATGTGAAAGTAATGAATATTCCATACTGATGTTGGAAAAACAAACAACATACTAGTAACATGCTTACCTGGTGTGGTGACGACAGCAGCCAGGGGGTATCCATTGCCAATACCTTTGGCCATGACAACTGTATAAGGAGAACAAATGAAAAAACTGCAAAGTTTGAATCAGGTTTGAATAAGAAATTGACTACAAAAGACTGAGAATTTAAATAAAACCTGTACCTTTTTGTCCTAACACGATTAAGCTGTATTACAGCATGTAAACATGTACATTTTTCACACACTTGAGACCACACTGAAGTCATTTGTACCCACCCATGTCAGGCATGACGTCATGAGTCTGGAAGCCCCAGAAGTGACTGCCCAACCGGCCAAAACCTGTCTGAACCTGTCAAGACAATGTTAAGGACAAATAGTAAGAGGAGCAAGCAAAACTTGTGAAGGAGGTGGGGCAAAAGAAATAAAGAGATTACAAAGAAGTAGATGCTACATTTAATGACATTGTTGAGAAAGGCTGAGCGTCTTCAAGTACAGATGCATTAAATTACTTTGCAAAATATGACCTGAGAAAAGATTTTGAGAAGAGACGTATGGTACAGAAAGCATTTTAAACATGATGTTATGCCTTTTTTGATGTTCCAAAATAACATAGTTTCCTGATGTCAGCTAAAACGTGCTTTCTACACACTTGGTCTTTTATATGTATATTATGACAGAATAACCAGATGCATAAATAATAGAAACTCTATTATTTCCTGTCTTTCTGGATCATTACTGGCTGTGTGGCTGATAATGAAGACACAACAGACTGTGGGGAGTCTAATCTTTTGATCTATTGAGCTACATCAATGCGGTTCCCATTAAGCAGATCCCAACAAGGGTGCTGCCAAATAATAGGTTCACCCCTGGTGCTATTGATGTTTCAACAATGAAGGTAATTTGGTTGGGGAAAGTGTAAGCTGATCCACTCCAGCAACACCTGCCACCTTTACATGTGTCATACTTCTATCAGTCTATTCTTTTCAAGTCAAAAAGCGATGATTCCTTTCAATTTTCATCTTTCTTCTATGTATATGCATAAAGTTGCCTACCTTCATTCATTTATTTACTTTAAAGCAGTATTTAGATATGACTATGATTGTTTTCACATATTATGTTGGTGACCTTGAAACAAAACAAACATTACTTTGAATTGATGTAGAAACATTTGATAACTCTTACTGTCTGCTTCATTTCCTAATAAGCTTCATGTATGCCGGAGATTGCATGCTGGGCATTTGGGTACACTACATGCATATAGCCCCAATCACATACCTCATCAGCAATACAGATTCCTCCTCTCTCCCTGATCATTGCGAACGCCTCCTTCAGGAATCCCTTAGGATACTGCACAGCTCCCCCCACTCCCTGTGGAGGGTAAGATATGACTGATGAAAACAATCAAAACTTTCAATTGTCTCTGCTGAAGGTTTACATTAATGACATAATTATGTTCGGAGAAGGAAAACATAAGTTTTTGCTGAGTTTCTTCTTCTTCCCTTCCAAACAAATAAAGTCAATGGCCTGGACCAGACATCTGTCAGCATGGTAACTTGTGCTGTAGCAACACCCTGTGGTGTCGGGTTACATTATGTAGCAGAACAGAGTTGGGCAGCCTGCTCATCATATTATATGAATCTGACTTTGAGTAAGAATAAACAGTGCAGTAGTTTGTTTGGCTAGACCAGGTGAACATAATATTCATTTTCTTTCAATATTAGCTGTCTGGTCTATTCAATAAATCTTACAATTAAGCAGCAAACAGTTGGAAAAAATAACATTAAGATGAGAAATGTCAACACACCTGAACAGCCTCTGCAAAAAACCCTGCAACTCTCTTGCCAGTGGAATACCTTAAGACCTCGTGTAGCTGCTCCAGGTACATGTCTTTAGCCATGCATTCACCTGAAGACAATCACAAGTGAGTCATGCATATACATGTTACGTTACAATTCATATTGACCTGAAAAATTACTATATAATTATTATATAGGATATAATTACTATATAGGATAAAGTACCAATATTGAACTGGACTATTTTGTGAGAGGAGTAAACAAGGCTACCTACATTAGAGCCCACACAACTGACACCAAGATGGGGGCCGCTATCACCAGGCAATTCATTACTCCCTGAGCCTAATTCCAACACAACTAGAGATGAGCCTTCATAACAGATAAAATGCCAGTGAATCACACCTACCTGCTGCACAGGAACAGCTTCTGTCAGTCTGAAAAAATGACACAGAATCTCATTAACATGACAGATAAGTCAGGAACATTGTCCATCACAAGTTGTACTGTTTGTTTTGAATACTACTACTACAACATCATCCAACTTTTCTCAGGATGTCCTCAGGATGTAGCTTGACGTGTATAGAAACTTTCAAAGACCTTTATTCATACAGAGAAAGTTACTACCCATAACTGATGAATACAAATAACCACATATTGGGTAGATTTATACAATGTATCTCATATTATATATAAATAAAGTAAACTTTGTGACCTGGACAGGAGAGTCCCTGCAGTGAGCTCCTCCCCAGAGTCCTCTGTACACATCAGGATTCATAGTCTGAAAAGAGCAAGGGCATATCTGTATCTATATCTATATCAGTCTGTATCTATATCTGTATCACAAGAACATGTGTCATATAATTACTCCAGGCCTACACTGTAGTACATTCAATACATGGGAATGATTGACGAAAATGTTATCAAGAGACATACAGAAAGTCGACTTCAACTACCAAATATTCTGTCCATTCATGAGAAAAAAAAACAGCGACTAAATATTAAAAGACAAAGGAAAATAGAAGACTTCCTTTGTGTATACCAGTCCAGATTAATATTGTTGGTAGGGCCTGAGTGCATGGTGTAGCTAAAGACTTACATGGTGATGTCCGAACCCACTGGCCATGTTGTATGTCCAGGTACTGTGGGCAGTCAGACCCATGGTGTAGGGACTGGCACCGTGGTACGCATTCCTATAGACCCACAGGAATAACACATGTAAACACCTGTATATGGTGGTACTGTCACAAACTTAGAAAAGTCCAAAGGACACTGAATGAAAGTGTCTGTAAGAACTCTTAACCTTCAGCCTGTTAAGGTTGTCATTTGGCACAAAATTTGTACTGGTTATGGGTTTATACTGCAGCAGGGAGGAGGTTCAGGCACTGAGATAAGTAATGGATTTCTATACTTACTTCAATTACACCATATCTTGGCAACTTTGTGCATTTGTGTATATAGACGAAAACAGTAAAACCACAATGTGCTGACCTGAATGAGATGATATCAAAACTGCCAGAGTGCAGCCGAGCCATCAGCAGGGCCAGGTCATTGGCCTCTGAACCAGAGTTGGTGAAATAACAAACCTGCAGGGAGAAGTACCAGATTGAAAGTCTTACTACCTACACGAAGGAAAATGTCTCAGCCACTGAGGTGTTGCCAAAAACATAATGTCTAGCTCTGAAATATGAACCAATGAAACTTTTAAGATGACAAAGGTTGAACAGAGAGAAAGACAAAGAATTTCAGTTTGAATACATACCAGGAGACAGTGGATAATTTGAAAAGGAAAAAAAAAGAACAGAAAGAAACACTGGTTTAACCACAATCAAGAATGACAAAGAAGAAATAATGGAAAAGAAACACAAGACAAAACAGCAAACGGTTATACCGGTAAAGGAGCAAAGGGGAGATATGGCTCAAAGTGATAATGTACAAAAATGTATGTACAAAATGTACAATGTAATAATGAATGTACAAAATGTTCTTTCCAAGTCTTACCTTGAGATCACCAGGTAAGTATGAGGTGAGTTTCTCTGCATACTCGTGAATGGGAGGGTGCATGTAGACATTGGTGGTGTGCCACAGTAAGTCCAACTGTTCTTTAGCTGCTTCTTTCACTTTCCTATAGACATGAGTGCCAGAAAAAAGTTTAAATTACAGTATTATGCTGCACATTCAGTACTTGGTTACAGTGTTACAAAAAAATGGAAGTCCTCGCTGTATACAGGTGTGCTAGGTGTGCTATTATAAGTCACAAGAATTAGTTTCATATTTTAATATTAGTACTCACGGATGACAGTGCCCGACACTAACAGTCACAATGCCAGCGAACAGGTCCAGGTACCGCTGTCCATGTACATCCCATAACCACTGCATGTGACCCTGGTACACCATCACAGGCTTCTTGTAGTACGTCAGGAGGGCAGGAGTTAGGTTACTTTTCCTGCGCTGCATGGCATCCTCATATGATATACCCTGCAATATAAATATTAACATTCAATCATATTTTATCAAATAAACTTATGAACATTGCATGGAGATAAATAAGAGATGGAAAGAAAAGGTTCTTGTTTATTTGGATCAAATGAAGAAATAAACATTTGTACATCGAGATTTGCCATGTCATGCCTGCATACCATAGCATACCTATCCTACACCCCCGAGCCATTCTGCTTAGTTCGGGGGTGTAGGATAATGGGATACTGTAAATCACTTTTTTTTTCACAGTACATTGTACTTTTATATTTAAAGCTTTCGCGTTTTTTACGGTGAACATATAGTTCTGCGAACATTTTTCTCAGGTCACGAACTTTTGCCCCGCAAACGTTACTGATTTACAGTCAATAGCCAGAACCGGCCCAGACCAGTTCTACAAGAGGTCTAGATGACCCAGATAATTAAAGGCAGCCTGTATGTGTAGCTTTATCATTGTAGTTTTATGACATGAGCTTTAATTACCTTGTATGGAGTCGGCTGGAAGTCACATGGGGGCATCTCTGGAAGGGTACTGACCACACGGACACCTGTCAATCAGGAATTGTACAGTTTGAGACTTGAGTATTATCTTTTAAACCCTATAATGTAGGATATGGCACAAGTAGGGAAGTTAAGGTTAAGTAGGGAAAGCAAATAAAGACAATACCAAACTGTATATCACATCTTGAATGGCAGTTGCCTGATGAATACTATGAAAATAACGTTAACATGCAAATTAAAGGCAACTGGAGGAAACATTATCAAGTGCTAGCACTGCACTAATGATACATTATTGTAATCTACATGTATTACGCTTCGCCAATATTTAACATCCCAGTCTACGTAGTCTAGTCAGAGAAGTCCAAAACATATAACGTTACATTTTTGGTTTCGCCTCAAACAGCTGACGTTGCACATCTGGAGTCGATAAATTTGGGGACCACAAGCTACACATCCATACAAGAATCATCATCGTAAATCTTCTTTGCTGTCACTCTCAATCCTATATACTGCTTGATGTATTTCTCAACGACTTTTTACAGCTTTTGTAAATTATCTTAGGTAAGTTACCTCTTGTAGTTCCCGCCCCCTTCAGGGCAGATCTTGCCAGCAGGGAGAGTCTTGGAAGCATCTTGGAACTGTGGCTATCAGCAGTCCAGGCTGAAATATCCGGGGCCCTGGGGGTGTTATCGCAAAAATCAAGACCTCAAACGCTCTCTAGACTTCTCCTGGACCTCCTGTTTTGTGGTTTTCCTCCGGCCTGTGCAAACAAGACGCCACGAAGTACGCCTACAAAGCTGCACTCCGCCGGAACTGGACTTTGTCTAGTTGTTGTTGATCAACACTGACCTCTCTGTGACAGCGGATCTGATAATCTAGGGACAAACCATTCAGCCCCCAGGGGAGGTCGCGGGGCTGTGGAAAAGTGCTCTTTTCTGTGACATGAAGATTACTAGTAGCTATTGACTTATGCGAAAGCTATCACCTCTTTTTTTTTTAAAGTAAAATAATTCATTAGCCTGATTAGATCTGATTAGGCAAACGTTTATCTTATTTTTCATATCCCACATGGGTCAAAATAACGCAGGTGGTTTTGCCTATACATTAACTGTTACATTGTATTGTATTACTTTAAGAAATGTTAACTATAATTCTGGGGTGGTGTATGCGATCATGACCTAGCTGGTCAGAGCCAACGGGCAATTCCTCTCAATGTGACCTATCAAATCCGTATTGTGTAGAATCCCAATATAGACGCATTGAAGACATTAAACTCAAGGCGCAAGTAGCTAGCGCTACGGTATTTATGAGCTAATTTTCCAATGTCCAAGCAGATCCTACGGTGGCAAGACAGAATAGATACTAACTGCCTTGCCACCGTAAGATCTCAGTATAGATTACCCATTCTATTTATATATCAATCATCGTTTATTTATACTGAGTAATATCTACCAATACGGGAAGCCTTGCGAGCGTTTTGTGGCTTGTGTTCCCCGGGCCATTGCTTTCATCTACAGTGCTACTCACAACGCTGAGTTCTAAACATTATGCATTCCGGTCGTCAGACAACGTACTATGATATACTGTTTGGTCGATATCTCCTACGGTGGGAAGCACCTGTTTATCGATGTGTGTAAAGGTATTGTGCTTGTATTACGAGACTGACTAACATTCTGCCCCAGGCCATCACTCACTGAAGCGCAATCTCTCACAGGCCAACAAAAAGTCAAGGGCTTTTGTCTGAGAGGGTTGAGCGTAGCGACCCGACCCCTGAAGCTAATCTCCAAACATATCTTTTGGTGACTGCAAAGTCCGAAACACTGCAAAAATGTTCTTCAAGCAGAGGTTTGGGTTTTGGCTTGTTTTTAGCGTGTTTTTTATCGGGCTTTCTTTATTGCACTGGTATGTATTTTTACGCCAACCCAACTTTGTAATAAAGAAAGCCTGACAAAAGGCCTAAAATCACGCCAAAAATAAGACAAAACTCAAACCTCTGCTTGGAGTGTAGGCAAAAATAAGCCGAAGGCTAAACCTCTGCGGGGAGTACCCCTGAAGCCGCCTGGGAGATGTATCGATGTTACGGAGTATTATCACCGTGAAAGAACGCATTAGCCGCGAACTATCCACTGCTCCCATCAATGCAGGAGCTATTCGGAACGAATTACCCAGGGACAAAGTCCCAACGTATTGCCCCAGACTGCTACATGAAGTTGGGGCAGCCAGCTGTATTAATGGTAAATCTCTTGTTCCAATGTCAGTTATGGCAAGGAGGTATAAAATCAAATTTAAAGTCTTGTATTTAACCTTCTTGGTTATGGAGACGCATGAAAAGCGCTCTTCTGAATTCACTTTTCATAGAGAATAACATTACTTAATATTTGAGTCTTGTCTTAAGAGGAATTCACTTCACACATGAATAACATGACACCAATTGGACAAAAAAAGAGAATAACTTAGAAAATACCAAATGTTCTGTTACATCTTTTACAAACTTCAACTTTCAACACTCTTGACTGACTGTCAAATGCGTATCAAGATAAGCCAAGGACATCACTCCAAACACCTCCTTAATGGTGATATCGACTTGGATAAATTGTGAAGTTTGGAGGCCATGCCAAAAAAATTAGACCAAAAGGAAAACATTTTCCACATGAAGTCTCAAAAACTCCTTGGTCAAATCAAGGAAGTTGAAGAGCAACCTCCTTGATCAAATCTAGGAAAGATCAAGAAAGTACTAGTATCGTATGGTCAACAAAATTTTTCATGAGCCATTTCAACTTAGACACCCCTTCATGCTGAATAGACTATTCCAGTAGAGTCAGCTGACCAACATGGCCGAAGGTAGTAGTGGGGAGGGCGATCCATCTGAAGAAGAAAATCCATTTTCTTTCCGAAAGTTCGTCGGAAAACCCGGCAGCAAGGGCCAGGAACAAAAATCGACAAAGGCAGAGAAAACGACAGATCAGGAAAAGGACGATTTACTGGATATCTTTGCCGGACCGGCGGAGGTGAAACCGAGAGAGCAGCTGAAAGTCCAGTTGGAGGAAGAAGACGCCCCTCCTGCAAGTTCGTATTCAAGCTATCCCTGAATATTTAGCACTGAAAGATTGTATGAAATGTTGTTGTTTGGATGTGGGTAAGTTTATTTTGATGAGATGATCGAAGAACGGGTTAAGTATAAAGGACTCGAGCCAAAATATTAACGTGAAATACCGTACTAGTAGCCACAGTACTGTGAGCAAGGAGGTTTCCTTGATTGGAATGCAGTGTATCACTTTGCCTGCAAACTTCTATTGGTCCTTGCTGATAATGATATATGATTAACTTAATAATTTTTCCTCTTACATCAGTAATTCATGCAAGTTAAAATATTCCTTAAATGTGTATTTCATATTAATTTTAGAATAATGTTAACTTGAAAATTGATATGGTTGTTTTCTTTTCTTCAGAAGGAAAAGCCAAATCAAAAAAGGACAAGAACCCATTTTCCTTCAAGGAATTCTTGAGAGAGTCGGCAACAAAAGGCGCCAAGTCAAAATCATCACCTCAAAGAAAGAGCCCACCTGAACAACACCTTCTACCACCTGTATCACCTCCTAAAGTAAGTTTAGCATCCTTGTAACTAGCCTATCACCTAACAATTCTTTAGCTTTCTTATGACTTTGTCAGGGTGGCAAAACTGGATTTTGAAACTCAAAGTCAATTTTTCGGTCACTCGTTTAATGTAGTTAGTTGAATCCCATAGCATACTGATATTTGTGAGGCAAAAATGTGATGTCACTGACAGAAAATGACTGCTTGTTCTGTATCATAGGCTGGTTCTAGGCATTAACAGGCGGTACCCAAAAAATAAAGATATGCCTCAAATAGCTTCTTTTGGGGGCTATTGCATTTTAATGTCAATATCAGACAGATTTTCTCATCCAGAACATTTTTGTTTTGCCACCCTGAAAATTAATTTAATGCCTTTAGAGTTTGTAAGACACCATGTTCATTCTGTTCCAGTCCTCCACATTCCAACAGCACACAGGAGACGAGCTTCCCCCCGTCACCTCCACGGAGCTGCCAGACTTTGTTCAGGACTACTTCCTAACAGACACTAAAACTTCCATCCCAGAGACACACCTTCCCAGCTTCTTCTCCGATCCAGAAGTTCCTGGAGTGTTGGATGGAGCAGGGCCGCAGGATGCGCAGCCATTGGACAACGTGTTGGGAGCCGGGCGAGCCTCCGTGGAGGTACCTACGGTAGACCCTGAAGGATCTGTGGAGCCATCAGTACAGGAGGGTCCCATCAACTTACCTGACTTCCTGTCAGATGGTGCCATGTGTAATGGGGAGTTGGAGGAGCAGGGACAGGAAAGTACAGGTGCTGCTGCAGGTGTGGATCACACAGTGTTTGCACAGGTGAGACAATCTGTCTAATGGCATGATGTCGTAATGACTTACATAAAAGTTCATCATCTTCATGATTCTCAGTTTGAATCATTGGCAGATCCATTGAGTCACTTCCCATACACAGAAAGCTCAAAATTGCATTGAAAAGATTTAACCAAAAGATTAAAATATTCTATCTAATAGAGGATGGCACTTCCCAAATTTCATTACACCTGATAAAAAATTGCTTTTATCATCTTAGAATTAACCTGTCTGTTTTGTTTCAGGTGGAGAAGGACAATGGAACATTGAGAAGGCAGTTGGTAGAGGCCAGGAGACAAGTGCAATCTCAGACAGAGAGGTAAGACCTAAAGACTCTGTTATGTGCATTTTGGCTGGCAAAACAGATGAAAAATATTGGCTGTGATTGCAGCGTTGTTGAAGATATCTTATGAGACAAGTTATGGCTTCTCTATTTTCTCTTCAGAATATCGGAGCTGCAGCAGCAGATGGCAGCACAGAGTAAGGCAGAAGCAGAAGAGACGGCAGCACTGGAGAGGATGGTACAACAGGTGGAAACCAACCTGGAGGTGGCAACAGTAGGTTGACCTAAAGTATTATAAGGCAAATTCTCTCATCACTAAGTGTGATAATGTTAGAGCTGATGGTAGAAAGGCTTCAGAGAAAACTAACTTCTCATTTTCTTTTCCTACATCAGAAAAGAGCTGTTACAGCTGAAGAAACAATAGCCAAACTAAAGAAGGAGATCAAATCACTTCAGGTATGTTATAAGCCCGTTGGTGTATGTCCAAATTGCAATACTCAGCTTTGATTTTCTTGACTCATCAGCATTTGTTTGGTTAGAAACCACAAATGTTATTGGTACATTTTTGTACTAGTACTAGTAAGTATACACACAAAGCTTGTTCATTGTTCTTGCTTTCATTCTTACATTGTTGTGGTGATGAAGGTACTGTATGTTGCCAAATTATTTTTAAAAATGTATCTGTTGATGTTCTCCTCAATCTGTTTTATCATATGAATGGATTCTTCAGGCCCAAGTGAGCTCACTATCCCAGGAGAACAATGCTCTAAGAGCAGGAGACTCCCCCCTGACTGGTGTGAGAGAAAAGGCCAAGTCTGCATCAGAACAGCTGTCCACTGCTGCTAAAAATGCAGACCAGTCCATTAGGTAAGGGAGGATATGAAGAACTGCAGTGAGCAATGATTATAATGAAGCAACTTTAAACTGTACATTGAAAGTTTCAACACAAGAAATTGGACCAGTCTTTGTCAAGAAATGAGCAATCCAGCACTTTTGTGATTATGCAAATGACACATGTGACTCGGTGAGCAGTAGGTCATAGGTTGCAGAAAGTCTGTGGCGCCCCCTGTCTTTGTGGAGGGATGATTGCAATGCCCTGAGATGGCCTCTGTAATCTCGCATGGCCTCTGTAATACTCTCAATGATTATAATCTATGGTGAAAATTGATGCAACTGTTTCCAATCCATGTTATAGTAAAATGTTGATTTTTAGAATGTAAAATTCTAGAAAAAAATGTTGCATTTTTCTGTTGTTGTACATGTAATAGCATTGTCATTGTTCTGCCACATGTCTGTGCTGCCAGATCTAATACATGCTTTTTTTCCTATTCTTACAGGCAACTACTCACTGGTGTGGAAACACTGAAACTAGTGTCAGATTTGTTGGCAGACATAGACAAAATTACGGAGGTGAAAGAAGAGCCACCTCCACCTGATACCCAAGGAGCAACCTCATGATCATCACAGATGTACATGACAGATAATCAGAGCCTAACAGACACTTCCATTGAAAAGCAGGCAAACAGTTTTAAAAACTTTGTAAGATTTTAATAACTAATTTAAGGTGAAATTGTATGCAATTGGATGGCAAGATAGTGATTCATAATGAACCTTGTATTTGGTATCTGAGCAATGTTGGAGGATTGCTGCATTTACATGTAATACAGTATACCTGTTACTCGGAGTTGGCAAACATAAAATCATCATGTTTTCATTTGTTTTGTTAGAGCTAGGATATTTCTCAAGACCTGTTGATCAGGTGTTTTGATAGAAAAATTACCGGCAATACAATAAGAGCTGTATCCTACTAGGAGAATCTTACAAACAGTCCTACAGAAAATCCTCATTGTTCTAACTCAATGTATTTTATACCTGCAATTTACCTCACAATCAGCTCACTAATGCTAATAGCTGATTGTTTTACTTACAGATTTTACTTTTTGATAATGTGGAAAAGTGTGATGAATATGTTATCATGACACAAAGACTGTTCAATGTCATGAGCCAAAATGTTGTGAAAATGTCAGAATAAGCCATCTACAACTACTTGCACAGTATCTCATTGTTGCACTATCTGAAATGAATTAACATCAGCAATTTTCTTCCAGGCAATTGTAAATAAAATTTCTTTGAATATGCTTGCATTCATTTTTGGGTGGGGAAAAGTCTGCTCCTTTTGTACTGGAGCTATGTAAGACCTAGTACTAGTAGTCTTGAGTAAACCTTTTTATAAGACAATACTGAATTCAGAGTTTACCAGGTAAGAAGGTCCCATATGCTAAGAAGTAGATATAAATTGTAACAGGTCTTTACAATGCAGCCATTCCTGAACTGCGCAAATTTATCACCAACAGTTGGAAAAATGTCCTTTCCTTTTCTAGTTGTTGCAGTCTTTCTATTCATTCATTTATTCATTCATTCTAAAAGTCTTCCTATTCATTCATTCATTCTTAAAATCATTTCTTGAAATATTACAAAGTCAACATTCCAACCTGGCATGTTGACTTTAGCTCCTGTAGTAGCAAGTGGGTCTGTCACAGGTTGTCTGTTTATTTATTTTTGTTTCTCTCCTATTTCATTAATTTCTTGCAAAAATCAGAGAACCATGAAACTGTATCGCTGGTAGGCGGCTAAGGCCTAAAGTGAAACCCTTCTTTTATACTGATTTATTGAAAGTTTTGTTAAAGTCACTACTGCACTAAATATGTAGTAGCAACAAGGAAGCGTTGTTGCAAAAACAGTACAGACGAGTGAACAAGCGTGCCAGTATACAGAAGCAGGTGTATATGTAGACAGGTGTTTATAGGCAAAGGGACTAACAGGCAGCAGGGTAAGTACGGACAAACATGCATTCAGGATCCAACTGCTTTCAAAGTAGGCGCTAAACTGAGAAACATCTCAAAGGCAAACAGTTGAACAGTGGGTGCCTCGGGTCATATAAAGGTCCCAACTGAAACTGTGCTAAATGAATGGATGAAAGGGTCTTGGAACAGAATCCAAATAGTCCCTTAGGGGACAAACCGTTACGTATGATAACAAGACTCTCGAAAAGAAAGTTGGTGTGTTTAAGAAAAGCTCAACTCGTGTGGATATCAATTGGGAGATATCAAGAATATATTAAAAGTATTTTGAGTCTTTACTTTGGAGAAAAGAATGAAGTAGAAGCGTTTTAGACTACATTAGAAACACTGCACACCTGTCCACGATCGGTCCCTGGACACCTGTTGCAACGTCACGCCTAGCACTGACCAATCAGGGGCCGGCTTTGGGCGTCGGTGTCAGAGTTCTATTAGTATTATGGCGGACGGAGGGTCGATGTTACGGACTGAATGCAAGGAGTTGTAGTCATGTTTCGGACCTGAAATGACCCGGACTTAAACTTCTAACGAACGATCGTCTTTGGGAACACTTGAAGATAATGGCTGACAGAGATAGTCTCCGATTGCGGGGAGCTGCCGCCCCCGGGTCCGCCAACACGTCCCGTCTTTTGAATGGATCAGGAACGGGAGATCGGCCCACTAGTGCTACCGGGCAGATGCAGAGTCTTCTCGGCGAATTTAAGGGATTGTATCAAGACAGGTTAAGAAGTCTTGACCAGAGCAACGACGACTCGAAGGAGACCTACAAGGTAAGGGTACTGATCCTTGATTGATGTGCTTTTCTGGAACGTTTGTCAAGGCAACAAAGAGTCACTCAGCAAAAGGGGGAGGGGGGCACAAATAGTGAACGTGGACTATCTGCCAAAGGCAAAGTTCATCGTACGCTTCCAATCGATCGTTTCGGCATATCTACAACAGTTGCCTCGCTGCCATACGACTGGGAGGAATCTTGGAACCCGGCCAATGTTTTCACTACATGCATAAATCCGTAAACACCACGGTTTATGCTAGCGCGAAACTCAAAACAGTATTGTGCCCCCCCCCCTTTAGTGAATAGACAACATCACACGTACACATAGCAGACGCGTCTGTTCAGTATACCTCGGTTCAAAGCACTTTCTTTTGTAAGTTCTGGCATTGAACCTCCATTTAAATCTCGTTCAATTTTTAGATCACAATTTTTGTTTTGGTTTGTCTGTGTGTGTATACTAGTATATAAATTTCTACTGCCCATTCGACAAGATGAAAACTCCCCCCCCCCCATCATTAAGATTGAATAGAAACTTTGCAGATTCACCATTGGCAAATTTGACTTAGCATGCAAAAGACATATGTTGACATTCTACATACAAAATTATGAATAAATTAAATTATTTAAGATTGATGGGGTCAGGATAATACAGTGGGTCAAATGAATAGTTAACGCCTACAATAATTACCAATGATTTTCCTTGTATCATTTCATTTGCCCTAGGGTAGCCTTTCTTTCATTGTCATGGGTTAAATATGTTAACATCCTTTGGTCTAGGGTACAATAGGCTGTCATAAGAGCATTGCTCATAAAGGTGTATCAAATCATTTAATTCAAAGATATGCATCTAGTTGATCAAAATGCAACATATAGAAAAATCTTAAATTGATTGACATGCGTCTTTGTTTTGTCTGCAGATGAAATGTCGCATCCTGCAGTCGTACGTGAACGACTTGTCAGAGCAGAATGAAGTCCTGGTGCAGACTGTGGAGGAACTGGAGAGGGAAGCCAACGGCAGGGTGGCATTGTTAGAGGGGAAACTGTCAAAAACCACCAACACTGTCAAGGTGGGAAATCATGCAACTTAAACATGATTGTCTGGAACTAACAGACAACTCTTTTCATTCAAAGACAGTGTCCTCACGATCACCAGGCTGTTTGAGTGTCTGGGCCCCCCTACACTGTGGTTTGGACCCCCTATGCCTATGCTAAATGCTGTGATTTACCTCCTCACCTGCTGTGTTTTTTAAGGAGAACCCAGGTGTAATCATTCAAAAATCTTCAAAAAATGAAAGATTGAATTTAAAATGAAGCTATGACAGAAGGAAAAATAACCTTGCAAAATCTAAAAAGCTGGAAATAGTGTCTCAGAGGGTTATGAGTTTAAAATTTTTGGGGCAAGACCCCCTACTGTGGTCACGTTGTGACTCAATGCATGCGTGCACCACAGATATTTTGCCCTTCTGTACCTGACCCTGACCATGAAAAAAATTGTAAGCTATACAGTACATATAAAGGTATGGGAGGTCACACTCACAGGTACTTTGCATTTTGCTTGTTTCCCGCACGTGTTATTTTTACTATGTGAGGTCTTATTGATTTTATTGATTGGTGAAAACGTTCTTTGTTGCACACATAATGACACAGTCAAAATCTACATTTGGAAATCCTTTGATACTTTTCAAGAAGTAAATCATTCATTACATACCAGATATGTCTTACTCCCACCATATGTGACAGTCTGGGAGAGATAATAATAGACATAATCAGAAAAGACATGTCGTCTAGACTTGTAATTATCATTCATTAGGTTTCTAAAACTAGTCATTGTCTTAGGCCAAGATTTTAAAATACAGTGGAAGGAAATGTATATGGTTTGTAGCTCCTGGGCTTTGTAGTTTGGACACCACACAACAATCAAATGTTAGCCAACATTGTACAAACAGGAATAAATGGTACGTTTACTTTGGTAATCGTAAGCTATAATGGAAGCAAATGATTAGTGACTTTGTCATGTTAGACCAGAGGTTTACATTTCAACAATCAAATTTGCTGTAGCTTTGTGTATCTTTAATAACATCCAGTGGCTAAGACAATAATGTATGAAAAAGGTTTGCTGTCCCTTTGCTTGCATTGCTTTCTCACTAGTATCAGTTGCTCCTGGTAACACCATTGAGATGTGTGTATGTCAAAGTGTATGTACGTCATGTTGTAACTGTAAATTACATGGAAGGTCAGATAAAAGAGCTTTAGCTTATGTGGAGGGGATTGAAGTACATGTTTACACAGTCGGTGGCAAAGATAATTAGAATTTTTGTTTTATGTAAAGTAAACATATGAATTACTTGTCATTTAGGGTAATGACATACAATATCAGGTGAAAGTAGTACCATCGTCCTGGGTGATTTTGACATCTACATCAATACACAGATACAGCAATGTTGTCAACCATTCTGCAAGGTCCAATTTCCCTTTCATTTCTTCTCCTTCTGTAGTCGTTAATGGTTCATCCCTAAGAGTATGAAATATGATGTCATCAAGCAGTCAAGTGGCTTGAGTGTAGACCAGGATCCTTGTTGTCCCAGCCTTTATGTATGTAGGCTAATGACAGCAATTTTAATGCTGTTTGTTATATGGACTTACATGTACTAGAATCACTCTGGATACTGACTGAGGTAATGTTGGTGTAATTACAGTGTTGGTATAGCCGTTAAGTCTCAGGAAAGGTATCTTTTCTTGTTTTTCACCCATATGTAATGTATATTGTCTGCCAGAATACTGTACTATGCTTTTGACCAAATCATGCTAGTACATTTGTAGTACTGGCAACTCCAATTTCACAGATGATTAACCATGAAGATTAAGAATGCTGGATGGACTTTTGCCAAAGCTACTGGAATTACATACATTGTGGGGAGAGTTATATCAATATTGTCAGATAAAACATTGGTTTCTTTTGCCAGCACCTCAGTGTTTTTTTTTTCAGCTGAAGTGCACATTTTTTTATCACTTGTTTTTTTCTCTTCCAAGATTTTTATGCAGATGGCTTCTTCAATGGTTACACATGTATATTAATCTGAATGTTGCTGTCTTCTATTTTCTCTAAGACTTGTGGCATAAACTGTATGTTGAAAGGATTGACTTTGTACGTATTGTTTTTCCAGGAGTATGTGAACAAGGCTCGTGACTATGAGCAGCAAGTAAAGACTATAGCTGTACAGAAGAAAAATGCAGAGGACCAGCTAGAGGTGAGACATGCTGCTTTTTTCATTGTGTTATAAAAATGGTCTTGAAGATTATACAGTTTTCATATTTCCTTCCGTTTGTCCAATCCCTTGTCCATTTTATGAACTGAGAATTATTCCCTGATTTTTTTTTTCTTTAATGATATGATAACTTACACTTCTTTTAATTACTAACCAGTCCTCTCATCGATATTCACCTGTCCAACGTATTAGAAGACTGAAGGAAACTGTTGGTCAGGTTGTATGAAATGCTGACTCTTTGGCTACATAGTTAGGTTAGCCAAGTCACAACCTGCAAGCTTTGGCTTTGTCTAATGGCTGATCACCAGGAGATCTTGCTGGGAGCCTGGTAGCAAAATTTAGATTCAAAGCATCGAAAGCTATGATCAGCAAACCCTAGCTGTCTTGCTCATTACCTTCGCCAAGAAGGTTATGTTTTCAGAGGCGTTCGTGTATGTGTGTGTGTGTGTGTGTGTCTGTCTGTCTGTCTGTCTGTCTGTCAACACGATAACTTGAGAAGGCCTTGATGGATTGTCTTGATACTTGGTAGGTGGGTAGGTCTTGATGAGACCTCAAAATGATTAGATTTTGGACCCCCTAGCGGCTTGTAATGGTACTGCAGCTGAACTTCCGGTTTTGATATCTCATGATCTAGACATGTTATGGTGATGAAATTTGGGTGGTAGATAGGTCTTGTGCTGGGGAAGAAGTCACGTGAGTTTGGGCCCCCTAGTGGCTTGCTCTGGAACTGCAGGGATATATTCTTGAAAATATTCAAAAGAGGATAACTCAATAACCGGTTGACGGATCGTCGTGATTTTTGGTATGTAGGTAGCTTACGTGATGCTTAATATAATTATGTGACAATTATGCAAATATGGCTGTAATTTGCATAATTTATGGGGAAATTCTATAAATCAGCTGCATTCCATAATAAGACAATAGAAGCTTGTGACATTGGTAATTGACAACGAGAGAAACACATAAAAACATTGATTATGTTAATAATGACTTAATTTGCATAATTAATGAGAACATTTTATAATTATGTAATGATAACTGCCTGTAATTTCATACTCATGGTATTTGAAAGTTAAGTTGAGGTGAACATCATTAAACATAATTTATTCAAATCAGGACCTCATTTGCATAATTTATTGGGAAATAGTAGAATGCCTTGTTTGTTTATATAAGACTGTCTTTTGGTTGAGATTATGATAAAATGATATAATTCATGAAAATTAGGTTCCTATTTCTTAAATCAGGGGGGAATAATCTAATCTATAATTTGTCAGTCATTTGGCGAAGGTATGAGATCGGGGAACTCTAGTTGTTGAATGCTTTTGGGTGATTGACTGTACTCATGTTAAATATTTAGATTCAGTTACTGTATCTCCTAGCTGATTTTGGCTCCCGCTTTGTTTGCATGTCTTTCTGCAGTGCTTTCTATGTGTCAGACTCTCCATAGTGTTGTATACAGGTTTTACTGTCTTTCTCTGCAAACAAGTTTACTATGTACATGTACATACATACACAACTGAACTGTTGAATTTTCCACAGGAGTGGCAGCTGAAGTACCAACGACTGGACACCCAGGCCGGCTCGCTCCAGGGGTTTAACGATGACCTGAAACACGACATCAACGCTCTTATCAACATGATCAGCACCGCTAGGGCCACCGGCAAGTGGGAGGTAAGAAGCTATCACGTAATAGAACTTAGCAGACTGGTGTCTTTTGGTAGCCTAGGGAAATACCCTGTAGTCAGATAATGTAACACTCTAGACCATCATCATATTGTGCAATGTTTTCTCAGACAAGATAGGACGTCTCTCTAACAGACTTATTTACTCCACAGACAGGAGACATGGAGCTGAGAACAGTCTCCGTGGAGGCAGTGCTGGGAGCCCCTGAAGCTCAAATCATGTGAGTTACAAAAATTGATTTGAATTTTAAAATTACAAAAATTAATATTGTGGGTTTGATTAGCAATAGGTCTTGCTTGTTGATCAGATTTGACGCAAATTCTTGTCTGGATTGCCAAACAGAAAATCGGAGGAGATTCTACAGCGGCACATCCGTGAAATGAAGGAAGAGTTGGCCCAGAGAGACAACATCATCCAAAAACTACAGGAGGAACTGAAGAACGTGTCATACCAGGAACAACGGTCACGGGATCAGGTCAGGGCTGTTTACAGCATGTGTCATGATAGCCAAACTCTTATTACTTACATGTATTTCCAGTTACATAGCAAAAGCATGAGGAGTAGGCATTGTTATGATAGTTGTCAGTGTACTATCCAGCCTGAATTTTTTCTGTCCAAATTTTGCTACCAGACTAAGCTTAAGCATAATGACATCTCTTCTACATTTTTACACACTGATTTTTGTTTGTCCAAGATGACAGACCAGACAACATTTTTGTCAGTCATAAGAGGCAAAATTCCATCAAATGATGGAAAAAAGGAAGCTAAAGCACTGTCTGAAAACGTTAGCAAGTACATGTAACTGGTTTGTTATTGTTATCAATATATAAGTCTATAATACATAGTTTTGCAACTCCCATCTAGGCTGCACAGAGAGACACAGTCCTGGGCTCGGTGAAGAGCACCCTGTCTTCCATCCATGACAAAGAACAGACAGCCTCCTCACAGATCATTGACAAGGACATCAACATCATGAAACTCAAGTCTGAGCTGAGACAGGCCAGACAGGGGCGGGAAGAGGCAGAATTACAGGTGGGTTGGACACAGCACTTTGGCAGAACGTACTGCGCATGTACAAAACTAGTAATGATGGAGTATGATACAACTATTTGATTTTCTGGTTAAAGAAAAAAAAAATACTGCTTCTTGGTTTTGGAAAAGGGTTTTATTCTTTGGTGTTATCAGGAAAAGTTATACCTTGCAATATGATCATGTATCTTGAGTCACATTTTTTATTCTGTTTGTTGCCATAGGTTTCAGACCTGGAGAGGAGAATCAGTAGCCTGCAGTCCCAGATCTCACAGCTAGAGGAAACACTGACTGTCAACGACTCAGAGGTGAGTGTATACTAGGGCTGCGTACCTAAACGTAACATCAGGTACAGGTACAGGTACCGGTACAGAGGTTTAGGTACAGGTCCGGACCTGTACCTGTACCTGAACAATTTGACAAATTAACACGTGTTCTTTTTTTCAATCATGACACAGAAACAATAATAAAGTGTTGACAACTTGTCAGTATCTTTATTCAGAAAACATCAAACACAACCCTGGATCAGCCACACTCTCGCGATGTCTCGTGAGACTGAGATCTCAAATCAACGGTGTTTACGTCTTTTCCAGTGCTAATTTTTCGTCTTTGTGGTAGGATTTACCTATCTTTAGTCATATACATGGTGTAAACTAGCTATTTCGGTATATACTCGTTACTTCATGATCCGGTATTTTGGACCTGTACCGAAACGATTTTTACGGTATTGGACCGGTACAGTGTACCGGTCCGCAGCCCTAGTGTATACTCATGCACTTGGCACAAGCTGCAAACTCAATTTGTAACTTCTTGTCTGCTCTCTGTTAAAACATTTCTTTGCTGAGTGATTTTTCTTGCATTGCACATCCCCATTTATTTCAAATCATGAATGCACCTACATTTCTTGACAAGCTTTCATTGTTTTCTAACAGAGGACCAGCCTACAACAAACGATACAAATCCTCCAGGACAAGCAGAGGAAAAGTAGTCAAGAGGTAATGTTGCAGAATCTGATGTCTTACAACAGAAATTTTTTTGTACCAAAGCAGTGATCTTAGGTTGACTGAGGTTAGGATGATGCTTTTACTAGTAGCCAATAGTGCAGTAGCCAAGAACACTCGGTGTCCGCTACTGTTCTTGATAAGTGTGCTGGGTTCTTTTAAGATGAAAATGTTACACCTGAAGATCACCTATATACGGGCTTTAAAGTTTAAGTCCCCATCCAAACAAAGTATATAATTTCAAAAAGAAAATACTGTCATTGAGATGTGTTATTGAGAAAATAAGGAATGTCAACAGCAGGTAGATGTATAAACTGTTTTCCTTTGTGTCCTTTCCTAGGCCACACACAGTGAGGGCATCATGAGGCAGCTACGAGCAGACCTGGAGAAGTCACGGGATCAGCAGAGGATGTCCACACACGATGTAAGGAAACACACACCAATCCAGCTCCTTGTTTTTACCTCTCCTTGTCTCCTAAATGTTTAGTTTACCAATTTTTTTGTACTGAGCCTGATGTCTTTGTCCTTGTCCTCAGGTAACCTCGCTGGAGAGAAGGATCAAAGCCCTGGAGGATGAGGCTCAGGAAGCGAAAGAGGCAAAGAGAAAGGCAGTAGACGAGGTAGATATTAAGAGCACTATACAGAATACAAAAAGCATGAAATGTGATGTTGCAGTCTGAGTACAGGATTGATTATTGGTAATGCAACTGTATAAGAAAAGGAAATAAGAAAAGTGTTCTTGGGTTTTCATTCCTCTTCTGTTTTTGCTTCCTAGATTGGTATACTTCAGGCTCGACTACGGGAGTCACAGATCTCCACACAAGGCAACAATGACATGCTGAAGGCTGAGGTAGGATTTTATTTTCATGTTGCCAAATTATCTCATCATGAAGGGATAGAACTTATAACTACCAGGGACTAGCCTGGAGTCCAGCTTTGTAAGATTTAGTCTGCTCCCCAAGATCTACTACCATTCAGTTGCCCATCACTAGTTATTTTTCTGTTCTGATTTCACAAAAGTTAATTGATATAGTCCTTCAGTAGAACATGTGTCTTTGTTTTCTTTTGCATAGATATTATTTTTTCTTTTGCATAGATCTTACATGGCATTTGTATCACCTTTGCTTCTAGGCAGTGCCGCGAGGACAGTACCTTATACATAAACTAGAGGTACAAGTCAGGATGGAATGTTTGGCCTAACTCTCAAATAATAGACTTAAGCTACATGTATGTTGTCTGTCTGTTAACATGTCACACTGATGACTGCTGCATGGGACATGAGTACCAATCCTAGTGGTGTTGGTGATGGTGTATTTCAGTGTTCTAGCCAGCATCCGTCTTTCTGTCATTTGAAGGAATTTTACCGATCATGACAGACAAAAATTTTGTCATCTTTGACAGACGAATACCCAGTATCGGTGTCACTGTGTAAAGATATGGAAAGACTAAGCTTGTCTACCAGCAAAATTTGCCCCACTAAATGTAGAAAAAAGTGATTCAGAGAGTCAAGATTTCAAAATTTTACTTCAAACAAAATTGAGATGACTTAAAAGCATTTCAGGCTGACTAGAACACTGGACAGGTGTATCTAACCAGGGTTCCAGGGTTTCATGCATGGAGTAAGGTACATGGTGGAAACAATCAAGAAGCAGAACAAACTCTGGCATACATGTACATATGACTGATACTGTTATACCTTCATATTATACAGGTGGTGTAAGAAGTCATTGTCATAAGGTTGTGGAAAGGTTCAAAAGTATGTCAGAAGGTAGATTGTACTGTATGATGTTTGTAAGCTGTAAGTCTGTTCCATTTTGTCCATTTTCCCCAGCTGGCCCGCCGAGATGAAACAATCCAGCGCCTGCGGAAGGAAGTCATGAGTCTGCAGGACAAGCGAGATGAACTGCAGGCAGAGGTGAGATATGTTCTCATACTAATACAATTGATACTTTAATTTACATATGGGGGTTAAACTTCTAAATTACCATTGCTTTATCCCTGGAAAAGCCAGACTCAACCATAGCCTGGGTACCATCCTACTTGTATACCGGGGCTCCCACACTCGCTTCCCTAAGAAGTTACTTCTTAGGGAAGCGAGTGTGGGAGCCCTGGCATACAAGTAGGATGGTACCCAGGCTAACTCAACCAGTCAAACCTCTTGTGATTTTAATAAAGTAGAGGTAATACAATATATGGGAGTTTAAAAATAATTTTCAGAAAAAAAACATGGCATACTAGGGCCATCATTGACTAAAATGGTCCTCTGTTTTCGAAAATAGTTTCATCAGGTTCAGTGAATATAGGATATCGGAATTTTCTTACTCAGTTCTTCTCTCACCCTGCTCGCCACCTATCGCTTCATATAGCGGCGAGAAGCATTACACCAGTCAGAAGCTCTGAGGAATGTGTCTGATAGAAATTGAAATGTAAGCAAGGTGAGAGAAGTAGTGGTTGTGAATAAGATAAGAAAGTCCTAACATCCTGGTCTTCTGTTGACAGTTGAGCCAGGTGGAGCGTCGGTTCGGCATGCTGCAGGAGCAGGAGTCCAGCCTGCGGCAGGAGCTGCAGCACTTCCGCACACGTACGCAGCAGCTGGAGCGGGACCTGGACGCCGCGCAGCACCAGTACAGGGAGGTGGTGGACCAGGCAGCACAGGGAGAGAACAACGTCAGGCAGCTGGAGGACGAGCTACGGGCCAGCAAACTCCAGCACAGCGAGTCTCTTACACAGGTCAGTCACAGGGCAGAGGTCATGTTGATATAAGTCATAGACCATGTTGATGTGGGTCATAGGTCAGGTTGATGTAGGTCATAGGTCATGTTAATGTGGGTCATAGGTCAGGTTGATGTAGGTCATAGGTCAGAGTAGACCATACTAATAGAAAAGACACAACATCCTCGCCAACTGTAAGAGCAATGGCTTGTTTTGTGTAGTGAGTGATAAACAAAGTACATGAACATACCTGTAACGTTACATGTACTTTGTTTAGCATATCACAGGTTAGACCACTATTTTTTTCTACAAAAACATCTGATTGTTTAATAATGAATGTTCCAGGTGGAGAAACTGAGCACCAGTCTACAGCGCTTGCAGCAGTCTTCAAAGGAGACCAGGGATGCCCTAACTGCCGAGGTAACATTTTTCATGTCAATTCTGTTAAGTGTATGACGTGAAAATGTTTACTATTTGATTGTTACATTATGAGTTTCCTGGACATTTGGCTTGATAGTAGATTGCAGTTTTGCTTTCTCTTTTTACTTTGACTTGTCAGACAAGATATATTCTATGTCTACATGTATACTCAGTTAGAACATTTATCAGAATGATGATAGTACAGCTGCTGTTACTATACTGCAATGAGTTGTCATGCTGGAATTGTTGACTGTAGGTTGCAGAGAGACATGATGCTGTTGTCAGGTTGAAGTCTGAGCTGAAAGAGGCAGAAGAAAAACACAGGGAAACCCTAACAGCAGTAAGTCTGACACTTTTTCTCCAGTTGCAAGTTTGCATTATTTACAGGCAATATGTAAAATGCAGCATTGCAGACTACTAGATTTTTTTAGTACAACCATATTGTCTTTCATATGTTTGTATTTCATTAATTATAAGTTGCCAGTTTCTGTTAGATTTTGAGTTTTAACAGTCTTAGTTTTCTCTGCATCAAACTCCCCCCAAAGTTACATTACATGATATCTTCATTGAGATAGTAGTTATCATGAATCAGACACATTGTATCAAAACTTTGTCATAGAAAAATAACATGTTAGAGCTGTCATATTTTAGTTATAACTTCTTCTACTTTTTGGCATCGCCAAGCATTGCCATGTTCAGTACACATTCAGTCATACAACCACCCCTGCAGCTTTAATGGCTGTAATACAATTCTGTACAACTGTACAACTGCAGATTCACTGCTTGTCATAACTCTCTCTGCCACTAGTGTTACATCCATCATTATCAAGCACTGCCCATAAAAGCTAGAGATGGTTGGTACAGCACAATACAGTGCCCATACTTTCTGACAACAAAACATGATAATATTTTCTACAATTAATAGGATTTTTTTATAAGTATTTTGGACACAAAGTACAGGCACTGTGTTAACAGGGCTCTGTGGCCATGTTTAGGGCTCATTCATTACATGACCATTCACTGATGCATCCATTCCATACTCGGCTGTGTGCTTCTCTGATAGCCTGGCTGTCCCCTAACTCCACAGGCATCTAACAGCAGCAATGACGAGAAGCAAGACTTGAGACAGGAGCTTGAGCGGTGTAAAGAAATGGTACAATATGCTTGGCACATTGGTGTAGTAGTCACTGTGGTGGTGGTGGTGGCAGCCGTGGGTATAGTGGTGGCAATGTTCTGTTACGTTGTAGTTCCATTGTATGTTTTTGTTGTTCAGAGCTTGTTTGTAACAACTCTTTACCTGTATAAACGTGTTACAACAAGAGCTTCTGGTTTGTTATGCTTTAGACTGTTCCTTAACCCATTTTTTGCAACTTTGTGTTCAGTTGGCTGACAAGGCTCGGCAAGAGAAAAATGAGCAGGTACCCAGAAATCATCTCATAGTAGTCACTAACAGCTAACGCCTTACTCCAACACGTGCTAGTCTTGACCCCTTTGACCTTGATGACAGAACCCTGGGAACAAGAGTTTCCTGCCTGGGATGGAGATTAAGGTTCTAGGCAGGGAATGTTGCTGTTAGGGTGGTCAGTAGTCACACTGCCTAGCACACCAGCCCCTCCTTGGTTACATGGCACTTCACCAGGCTTCACAAACTTGTAACCACACATAAGGGATGGACCAGGAAATATCGGGATAGAGGAAAGGGGGAGAAATGGGAAAAAATCTAGTCCAAAAAAATTCAGGAAAGCAGAAGACAGAAATTGTACTTCCATTTATCACACACCTATGATACGTCCTGGTCTGTCTTTTTAGAGGCACTTCACTGGGCTACTAGCATGTCCTTTTTCACCAATTGTAGCTGGTTACAGTTTTACAAGTTAGAAAGTGTTACGTGCACACTGGTTACAGTACAGTTAAAAACTGTTATAACCCTTTTTACACTTTCACCTTTTTTTCACTCTGGTAGCATGGTTGCTGAAGCTGATGTCGTCACGTTAATCACAGAACAACCTTACCATTCATGGAAAGAATATCTGACACTGTATTTCAGCTACTTTCTTGCATGTTCTCTCATCTTTTCTCACATGTTCTCTTATATATAAGTTTAGAGTTTGTTCAGCAACAAGTTCTCTTGTTGTGAAGCAAGTTTAAACTGTAATTTCCAACACGAAACAGTTTTTCAATGACTTCTACCAACACAGATAAACTTTGAAGTTCTCTTATTCTCTTATGTTATACTTATCACTGTTTAATTGACCCACTAGGCCTTACATATGGAAAGTAGTATGTGTAATGATGAAATAATGATGTGTAATATGATATTCATGTATTTGTTGGTGCTCACAGGTTCAGCATAGGGGAGAGGTAATTCAGACACTTCGTGCAGACATCAAGGACACAAACACCAGGGTATGTTACTGGTTATGAGACTGAATGGAAGTTTCAAGAAATAAAAAAAAGTTCATCCCATTTTCTACAAGTTACTGTTTTGTTTAAACATCAGGTTGAATGTAATGTACTGTAAGTCCTGATTTTTTCATGGTACTTCTATGTTCATGGTTTTCATGGTCACTTCTGTACCAGTATACCGTGAACATAGCCATTTTTCTCAGACTGTGAAATTTTGCTACTGTGAACAGAAAGGGAATGACAGAGTACATGTATCATATATTTGCTAGTAACAAGTGTAATGATTTTGATATACCTGTTCTAGATGGAGAATACACTGTCACAGCTTCGAGCCAAGGAAAACGAACTGTCTGCCACACAAGCCAGACTGGACGCTTCAGAGTTAGAGGTTGGTAGTTTTCTTTCCAACTCAATAGTTTAGTCAAAGGTAGAGCCTTTGGATTTTGGGGCTCTTGAGTAGTAGAATAATCTATGTGAATGTGCATTCATCACCAAGGACAGGGCCAGTGTGACGTCACTAGAGGAATAATCAGTGTGAATGTAATTTCAGCACCAAGGACAGGGCCAGCTTAGACTGGTCAATTCTATACAAATTTAGGATCTGTTCCTGTGTTTACCTACTTATGTACATTATACCAGCTATATGATGCACCTTTTCCATACATAGACATGTTTAACTTCGTAACATATGCACTGAAGAATAGAAAAATAGAACGAACGAAAGAATCTATTTGGTTTAAGACCTTGCAGAACTGACTTGTTGGTGGTTTACAGATTGAGCAGCTTCAGACTCGGTTGAAGGAGGCAGAAGTCACAGCCACACACAGCTCCACACGACTGGAGACAGAGGTACAGTAGGGGATAACACGGGGTTACCCACTTCACAACAGCAGGGGCTCACCATGGCAGAAGCTAGGGCCTGGGCCAGCTCATTTACGAATCACAAAAATACCCCAATCACAACTTTTCCCCCAATATTTCTCCTTTCCCTTTCTTCCCACATTGTTTTAAGATAAGCAATTCAAAGTTTTGATTATACGAAGAATACTGATTAAATTACCTTCTGACTTACTTCTTACTTTTGATGACGCGTGTCTCTATCTATTTCAGTCCAGTTGATTTGTGTTGTCTACTTTATGTGCCCCCTATATTTTACATGAGCTGATGCTGTTGTGATGTGGGTAATCTTGTTCAGCCCCCACTGTAGCTAAGTGGGATAAAGAGAGAGAGGGAGGGAGAGATAAGAGGGAGAACGGGTTTTGATTTTATGTCAAAAATACAAATTTTATAGACATTGAAGATTGTATGTTTAACAGCACTGTATTTTATACATATACACAGTATCTATGATGTTTTATATTTATAAACTGTTTATGACTTTGTATTGGAAAAAGTTGTTACAAAAAACAATGAACCAACGGGCTAAGGCACCAATTCTTCCACAGTTGTCAGGCAAGAATGAAGAAGTCCATGCACTGAGAAGGGAGGTGTCAATACAACAAGAGAAGCACACACAGACACAAGCACAGGTGGGTGATATGTTACAAGGGGATTCTTTGCAGCAGCTTTTATACATAGCATTTTCTATTTACAAATATACCTCCAAATAAGGGATGAACTCATAAGGCAAACTTACAAAAGTAAGTTGACAAGAAAGTCCTACACCAACCAGAGAGAGGTGGCACAAACTGTTGCTCTGACTGAGCAAATATTGCACCAATGCTTCAAGACTGCTGCCAAGTACTGGTTCTTGATGTATAAATGGTTCTGTCATTGTCTGCAAGGAAAAGTTGTCATTACTTCTGTGCGGTGCTTTTAGTTGATTACTCAGTCACAGTAGGAACAGTATACTGTCATTCTGTCAGACTCCTAGCTGACAGCTCATTACTACTGATCCAACAGGTAGTAGTTCAGTAAATATTTGACTTGAAGGAGAAGACAGTACTGGCAAATAGCCACAATCAACAGAGGCTTTTAAGACTGGAAATTAAAATGAAACAATGAATGATAGACTCTGTTATGGTTGAACACTGAACTGTAAAATACGAAGGAAAGAAATGTACCGGTACCTTCAACACAGAGTGTTCAGTTTTTTCACCACTTTGTTTTCCCCGCAGTTGGCTGCCCGTGAGGAGCAGATTGCTCGGCTGCAGAAGGAGCAGCAGGACCATGTGGAGGAGATCTCTCGCAGGGAGAAGGCCATCCAGAAACTGGAGCTGGACCTCATGAATGCTCAGGAGCAGAAACGGCAAGGAGAGGACGAGGTGAACTTCTTTACTTTTGATTACTTGCTTAAGGTTTGAGTTAGTTTAGTGCGGTTGATAGTGTGTCAATTCACACTATTTTACCTGGAGTCCTGGTGATGATGTGAATCAACATGTGACTGATACGAGACAGGGGTTTGCCAGGCCTCCATCTGGGTGTATTGAAGTGAATCATCAACTTCCAGTTACATGTCATTGTATTTGGACCATTGCACACCGGGCATGCCCCTGAGGCCTCTTGATTTTATAGATGACATTAGGAGCGTCCCTTTACCTGACAACAAGAAACGGGCTGAGCTTTGGAAAGATGTTGAATTAGTCCATAACACAAAGACAGGTGTCACATTTTCTTACATTAAAGTTTTCCCTTATGAAACTTTGAGTGGGACCTGGAATAGGGTATAGGTGATCTGCACCAAGAAGTTTATTTTCCCAATTCTCCTAATTGATTTGCCAATTTGTCTAAACTCTTAAGTAAAGATGACTGCCTTTATCTAAAATATACAGCTCTCAGGCCTGCTGACATTGGAAATCTTTCTCCAAAATGTGTAGAACATTGCTGCTTGCTTGAAACATCTTCAGAAAAGTCCTGGCTTAGGTCAAGGAATGTCAGAGTCAGACATACATGTAGTGACAGTTGAGGAGAAGGAGTGGCTCCTGTTCTTGACAGTCACTTTACTTTGCTTTCCTCCCTGCCATGTAAACATCATATAGTCAAACACCTTTTGGCAGGCATCACTGCATGGAGCTTAGAGTTCACAAGAACGTGGACAAACCGATGCCTCAAGACCAGTACTGAACAAATTCTCTCCTTTCACGAATTACCCGCTATTTTCGGTCCACCTGGTAACCGTGGAGACCAGTCGCTGTCAGTGACTGCGGTGAAAGGACGGGATGTGCTGGTAGTTTACAGAAGGATTAGGACTTCAAACTCAGGCAGCAGTGCCCATTCCGTAATGACTTCACAGCAAACAGGCCCACTCCACGGATGCCCAATTCCTGCCCATTCACCACATCTGTATCAACACCGCCACAGGGTATCAGGTGTTTGGGCCATTTGCATAACAATGCCCCAGCACTCGGGTTCATTAGCATAGACACCCGCTGTTGGTGTCTGAGCAAGCGGTGGTAGTTTTGAATGGGGTTCTCATGACTTGGGCTGAGGGAATGGATGACTTTTGGGAAGAAGTCGAGGCTCTGAAGAGTCAACGTAAGGTGCAAGACTTACAGAATAAGGTAGGAAGAAGCACTGCACAGCTTGTCAATGTAACATTCTCCTAAATGTAAACTTACCTTTCAAGTTAGTCTTGTTTGCACTATACTTTCAGGTAGGTTTCATACCAGTGGCTGTGTTAAACTAAGCCTGATAACATCTCGATAAGAGGATGTCCTTTACAATTTCTTTAGTTTTTGAAGATTTCCTGATCATCATCTTGAAACTAAGTCTGAAACAGCTTGTTACACTTCCACACTAGTTTATGTAAATTTACTACCTCCTGTATTTGGAAGTGTTCCATTAAGAGTACCGGTGGTACAAATACGCTTAACTTAAGTGCTTGTTATCTAGCACTTCCATCTAATCAAATTTCAAGGTTTGTTAAGAAAGCACCCTGACTTAAGTTTGTAATTATGTAGACCTAGGGGCCAGGAAAATGAGGTAGAATTGGAGCCTGCATGTCTGCTGACCTAAACTAGATTGGGTTATTCTTAGAAAGGTAGAAGTCAGTGAATGAATCATTACGTACCAGTACTACATTCCCTGTAATGTAGACCATACATAACCTGTTCCCCAATCACATGATATTGAAAGATGTAACATTGAGCCTTTGGCTTTCCTCTCGATTAAGTTGTAACTGCCACTGCATATTTTAGACCACCTCATGTCCTTAGTCCTTTCCCCTAACACCTCTAGCTGGGCACGATGTAGTCAACCGGTAAATTGGCAAGCACGCTTGGTAGTAATCTTAGTTCTCCACAACGGGGATTAGTGTAGTGCCTCGGGGCCCAGTCTTGTCCTTACACCGTGCAGTGCAGTTGTAACTGTTGTCACGGTCTAAAAACAAGACACGCAAGATGATCCTCTCTTATCTCTTGCTATCAGTAACATCTGTTTCTCACAGCTTTTGTTCTTGTGATTTTTGTTCTGTTGAGAATGTCCTACTTACCTGTATCAGTCCATACATTTCTGACAATGACAATTCAGAAAATTTCACAATTTGTGATGTTTTGTTTGTTGTTGCAGTAAGTTGTTTGGTGACAGGTGTTGAGAATTACCTATTGTTGGTTTTCTGGAAACATTGTGTTAACATTTATGACAGATTCCACTACTGTACATGCCAAAGAACCCTTCAATTGTTTATTGATCACAATTTTGTAAATTGTCTCAGAAAGATCATCCTGTGTATTGTTGACCAAATCCTGAGGAAAAAAATAAGGCTTCAAAAGATCTTGACAAGTTTTCGTTGGGACAATTTTACGGTAGATTTGTTGTGATCCGGATTTTTCCACATACCAGTACCGCCACATTGTGTCGCCCCTCACATGTCTGCCATCTGCTTTCACTGCAACTGATCCCGAACATTCATTTCTTTGTGCCTGGAAAATTGGATACGGGCACCTCTCACACCCGACACTAGACACCTTTTATATCCACACCATATCTCGAGTTGTTTTTGGTACATGATAAGCCCCATGTTATACAGTCGTCCAAACATTTAGGTTATCTATTGTGCCTTGTTTTGTGTAGAAACGTTTTCATAGGAGTAGGCATAGACGTTTATGTTACGTGTACACATTAATTTGTTTATGTTAACCAAAGGCAAATCTGGCATATTCAACACACAAAAGCACTTGAGACGTTGACAGAATGTCCTTAAGATATCAGATTTGTACTGCATGTGTTCACATAGCATTGGTGTAACACAAGCTTGGTAGGCAGGTGGGAGAATTGGAACACTTTTCTTTCCCTATTATACTATTCTGTATGGGATAGTAAGGTATTACAGTTGTCTGTATTGTGTGTTCTTGAATAGCGCATTCTTTTTCTTGTAAGGCTATGACTGTAACATTGTTATACAGTCGACAGAGACAAGTTAGGATGTAGTGTTTTATATCAGCCATGTCTGGTATATCATACAAAGTATGTAGGAGCATATCATGTATTCAATGGTGAATTTATACACTGTGTCCATCATAAGCCAATTTGATGTTTTTATTCTGATACAGTTGTTTTCCCCTAAACAGCCTTCTTTTCAATTGGTATTTTCTTGATGTTTGTTTTATGTACTACAATATACATGTAAAGACATTGTTAACGATAAACTTACTATAGGTAAAGCACAGTGTTAAAATAAATGCAGTACTGGACTCTGTTGGCTCTCTCTATTATAGTATTACCTTCAATAGTTTTCAAACCATGATTCGGATACCTTCATGTACAAAATGTAGGCAAGACAACTATTACGACCTTTAACATCTTATCTACTGAACCTGTCTCCCACAGATCTCGAGGAAGGAGATCTCCATCCAGCAGCTTGAGACAGACCTGAAGACGGTGAAGCAGCAGTACAAGGAGCTGATCGAGGAGAATGGCCGCCTGGAGGCGAGACTGCAGGTAAGTAACAGTACGATACTGACACAGGTTAAGTGCCGGACACAGCGTATGCTGAACAGTACACTACCTTATTGTGTTCACCTGTTAAAGGACAGTAAATGTTAATTATAATGTTATAACAGAATTTTAAGTCGTGATAGTGGTGATTTTCCAGGATTCGTAACTTGTTTTGATTCTTATTTGTCATGTATACTGCTTAAGTCCTAATGATATTTGAACTACGTATTTGTGTACAGAAACTGAAATTCGGCACTGGTGCTGCAATGGGTTTTTTTAATACTGAATAAACCCTTCTCTCTCTCAGGCGCTGCACATCACGTCTCAGAGCGAGCACGACGTGCTGAACAGTGAGGTGTCTCGGCGGGAGGAGATGGTGCAGAAACTCCGGCTGGACTACATGGAGATGCAGGAACAGAACAGCAGGCTGGAGGAGAAGGTAGATTTGTTTATTTGTTTGTTTGTTTACAGTCAAACTTGTCTAAGACAACCACCTGGGAGGCCGAGGGAAAGTGGTCCTCTTAGACAAGTGGTCTTCTTCAAAAAGCATGGTGACAAGACAAGGAACAAGAAAATGGCAACAAAATTTTCACCCATTTTACAATAGACTGACTGACATTGTCCTAAAGTGACCACGCCTGCGCCATTTTACATAGCGCAAAGACTGTTGTGCTGTTGAAATCCATGGAAAATAATCGATTTCATCCCAAGTTATTCTCGAAAGTTAGTAAAGTAGCCTTTTGGCACCAAATATGCATTGGCCACAGCATTAGGAGGCCGAGAGAATGTTAAAGAATAGAGGATTCAGAATTTTTTTTTACTTGATTAGTTTCTAAAGTCTCACATGTTTTATGCCTTCCTCCCAGATCAACCAGCAAGAGAGGACAATAGACCAGCTTCAGCACGAGAACAGGACGGCAATGGGTGAGCTGGAGTCACGGGAAGAGACGCTACGCAGCGTGGAACAACAACTAGAGGAGGCTAAACAGATGCACGATGCTGCAAGGGACGAGGTGGGCATTCTGACATGGCAACTTGATTGTACTTACAGATCGGACCTACTTTATGGTTCATTTACTATTTTTAAAAGTTTTTTTCAAGTCAGCCACCTAGTTTGCCTTTGTTGTCAATTCTATTCAAGTACTTAGTATTGTGTCATTGTTTCTAAGATTTCTTGTTCCTCTCTTTAGGTGGATGGTGCAGAGGATAATGTCAGAGAACTGACCTCTGAACTCTCCTCACTCAGAGCTGAGCATGACACAGCCAAGCAGTCGGTAAGGCTTGTGTAATAGGTTTACTGTAAAGTGCTTTTATTGGGGAATAAATTCTTCAAGTCAAACATAAAAATTTATAATCCCAATCAATACAAATATGGATATTACACATCCATCCCCGGTGCCTTTTGCTAAATTTCCTCAGCTAATTTTTGTGCCTCAGTCTGTAGAATGCCAAGTTTTTATTCTATCGTTGTTGTTTATTGTGTTTGTTGTTTTCCCAGCTGAACATGAGAGAGGAGTTGATTAAAACCCTGAGACGAGATCTGGACACCCTTCAGCAGCAGTATGGAGACATCCAGGGCAAGGTAAGTCACCAGAAGCAAATTCAGTTGCATTTGACACACCCTCCATTTTGATTACAAGACCTTCATGTTTAAAAAATTGACCCTACTTGTCTCATAAGTAATTTGACGTTGTTTGGGCACCATTTTGGGAGGAACCATAATTGATTTGAAAATGTTTTTTTTTTTTTCTCGTGCCCTTTAGCTGGGACAGAGGAGTGATGCTGTCCAGAGGCTCAACACTGAGATGAGCAAGACGAAAGGGAAGCTGCAGGACAAGATGCTAGAGGTAGGGGGCGTTTCTGCCACCAGTCTGAATTCTTTGCTGTCTATAATATGGTATCCTCTGCCATTAACTCTGGGTTTGACAGTGTACTCTAGCCATGCATGCAAACCATGAATTATGACACATAGTCATGGTTTGCATGCATCGAACTCAATAAGTAATGATTGTCCTTTGACCCTAGGTCCAGAAACAGACAGAACTCGTGCGTAAACTGGAGAAGAGTCTGTCGCAGTCTCAGAACGCGCTAGACGAGGCACGGAGAACTGCACAGGAGGAGGTGAGTACAAACTCCATGTACAGTTCCTCTGGAGCTAGAGCTAGAGACTGCCTGCATGTGACTAAACAGAGCAGTTTTGAACATAGCCAATATGATAGTTCTGTGCTGAAGCTCTGCTCTTCCCATACTACTCGTGGTGGCATTACCAGGTCCTAATTCCTATTTTGAAATGACAATCAAGTCACCTTCTTGAGTTGGTAAAGTATCAGATTTCTCAGTCTCAAATATATCCCGTATCCTCCCCACATAATACATTTACATGCTTCCCACCTCTTTCCAGTGTTTTAATAGCACCATTATAATATTTCAGCACAATGCACAAATGAACAACTTGTTTACTTAAAACTGTTTTCTGTTTACCTCCCCAGGCCTTTGGCTCTCCTTTACACCTGACATTCTAGTAGCTGCACACCTTTAACTCTCATTTCACCTGCCTTCTTCCATATTCTTTAGATTAGGCAGTAATGACTAGTATAATGCATGTAGTATCACTGGCTTTTCACTGTCTGTATTATCATTGGTTTAAGGATCTTTGACATACCTTCCTTTTAATTGATCCTATGTACTCACCATTTAGTTGCACATATAAATGGTAGCTCTCTTTCTGTAGAATGGTAACAGCAACACTACTGTTTGGTGAGCATTTGTTGCCAGATTATCTCGTTCAAATTGGTAGTCTGACTCTGAATGTGTATTATTTGCATTTGGATGTGCCCATGACACGACACGTATAACTATCCTATAAGCCTAAGAAAAATTAAGGGACTGCCCCCCCCTCCTTCTCTCAGGGAAATATTAGACCAATCCTGGTACTTCAGTTCTTCAGTATTATTAAGACTTTTGACAGGCAACACAACAAAATGTGAGAAAATTTTGTATAATATACTCCTAAAAGTGTAACACTTTTTATTTGTGGAATTTTGTAAATAAAAAACATTGGACCTGATATTATGCAAGCATACGGTGTTTGGAACCTAAAAACAGCAAGTAGTGCCTTGCTGACTGTTTAGAGCTTTTGCTTAATAGTGCGTTTGCTTCTTGAACATTACCAGTAGTACTAGTGTGTGTTCTAACTGTGGTGTGTGGTGGTTGGGGCATGTTGATGTTGTCTCCCTGCATGGTGCATGTGCAGTGCTGTAATGCATGTGTGGGTCTCCCCGCCCCTCCTGCTGCAGATCTCACGCCGCGATGCCAGGCTCAAGGAGCTGGAGGACGACCTGGCCGAGTCTCAGCAGCAGTACACAGCCTGTTACGAGGAGGTGAGACTATGTTGTAGGCTATCATGTCTTAACAAACATAGATATTCACTTTACAATGCATGCTAATGATAGCAAAATTTCACGGTCTGAGAAAAATGGGGGTGTCCACTTAACTACAAAATTATGTTCACGGTTGCAGCAGGTGCAGGAAAAATAAAGTCTGCTAATTATTTGTTAACGGTAATGATTTAAAAAAATCAGGGTTTAAAGTACATGTAGTTTATTATCTAGGTTTTGTCTGCGAGCAAAGATTGAGTCTTGGAGATAAGACTTGGAGATTGAGTGTAACTAAGACATCTAATGTTTTTTTTCTGCCTTGTCTCCAGCTTTTGAAACAAGAACAGTTTGTCGAACGTCTGAAAGAAGAAAACTCACGCCTCTTCCAAGACAAAAACAAGAATGCTGCTGAGGTAATCCATCTTTTCATAGTTTTTAAAGTTACGGTACATAATGTGTTGTTTTTTTGTTGTGTTTCTTCTTTTTATTCTTCTCGCTTTTCTGCTATTGGTCATATGGATTCGGTTTTGGCCAAATGACCAGAAATTTGCCATTGCAATAGAGTGAACAAATACAGGAATTTAATTTGCATTTTTTTCTGATATACATTCTGCCATTTTCAGACTAAAAATGTACTTGTATGCATGTATATCTTGGGCTCCTGAGCCCTGGTGTGTTTTGTTTTATTCCATGTCATTACAAAGTTCATTGAAATCAGACATGACTGAATGTGCTTGTTGTTTGTCCATGGCAGGTGCAGCGGCTGGACAGTGAGCGGCACCAGCTGGAGATGGACCTGACCATCACCACGGAGAAGTACCGCACCTGCCAGGAGGAGGTGGCCGGCCGAGACCAGAACATCCTTCGGCTCAAGACTGACCTGGACACCACGCAGCAGAAGTACAAGGGCTGTCAGGAGGAGGTACGTACTCAATTGTACGATTCAGAAAAGATATAGAATACAACACGGTGTATTCCGTATCACCCGAGGTACCAGCCCAACTGTGTAACTCTGTTTCCAATGCCCGAAAACCAGTATTTAAATTTTCCAAAGTGGCTCACACAAAATGCATTCAAACTATTCTATTGAGCATTTGGAAGCCAGTGTGATAACCAAATACAACCCTTCTTGTGTTTCCCCAGTTGACTATCCAGGAAGAGGAGGTATCTCGTCTGCAGGGGAAGCTGAAGGCCGTACAGACAGAGTTACGGGACGTCAGGGCACAGCAGGAGAGGAGCGAGAGACTACTGGCCAAGGACGAGAAGACAGTACAGCAGCTGCAGCATGACCAACAGATCTATATGGAGGAGGTCAGTCTACAGTAATTACAATGCACATAGTTTACGTAAAGTAAACTTATGTAAAGTAAAGATCTCTATCAGTGAATTGATTGCCAAACAGCTTACTAAGTTGTTACTGGTCACCTTGGACAGGTTGCTTGATACTTGTGTCAATGGGAAAAATCTTTGGGACCGAGAAAAAGCGGTCACCTTGGCCAGGTGGCCAGCTTGAAGAGGTGGTCACCTTGGCAGGTTTAACTGTACTTTCTTCCCTGTGCCTACAACAGATCAGGAACCATGTGAGGACAATCGAGCAGCTCCAGGACGAGCTCGCTGCTCTCAGGCACCAGCACAACGAAGAGATGACCTCTCGCGCCACCGAGATAGAGAGACTGAGAGATGCACTGGACGACAAGAACGCCCAGCTCAACTCCTCAGAGATGAAGAACCAAGGGTACAAGGAGACGATCGAGAATCTCAATGCAGAGCTGGAGAGAGGACAGAAGGCTCACCAGAGTGTGGTGGAGGAGGTAGGAACTTTGACTTTCACCTTTTAACCTCCAACTGACTTTGGTTGATCATGTGTGATAGTATCTAAGTGCGTATATTTGAAGAGAAGAAGCAGGTGGTTCTTATATGCTACAAGGCAATGTGAATTGATAGTTGGGACCAGTGTTCTGGCCAGCATCTGTCTTTCTGTCATTTGACTGAATTTTGCTGCTCATGACATGAGGGACAAAAACGAGCTTAGCCTACCAGTGAAATTTGCCCCTCAAAGTGTAGGAAATAGTGTAATAGATTAAAATTCAGCATGTCCCAAGACATGATATTATGTCAAACAAAATTGAGATGACAGAAAAAATTTAAGGCTGGCCGGAACACTGGTTGAGATTCTATCTACTGTACATGTAACTGGTTCTGATGAAGATGGTTTTTTCCCTGTTAGGTGGGTCAGTGTGAGAACACCATCCACCAACAGGAGCAGGCTCTACAGGCCGCCAAGAAGCAGATCCACGGTCTGGAGGACCAGCTAGCGGCGGCGCAGGGTGGCATCGAGCAGCTGGAGAACGGCCTGGACACGTACAAGGACAAGTACAACCAGGCCATGAACCGCATCAACCGCCTGGAGTCCAGTCTGCAGGAGCTGGAGACCAAGTCTATGGAGGACAACAAGATGGTACAGCTCAACTTCAGTTTATCCAGGGCTCGAATTAGTACCTTTTAAATTCATCACTTCGTGCAAGTGAAATTTGAGGGGTGCACATAATTTTTGACTGCACTTGCACCAGTACAAGTAGCTTTACAGCCATTTCTTAGCACATTTTTGTCATCATTTTATATCATGTGAAGGTGAAGTTTTGCTAAATACTGATTTTTGTTCTCCCACAGTTGGAACAGAAGGACCAGTCTCTGCTCAAGTTCAAGTCCGAGCTGGAGAATCTGCAGCAGCAGCTGGAGGACAGGCGCGACCAGGTGAACACCTGCGAGGACGTCATCGAGCAGCTGACACAGGTGATTGATACTGTGTTTCATTGCAAAGTTCTAAATTCACAACCACTTGCTAATGTTTCAATGACTGTCTGTCAAAAAATTTGGGCAGTTATGACTGGTTCACTGTGCACTGAAGCTAGGTGCTACTGCTATCAATGTTGTCCCAAATGTAAAGTAATTGTGACAGACTTTTTAAACAAGTGGTTGTGAATAAAGAACTTTGCGATTCAATTATTCACAAAGCTGTACTTTGAGAGTAGCACTCAGCAATCCTACTTTGAAGCATCATCAGAAGCTCCCCATGTCATTTTATCCAGTATTGAATTCTTTTCTTCCCTCTTTCTTGTAGGAGCTTCACACCTCTCAGCAGGACTTAGCCATGACCAAGGACAGGGTGACTCACTGTGAGGAAGTCATCGAGAATCTCAAGGAGAAGATGCTAGACAAGCAACAAGAGGTAGGAAAATTTTATATCCTGTTCTAGAAATTTTGCCAGCGTAAGTTCGCATCATAACATGTCCTCTGGGACAAGTGCCCATAAAACAAGTATGGGAATCATTGTGCTAATCAAGGATGTTATTCCCTTATTATAATTCCAGTCCCAACAGCATGAGGAAAAGGCAAGGAAACTGCAGGCTGATCTGATTTCTTATGAGGAGAACCATCAACATACCAACCAGGAGGTAAGTGATCTCAGATTCACCTTTAGTGTGCTGTTTTTTTTTTTTTACATGTCAAAATTCATGGTTGGAAAGTTTTTGTATGTGAAAATCACAAATTGGCCAAATTTACTGCTGGCCAAAGATGTCTATAACAAACCTCTTTTGAACCCAGTTTGGTGACCAGGAGGACGCCATCCGGCAGCTTCAGTATGAACTGCAGCAGGTGCGAGACCAGAGTGAGGGCAGGCAGCAGCAGATTGGGGAGCTGCAGGAGACCATCGGTCAGCTGCGCATCGACCTCACCAGCCTCAAGGAGCAGAGAAACAGTGCATCTAAAGAGGTCAGAGTCTACAGATACACAATCATTTTATGTATAAAGAACAGTGAGAGGGATGGAGACCAATCTATGATACTCTCTAATAAGGATAATGAAAAAATTGACAATTTCATCTTTTGCTTATTGTACAGAAGGCGTACATATTAATCATGACCCAACTCAATGTTTAGGTAGAACTGTTTTGTAATAACACATTTAATTTGTTTGTTTGCTGTACAGATCTCTCGTCTAGAACAAAGTCTACAGCAGCTACAGTCTAGTCTACAGCAGGAACATCACAAACACAGGACAGAGGTCAGTCATCAACAGTACTACATGCAATCTCAACTGGACTCATCCAAGAGGAATCCATCATTTTCTTTGACTTAATTTCTTTTCTCTTGATGTGTATTCTTCCTTTGGCTCTACTGTAACCATTTAGGGTTAAAAAGATCAAGTACAATGTAAAAGTCTGAAACAGAAGCTGATCTGACAATAATTTGACCTTCCATTTTTGGTTAAATTCAGAAAGCCAAGATGGAGGAAAATACCAAGTACCTGGAAAAGAGCCTGGAAGACTCCAAAAACCGGACAGCGGACCGAGAGAACGAGCTGGCCAGGAAGGACGAGGCGCTGAAACGGTACGACATCGAGCTGAACGCATCGCGGGAAGACATCAAGAGCAAAGTGGACGAGGTGAGAATGTTAACTCTTTTATTACAGGAAATATTACAAGTATCATGTCAAATGAAATATACTTACGGTGTTCTGTTATAATATCCATGAAAACTATTATCATTTTACTTTGTCCCTGAGAGTGTTAAAAGTAAGGAATAAAAAAGGAAGTTTACTTCTCTTTGATGATAACTATTGTTTTTTCCTCAGATTGAGAGACTAGAGAGCACCATGAAGGCGTTGAAGGTCGACATCAATGGTCTACAATCAGCCAATAGGCAGAAGGATAATGAGGTGGGCGGAGCTTAGCAATGATTGACAGTATGACCGTGGTCTCCCTGAATATATTTTTTTCAAGATATCGCTTTTTTTTTACTGAGAACCTGAAGTTAAATCTGTGACTTGAATGCTGACTAATTTTTTTCTCCCGTTTGTTCCAGTACTTACAGATGCAGGGAGAGGCAGACAGGTTGAAGGGAGATTTGAACGAGGCCAGACGTCAGTACAAGGACTGTGCTCAGGAGGTAAAACTCACCAGAAATCTGTTAACTGAAACCGGATTCTTATTGTTTCACTTACTTACTTGTGTAGGAAACCAAAGGTAATAATTATTTGGATTGATTCTGCACAATAGAATGAAATGAAATGAAATGTAAATTGGTAGCCCTGTAAGTAATATCATTTTTGGAAAAGATTGATGGGGAAATACTCTGTGTCAAACAGCAAATGTTGGCTTTCTGGTAATAAACCCCTCCCCCTCCCCCCCCTCCTCACCCCAGCTTGCCCACCATGAGGAGAAGTTGATGCTGATGGAGAGCAGCCTCAGCACCACGCAGGAGCAGCTCAGTCTGCGCGTCAGCGAGGTCGTCAAGCACGAGCAGGCCAACCGCAAGCTGCAGTCCGAGCTGAAGGCGCTACGGGATCGCACGCGCAGCAACGAGGAGGAGATCCAGGAGAAGAGCCAGGGCCTGGCCAAACTCAGGGAAGAACTAGCTGCTGCTAAACAGGATCACCATAACAGGTAATACTCGTCTAGTACATATATAACAGGTAACACTCATCTAGTGTAACAGGTAACACTTGTCCAGTAGGTACTGGCAGTAACCTAAGCATGTACAAGGCAATGCTGAAGTGCAGTACTGTACCAATGTCAGTCTAAAATTATGATGGTACATGTATATTGACTAATTGAGTGAAATCTGAGTCATTCACAATGTGACGACCCCCGCTGGGTGTCATTATGATCCGTTATCTGCCATGGAATGTTTTCACAAAATTCTAATTTCAAAATTCAAATTTGTACAAATGGGCCAAAAGAACAGTTTTCTGGCTGTTTTCCATTGTATTGTTTACTGATGTTAACTGTAATTTATTGTTTTTGTTCCCCAGTGTACAGGAAGGTTTACGACATCAGCAGACTGCCCACAAGATCGAGGTGGAGCTGGCCAACGCCCACGAGCAGCAGAAGCTGCTGAACGAGCAGATCTCGCAGCAGGACGGGATCCTGCGCAGCCTGCAGGACGACCTGCAGCGGGAGAGGGAGAAGCACGCCGAGACGCAGCAGGTGCTGCAGCAGACACGCCAGCAGGGCAGGACAGCGCAGGAACAGCTGGAGGAGACCAAGGCAGCACTCAGGGACAGCAACAACAGGGTAGGATAGCACGGAATCAATTCTTTTGGGCTATTCCATTTTAAAAATTTAAGTCAGGAATGTTTCTAACCCCTCTTTCTACATGTCAGCTCTGGTGTGAAATTTCTCTCAGCCCTATGTTTTTTATTAGTCTTGGGCACTGGACCATACAAAATGGATTTTCCTAATGGGGTAAAACAAGGAGCCAGCTTCTATCCTTGACACCTAGGCAGTAGGCAAGACTATACATGAATGAAAAAAAAGAACAACTTTGAAACCACTAAATTTTTATGTGAAATACCACTTAGAGGATTAGATGTAGAGGGTTTATGTGTTAGCAAGTTATAAATTAAACTTTACAAGTTGAAGTAAAGGGTCTATTCTCCCTACTCCAGGTAAAGGATAAAGACAACATGCTTGCCAAGCTGCAGACTGAGCTGGACACCTTACAGCAGAAGAACCGCACTGTGAAGGAGGACCTGGCAGAGAGGGAGGGGCAGCTCAGGGTCGCCAAGATGAACATTGCTACGCTACAGAAACAGGGCAAACACCACAACCAGGAGGTCTGATACTTCTTCTTCTCAGAGTTTATTATGATAATAGATACCGTAATATGTTTACCTTACATACCAAATGCTTTCCAGACATCTGTCACCAAGGTAGCTGGTGCTGTAGCAGCTATGTATGACATGTAGTGATCTAGCATTGGTGTAACAGGCCTATTGTTGGTGTATTTGACAGGTTGCTCGTTATGAAGAGTCGTTAGCACAGCTGCAGATGGATCTGGAACAGAGTCAGGACCAGTACAGAACCTGTCATCAGGAGGTCAGTAACACAATTGTTCATGCAACTTTGGGAAGGGTGATATCTCTCGTGCTTTGCTCTTTAGCCATACAGTTTCGTTGTTTGAATTTTAAAGCTACTGTACATACAAGTTACTGATAGTACTCATACAAGCTCTATACAGGGCAAGGATGTATAATATTATTCAGCAAAACACATTTCCCCATAGACACAATAGTCTGTCACTGAATTTTTGTTGTTGCGTGTGTCTTTGTTATTCTCTAAATCTAGTACATAAAATTTGATGCCAATGTTTTACTGACTTGCAAGAATGTAATGGATGTCTTGCTGTATGTCAGTGTTTGATATCTGTCTTTCTGTCCTCACAGCTGATGGAGGCTGAACAGAAGATCCATGAGTTGAAGATTAAGGTCTCCACAGTGGAGGGGAACCATAAGGAGTCCATGGAACAGCTGGGAGACAAGGCTACGGAGGCCGCCAACCTGCGCAACGAGGTGCAGCGCTTCCAGCAGCAGAACCAGGCCATGGCACAGGAGGTCAGGCTCAGGCAGACTTGGTCATTTCTTTGTGTCTGTTACACAGTATTTTATGGTCATAGCTTGGTTTACAGGGTAGTGTGAATAATGGTGGTAAAGTTACTTCTTATTCTCTGATTCTTTGTCACACATAATGTAAAGTTTTATCTCCTTGGTCATGTTTTCTTTAGCTTTGTCATGGCCAAGATATTACCACGTAACTGTACATTGCAATGCAATGTAATAGAGGTCATTATGTTGTAAACTGTGCCGACATTTCTACCATTGATAATTTAAGTAGTAAATACTTGTGTAGTAAATGACTAACAAATACACATCAAGTACATGTTTAAGTATTACAAGAATGGCTAACAGCAGCTTTAAGTGTATAGTTTCTCCAATACACTTATCTATGGCCAATGTAGCCTCTCTGTTCTAAGTGTGTTGTTCTGTCCTTCTCCCCAGATCGCCATGTACGAGGATAAGATGCGGAAGCTGCGTACCGAGCTGAAGAAGGTTCAGGACCTGAACCGGCAGAGCGAGGAGGAGGTTCGGAACTACGAGCAGCGCCTGTCGGAGCTAGAGCATCGGGCGCAGGCGTCCAGCGAGAAGCACCACCAGGGCCTGCAGGACCTGTCCCATAAGGAGGAGCAGGTGGTGATGATGAGGGTGGAACTGTCCGCCCTGCAGGAGAAGTTCAGGCAGAAGGCTGAGGAGGTCAGTCTGGGGGTTGGCTGGGATTCTGTGTAGCAGGATTTAAATGCAATTTTGGATTCATCAAGAAGGTGACTCACCCGATGTTAGACACTCAGTGACAGCGCCTTTGACTAGGATTGAACCTATTCACCGCTTCTGGACATAACTCTTTGCTTAAAAATTGTGAAATCCTGACCCTCTGAAGTATATTTCAAGCATTTTTAGGGGCAAATTTTGCTGGTAAACTAAGCTTAATTTTAATGATGTCTCTTACCATATCTTTACACCTTGATTATTTTCTGTCAAAGATGACAGGTTGGGCAAAGTTTTGTCTGTTATGAGCAGCAAAATTCCATCAAAAACAGTCATTTTGGAATGGTTTAATGACTGTTTTTACTTCCACAGAATGAGAAGGTGAAGAATGAAGTGGTCGTCCTGCGACAGAAGAACGCCTCCATGTCAGACGAGATCCAGAGTCTCCGTCAGTCGCTGGAAGACGCGCGGGCTAACGGCGACCGTCTCCACCGCGAGAGCGAACTCGTGGTCACCAACGTCAACACCTGGGTACAGGAGCAGAAGTCGGCCAACGAGAAACTGGGACAGAAAATCCGGGACCAAAGCCGCGCCATCGTGACTCTAACCTCGGAAAAAGAACACCTGGTAGAACAAACCGATAGACTACAGAAAGACAACAGGAAGCTTCAAGATGAAGTTGACGAGCGACGGTTAGAAAGCGAGAGATTCAAGGCTCTTCAACAACACTCTGCCCACCAACAAGCCTTACTGAACCAGCTCAAAAACAGGCTAGAAGAGAGAGAAACTGATAACGACAGAGAACTCGGGCAAAAGGTGGCCACGATAGAAGACCTCCACTCTAGGCTGAAGGCAAACGTAGACTCTATCCAGCAGCTGAACCAGCAGCTGAACGCGCTGAACAAGGACAACCTGCGGCAGCGCTCGGCTCTAGAACGGGAGGTGGCTGCTAGACAGAGTATGGAACTGCAGCTGGAGAGTAAAGAACAGACTATCCTGAGTCTGAAGGCACGACTGGAGGCAAACGCACATCAGCAGTACTTAAACCACAGTCCACATAAGGAGGTATGTGTACTCCAGTTCCTATTTCCAGTTTTGGTTACCTTGGTCGACCATGAGTTTTTTTCTGTAAGAAGCAATGTTGGTATATCATGACTCCTGCACAAGAAAACAGTTCTTGGCATCTATGTACAGCCTTTTATTCTTTACCATTGTAGGATTCAGGTGTGTCTGGTCTTCAAGATTCAGCTTATGCCTCAGCACTGGAGAGGGGTCTACTCAGGTCTTCACTCAAGATGGACAAAGACAAGGTGTGTTTGGATTAATGTAACTATGGTGAATATTTTGTATTTTCAATGTACACGTATGAAGAAATAAAGTACAGTATATTGTATACAGTAGTCAATTTTTGTTATAAAAATGAGTTTTGTTTTTCTTCATGTGTTATAAGGTGCGTGCCAAAGCTCTGGAGGATGCAGGGAGCACAGATCCACAGAGCCTGGACAAGTCTTACTGGATACAGAGGGTTGGAGAGGTCAGTTTTATTTCACATCTATCTAAAAAGTAGTAGCTTCCCCATACAACTTAACTATTTCAAGTTCAAACTTTTGCTCCAACACAAAGAAGTGTTCTCACCTTGAGCTTTCGACCAGTCACTCTGGTCTTCTTCAATAGACTAACCCAGTGATACTTGTCACATGGTTTCTCGGAAGTGTGACGTCATCACTGGGTCAAAGGTTTTTTGTAAACAATGTCGGCCTTCGTTGCACAAAAGCTTTAATTTCAAACGTGTAACTACGAACACAGGTGGACTTTCATGACATAACTTCTTCTGTACTGAGACAGCCTTTTGTTTCTGATAACATATTGTAATTGTGGTGTGATATTGTTCCACTTCTGTGCTAATATTGAGTTTGTCCCTCCAGTTGTCCATCCAGCTGCAGCAGAGCAGTGAGTACTGGTCCGACAAAGTCAGGGAACTCTCCATGCAGGTGGAGCGCGCTCAGTCCGTCTCACCACATCCTCGGTAGCACTGGACACAACTGAGCATGCTCAGTAGCACTGGACACTTCTGGGCATGCACAGTAGCACTGGACACATCTGAGCATGCTCTATAGCACAGAATATGTCTGGGCATGCTCAGTAGCACTGGACACAACTGAGCATGCTCGGTAGCACTTGAAACATCTGAGCCTGCTCAAAACATCTAGATACTAGACTATATGTACATTGGCTAGTCTTAGCTTGGTACCAGTTATGATATGCTTACCTCTGGATAGGGCAAACAGTTGAAACGATAATTTGTTATGACATGAAATTAGTGAACTGACCAAGATAAAATAAGATAAGATGGGTAAGTGACATTTGAGGGACCAAACACTAATGTGAACACAGTTCTTTTCTGACCATGACTTTGTAATGACTAGTAAGTATGTCAATCTATGTGTGTTCAAATTTTGTGATACATGAAATTGTAGGCATAAAAAAAAGCAACAAAAAATGTGAAGCTTCTTTAGTATTGCCAATTAAGAAGTAAGAATTGTGCTGATGCACCGCTGTAAAACTTTGAACTACTGTCTAAGGGAATAGTTTTGTGTCAAATCTGAACATGTGGAACTCTAAACTGCAGAGTAGATGCTTTTAAAAGGCAGCAAGAATTGTGATAAAAAACTTTCATAGTTATGTATTTTTATTTTATATATTTACTATTGATTCTATAGTGACTTCACACAAGCACTATATAATGGTAGACTGTGCTGTTGTTGCTAGCAATGTTGAAAATTATTTCTTTTAATTGTTTGTTTTAATTTTTTTTGTAATCTTGAAGTGTATTGAATATGTAAATTTTGCTTTCATTAAGTTTTGTTGTAGTCTCAAATACATGTACTGAAAAATAGGGAAGTCTTTCAATCTCAACATATTTCTGTGTAAAAAGTCTTTCAAATCCTAGATAATTCTGCCACATTCCACAAACAACTTGTTAATCCTAGCCAATATAATCTATATGGTATTATTTTGAACAAAAAGGTGCAGAAGATGTAAGTAATTCTTGAACAGATGAATGCACAACTTGGTAAATATTTTTGTATAATTGTATTTTGTATGAAGTTATTAAGTATTTGATTTTTGTGCCAGTATTGTGTGATTTTTGCCTTAGATACTGTGTTGCTGCTACAATGTCACAGTTAAGTATATGTAAAAATTTGCTTGCTGAAGAGTTATGATTTTCCACTTTCTTGTACAAGAGCAATGATAAATTCATTGTGCAATTAATGTCAAAGTGCTGTGCCAAAATTATTGGCAAGGTTGGTCGTATATATGTTGTATAAATGCTTTTGCTGAAGAATAAGTTTCCAATAGGAAATAGTAATGAATTCTAGTACAATTTGACAGATTTCTAGAATTTTGTACACTGTGTTTAATAGTATTTCCCACCTTTATGTTCCTTTTCTTAAAAGTTGTGGTCTCATAATTTGAAGACTCACATTTTGTAGATCAGGAACACCTACTAGTTTGTGAATGTTGGTAATGTTGGTTGAACCTGTAGCAGAGATAGTGTGAAGTCCAGTCTACATTCCTACAGTAACTGGTACACTTTAAGTACATGTAATGTCTGTGCCATGTAGCACTTATTATCCGTCCACGTCCTATATTTGAGTTTATGATTCACATTCCTGTGTACAGAGAACATTTTCTGAAATAAAGATGAGCCATGTGTTGTATGTACCGTATTTCTTTCATAAGGGACACCCCCCCCCCATTTGGGCTTCATCAGAAGCCCCTTCTTGCCAGCTGAGATACGGGTAGCTTACTGAGTCTACTGTACTTGTCCCACTTAACCACAAACAGATAGGAAATAAAAATCATCACCATGGTGACGATTGAAAATTATTAAAACTGAATACTGGAAATGCTGTTCTGCTATTAGTAAAATAAGAATCAGTGCCCCTTAGAAATCGAAAAAGGGCGATACGTGAAACTACCTGTGTCGCAGAGCATATGTAAAATTATACTGCTCCTCAAATGCAGTGCAAGACGAAATTTATTTCATCACTAACTGTCCATTCTCAATAGGGTATGATGAAGAGTTAAGGAAGGTAGGGCCTCGAGTGGGGGAAGGGGAAGATCTCAGTAGGGCCTCGAGGTCCTAGAGTATGGGGAAGGGGAAGATATCAGTAGGGCTACGGGTGCACATACAATTTCTTCCGGAAAAAGAAGAAGAAGGGAGATGCAAACTGCACTTGCGTAATGATACACAATCTAAAAACGCCTCGCTGCGGTTTGTTTACGAAGTACACTTGAAATAGTATTGTTGACACTGGTGGACATTATGGTCACACTGGTTGACTCTCATGAGTTAATGTTATTCCGTTCATGGTCATAAGACGAAGACATCGCTAATATTCAACGGCAGTTTTTACAATGATTGATCTCAAAGAAATCGCAAACTCTGTGTAAACGAACAGAGTTCAATCATGGATATTGTTGGAGTTTGTTTCTGGTGATTTTTTACCATTCCGCATAAAATTTCATTTCTATATTTAAGGGTAATCTGTTCCACCCGTTCACACACATCAGTTGCTATACTTTGACCTGTGGTTGACGAATTTGTGGTAAATTATGGCAGAAGACTACTACTAGCAACTGCAAGGTACACTCAATGGACCATACATCAGCGCCCCTTGCGGTTAACTGACTTAAGTTCAACATTAAACCCAGCGGAACAGTTGCCTTAACTTATCTTCGAAATCCTCTGTTTTGTTTTGGTTCCGTTTCACACAACGAGGTTTATCTGCAATAGTCAGAGAATATCTAGGACAATGTTAGGTACAACTTACCACCCAAAGCGGACGTAGCGCGTCTTCCAGGACGTAATTTTCCAGAGTATTGTTCCCTTCCATGCACACACTCGCCATCTTGGAACGGCGTGTTTCACGCACAGGTGCCACCTGTTAATCATGTCAAGCACCACTCAAGCAAGTCAGACAAACCTACGACGATCTCATTACCGTTTTTATCAAATTTATAGTCTTTTCGAATTCTCTCATCATGTAGACCAGGTAGGAGTTCTCTCCAGTTTGGCTTGTCTTCAGTTAACAGTCATCTCAGGCCGCAGAGGATGATCTAAGGCTCTGTAGTTATATACGATGGGTGTAGCATCATATAGTTGTCAAACCTTGATTTAAAGCAGTTTACGCTGGGTGCTGTGATCACGTCTTCAGGTAACTAGATCATTCAACTAGATAGATAAGAAGAAGGACAGTAACTTTACTAATTTACTTTAGTAATCGTTAATGATCTTTGTTTGACTTGCTTATCTCAAAAATCTAGGCAAGAGTTGCACCTTCTAGCGATCGTATTTGGTATGGGATGGAGATATAAGGTTAGAGGGATGGGGATAGAGGGATAGGAATAGAAGAATTTTACGGAAATAGTAATAGGATATGAAGTCACAGATAAAATGTTTTCCCCGCATTTATCAATATAAGTTTGAGTATACGAATTGTCACTTTCTGAAAGGCTACTACATTGAAATTTCAACCATATTTTATGAAACAAGACGTTCGAGAGATGTTTGTGTTCGTATGTTGATCAATAGTTTCAATTTTCCCTTAAAATGATTTAAGGGGTATGCACTATCGGTGCAACGTTGAATGATACATGGTAGGCTAGCTATTATCATAATTTAGCTGTTGAGGTCTACATTTAACCCGCTGCCTGGAGTAAAACAGGACCACTCAAAAATGTACAAAAGCCGGCCCAAACCACACGCCTCTTTAGCTAGTTACATTTGGGGACCCAAAACAACTCTTTCACGCACATGGGGTCGGTCTGGTGAACCATGTTCGGATGTCGTGAGGAGAATGACGGCACTGTGGATTCCCCTGGACCGCCCGACAGCGTCACACATTCCTGTGCCTTAAGTCCGACCTAACCAGACAATTTAGTAAATGGGGTTTCACTTAACAAGGCTTTGTGTGCGGGGAGCGCCCGGATTGACTGGGGAGCTCAGGAAATGCCTGAAATCTGTGAAATCATCCTTTGTGAATGTCAGGGGGGACGCAGGTGGTCCAGGTGCCAGGATAAACAAGGCCCACGGTCAAGATCAAGGTGGATTGGACAGGACCACGACATCCTTTTTTCTGACGTTTGTTGGACTACAACGATAGGTGCAGGACGCGTTTACGTGACGTGGTTGTGACTTATGTACGTGTGAGAGCGCACGTAGCGATAGTTATTTTAGTGTACCTACGCTTTACCACATGTTACACAAAAACCAGGAGGTTATCATGTAATAACAGAACATTGTATGAACGAGCTACAGGTCGACAGTTCTTGTGACACTGACTGTTGACCACAGTGTTGGCGATACTCAACTTTGGTCAACCGCAGATCAGGTGGATTGGACAGGACCACGACATCCTTTTCTCTGACGCTTCTTGGACTACAACGATAGGTGAAGGACGCGTTTACGTGGCGTTGCTGTAACTAATACGTACGTGTGAGAGCGCACGTAGCGATAGCTATTTTAGTGTACCTACGCTTTACCACATGTTAAGGTGGGTTGGGCAGGACCACGCCTTTTTTCCTGACTCTTTCTGACGCATGTAGCGATAGCTATTTTAGGGCACCTACGCTTTACCACATGTTACACTAGTAGTAGTTCACTGTATTCTGCTGCTGCAGTAGCTCTGCATCCTGCAGCATCAATCAGTCTTTCTTCAGTTACACTACCAGGAGGTTAGTATATGTGCATCAGCGACTGGGGAAAAATAGCAAGGTTGGTCAACCGCAGATCCTCTCATCTTCAAGTTTCGAAGCTACAGAAGCACTTAGCTTTTCTTTCATGTTGTCTGGAAATCATTGTGTACACGTTAACTGAGCAGAAATACCTTTACCATAATGACCCCGTCAACCCCTTTGGGATGCTTTCCTGAAGTCTTTGTCCGGATGCACGGAAAACCTTTGCAAAACGCCATGCAAAACGCACATAGTAACCTTCTTCCAAAAATAGAAACTCCACAGTACCACCCCCCTCACATGTTTTTCTCCTGCTAACGATAAATGACCACACGTCCCCCTCACACCCCAAACACCTGTTTCACAGCCGAGGGGCTGGGTCAAGGGTCAACCGTGCCTCTGGGCATGCTGCACCCACGCGTGCATGACGGGAAATGCTGCTGCCCGAATACATGGCATGCTTCCTCAGAATGTCAAAATGTCGCCCTTTTCTACCCCCGTGCGCTTGTTGTTGGGATGGAGAAATTGGCGGGAAAAGCTGGCGGGCAACCTTTTCCCGAGTCTCCGAGAATATTCCAACTGATAATTCCTTGCAATGATAGAATATCCAACGATTTTACAATTCAGCAAAAGACAAACACGATGAACGTTTTTCATACGTAAATCGGCGGGAAAGCTGGCGGGCAAGCCAGAAATTATGTTAGGATGATTTTCAAAACACAGCCTCAGAAGCAATCTCCTTTTCCCGCGCCTTCGAGAATATGCCAACCGATAATTCCTTACAATAAACAATATATAGCATATCCAACAATTTTGCAAATCAACAAGACAAATGCAATCTGCGTTTTTTTATGCGTTACAGGATTATCTCATACGGCACAGTCAAGTATTGTGAACAGAACTAGAATATACTCTTCTTGAGCAAAAACATTTCCCAAAAAATAATAAATCCTTGTCAGTGTCTCTGCGTGGCTGTCTAAGCCGGCACATGACCGTGTATGATGCCCAGCACCTTGTGGATTTCATAACCGGATTGACAGCTATGATCCACTCTAATCCTGACCTTCGACCCCACAGATATTCCATTTTCCTCCCGTTCTGAAATCGCTTCCCGAAACCCAGGTCCGTTTTCCAAAACAACGGCCGCTTCATTTCCCCCACTTCCTCCTCGGCATCGTCCCAACCTGTAACCAGACCTGTGTCTCTGCTATGTGTGCGACCTGTTGTGTTGACTTAAGGGCGCTGTACTCTCTCTTAAGAGCGACATCATCTCGGGTACCAAGAGAGATGACGTCCCTGAGGGAGGAGGACGGCCGAACTTTACCCCGAGATTCTGAGTTACGTTTTCACTGTGCCTCTAGTTACAACAACAGTGGGGACCTCTGTGGTCTGTCGCGCGGGCTGGCGGCTCGTGTGGTGTTCCTGCACGAGTTCCTCATCACCAGTAAAGATGAGAAAGACATATTCATTCCACACTGAATATAGGTATACAGCAACTCCTCTATTCCACACATGTGTAGCTCACTCAACAAACTAGGACAATAAGTCACAACAGCAGATGTAATTTGTTTAGTAATATTTGAATATTTACCACTTCGTATGTTCCCGCCATGTGTTGCACCGGTTTTAACCATCTCAAGTTATTGATATAGATTGCAAATTTTATCAGAGGTAATATGTATAATGAGTCGTATCATTAAAATGCCATTCTTTTGTTTGTTTATTTATTTATTTATTTGTTTGTTTGTTTGTTTGTTTGTAGAGAACTGTTTTAAACTCCAATTGTAAATTGAATGTAACCCCCCGCGTGCAATGTTCAATTAATAAATCTTGAATCTTGGAAAAAACAAGGCTACCTGGTTTCAAGATTGTGGGGAGGGACGACAAATGTCCGAGCGCAAGGAAACTTGCCATGTTTGAGGGGGTACTGGGGTAGTGACAGCCAAACACAGTTTGTGGTTCATATAAGTGACTATCTCA